TGCTGCACGACACAGTAACCGATATGGGCGACCACCGAAGTAGTCCCACGCACGCCGTTGCCGCCGCCACCACCACCATTTCTGTTTTCGTCGCTGCTGCCGCCTACAGCGTTGGCGTTACCGCTGGCGGCGGCGCCGGCGCCGTGAAGCAGGCCACTGACCCATGGGTCGCGAATAGCGCTAGCCGCCGCGTCGCCGTTGTTGCCGCCGTTCGAAACCTCGTTTGCCACCATGGTGCGGTTGTTGCCAGCACCCACGTCCTCATCGTCCGAGACGATCATGCTAACACTCGACTGCGGAGACGGAAGCAAGGCTCGGGCGCCGCCATCACCGCCGGCGCCGCCTCCCGATGGACCCGCGGGTCCAGATTTCACCTCTGTCGCTCCAGCCTGTTCAGGCCCAGTGCTGCCGGCACGCGACAGTCCTCCTACCGCAGCTCCCGGAGCTTCCGACTGAACGCGACGGACGTCGGGTTGCGAAGAGGAAGAGTTGCTGGTTGACAACAGGGGCACGGCTGCCGGCGGTGTTGGCGATTGAGTGGCGCTCGAGCGAGACAGCTCGCGCCGCGGCGACGGTAGCGATGGCGACACTGACCGTTGTGATGCTGATGATGAGGATTGCTGAGCCGGCGGAGGCATACCCGGGGCGAAATTGAGTTGTCGTCGAACTCCTGGAGGCGGCGGACGAGGCAGCAGGCCCGACGCGTGCCGCGGCAGCAGCGAAGAAGGACGTCGCGGCGGCAGACCACGATTGGCGGACGACAGCGTTCCGCCAGCCGCTGGCGACGGCGACAGCCCCGTCGCCGCCGCGGGCGCCGGCGTCATCGCCAATGCCGTCGGCGACGGCGACATCGACCGACGCGGCGAGGCACTCCACGTCGGCGGCGTCGCCGACGTCGACGGTGTACGACGCAGTGACGACTGACGGAAGGGCAGCGTAGCTGGCGGCGAGTCAAAGGTCTCAAAGCTGCCGCCGCCGCCGACTGCGCCGCCGGCGGTACTGCCGTACATGCTTCCCAGTCCTGACGGCAGCAGGTTGTCCGCCGCCGACTCAAACACCTCGGCCAGTTGCTGAGAGAAGGCGTCTGCGTGGATGCTGCAGCTGCGCAGGATGGGCGCCGGTGGCGGCTGCGGCAGCGGCGGCGGCTCGTCTTCCAGCATCAAGCCCTCGTCGCCGTCATCGCCCATGTCAGGCGGCGGCTCGCATGCCTGCGCGCCAAGGGTGCCGGCGGCGTACCCAGCCGTCGAGTTGTACGGAAGCGGCGGTGGCGCCGTCGCCGTCGTGTTGAAGGCCATGGCGGAGGTCCAGGGACTGGTTATGCCGTCAGATGATGTCATCTCGGAATTCTGCTGCTGCTGTATGCCGATGGCGAAATCAAAGGGACTAGCGCCGTACATCATGTCGTACGTGGTGTCGTACTCGGCATTGCCGTACGGCGCTCCTGCAGGCTGTTGCGTCGCCGCATTACCACCCTCTGTCGCGACCGCCGTATCGTCACCAAACCCTTGGGCTGACGCCGTCGACGGCGGCTTGCTGGCGGCGGCGCTAGCGGGACCCCCGCTGCCTCCAGCCGCCAACGCGGCGGCAGCGGCGCCGGCCGTCGTGAAGGGGCAGCAGGTGCTCCAACCTCGCGTCGGAAGCGAAGCAGTGTCTGCATTGTCGTACGACGACGGCGGGGGAGGCTGGGCGTCTGCAGACCGAGCAAGCGGCGTGGTGACTTCAGCAGGGGAAGCGGCGGTGCCTCCGCTGCCACCTTGTGATGCTCGGAAGGCCGCCGCAGCCTTTAAGGGAAGGGGCGGGAGGACGGAAGAGCAGGAAAGGAGGTTAACAAAATGTTTTAAGATTACAGACCGAATGAACGGGCAGATGGGCTCAGTAGCATTTAAGCCGTAGACAGAGCTGCATGCATATGAGCATTACAACTTGGTGTAGGCGACAGGTATGCATAATCGCTATGCATCTCGCGTGCTTCAACGCATGCCCGAGGCCTTATAAGCATAGCAACCAACGCGCGGCAACGGCAGGGGGGCTGGCGTTCCCCTGTCAGCGACCCTACTTGCCCCAGTGGCCCTGTATTCCCGATAGAACCAAAGCTAGCAAAGCTCCCAACTAGCGCACCACTCACCGGCTCAGCTCCCGAGGACAGCTGCACCTCCAGCACCCCCTCGCCCTCCGTCTCGGTGCCCTCAGACACGCCTCCGCCTCGTGCTACGGCATCCTCGCGCGCCTCTGACACCGCCGCCGCGCCGCCGCCGCCACTAGCAGCACCAGCAGCCCCGGTCCCGGCGCCAGAATCACCCAGTGCTAGGAAGTGCGACCAGTTGGGACCCGTGTAGCCCACGTCACCGTACGGCGACAAGCCGCCGCCGCCGCCGCCGCCAGCGGCGGCGCCTGACAGCGGCGCCGAACGGCCACCGCCTCGGCTGACGGCGGCGGCGTCGGCGGGTGTGGCGTCGGGGACGCCGCTGCCGACACTCCGCACGGAGTCGCCGCTGGTCATGATGGAAGAGGTGCTTGCGGCGGAGCGGATGAGGGCGGACAGGATCTCGGCAGCGTCGGCCCCAGTGCCGGCGGAGGGTGCGGGGACGGAGGCCGCGATGGAAGGTGTGGCTGACAAGTCCTGCAGGGCCAGGAGAGACAGATGCAGGGGGAAAAGGAGTCAGGAAAGCTTGTAATGATGAAGGGAGGCTGCAGCATGAATATCGGTACATAAAGAGGAGGACACGCATCGGGATGGACACGTATGGCTAGAGTGTGGAAACCGCATTTGCCTTCCTACTATACCTACTAAGCACAATGTACGAATGTAGGCAAACTTAGGGTAGGGAAACGAAACGCTATCGGCTGCATGCATGCACACAACTGCCCAGCCTAGGCACCGCCGCAACACCGGCGCTTGCACAGGAACAGCAATCCACTCACCACGCCCGCCTCATACTCCTCGTACTCCTCTGGAATGGTCGCCGGCATGAGACTCGCCATCCTCACCAGCGCTCCTCGACCTAGACTCACTCCCCGTCCTGGTAGCAGCCCGCCGCCGCCACCACCACCACCACTCGGCATTGGTAAAGGCAGCTGTGATGGTCCCTGAGAATACGACCGCGGCGGCGGCAGCGGCTGGAATTGCTGCTGGTACTGCTGCTGTTGCTGGCGCGCTGTTACGGAGGCAGGCAGAGGCGTCGGCCGGTACGACGGGCTGTACGGAGTGAATGCTGGCGTCGCAGGCAGCGCCGCCGCCCACCCAGGCGAGCGCAGCGGTTGCTGCCGTTGGGCGTCTGCTTGCTGCTGCAGCGTCTGGTGGAAGTGAGAGCGGTTGAGTTGGTGCGCCGCGCACAGCATTGCGCTCTGCTGCTGTTGCTGCAGTCGAGTCATGCGGGCACCCGCTGATGGTGACGGTGACGGTACGACAGCCAGATTGGAGCCGCCATTGCGCGTGCCGCCGGCGCCGTACCCGGCGGCGGCGGCGCCCCTGGCACCGCCCTCCGACATGCCGCGGGGAAGCCACGGAGACGCGCTACTGCCGCCGCTGGCGGCCGCGGCGGCGCCGCCGCTGCTGAGACTCAGCTCCCGACGGAGGAAAGACGTCCTGGACAGGATCGGCGCCGGCGTGCCGTTGCTGCCGTTGCCGTTGTCGTTACTGGCGTCAGTAACTGCCGTACGACCGAAGACGTCGTTGTCCTCCTGGGGTGACGCCAGCAGCGCCGACCGAGGCGGCCGCGGCGGCGGGCGCGCTGGGGTTCGCCAAGAGGAGGAGGCGCCGTCGCCGCCGGAGTCATCCTTGATGGTGGATAGAGCAGAACGCTCGCCGCCGCTGGCGGCAACGTCCTGTCGGATGAGTCGCGTCGGCGTGGCGGCGGCGGCGACGGCGTCAGAGGTTGCCGGGCCCTTGGCAGCATGGATGGTCGATGCCGGCGGAGCAGCGGCAGTTGGAAGAGCAGCTGTAGCAGCAGCGTTTGGGGGGCCAAATGCGTCCAGCAACATAAGGGTGCGGGAGATGGCGGCAGAGCTCTCGCTGATGGCCCGGCCCGGGATGAGGGAAGGCGAGGGGCGAGTGGTGGTTGCAGCAAGCGGCGGCGGTTGAAGGTGGACGTTGTGGTGCGACAGGTGGAAGGAGACGTTCTGCTGCTGCTGTGGTTGTTGATGTTGTTGCTGATGCTGTTGAGGGTTCTGCGAGTGCTGTTGAAGCAGGGAAGGTTGGTGCTTTGGCGGTGAAAGCAGAGACGATGACGGCTCGTATCGTCCAGCGCGCTGGACGTGCGGCTGTGGAGCCTTCGTGGTCGCGAAACATGACCCGTGGGTCGCATCCTGCGCGACTTGAGGGCCGTCAGCACGCGCCGGCGCCAGAGCTATGCCCGCATACGTAAAATCTTGACGAGAAGATCTAACGTCTTGGGAAGCTGCTAAAGTAGCATCCAGGGCAGAGCGGTCGCCTCGATCTGGCTTGGCGGGAAAAGTAACCTCGGGCTCGCTTGGAAGGAGCAGTGCCACCGCTAAAGCCGTCCCCGCGAAGAACAGAACGGTGCAGGCGAAGATCCAATATGGAAACGGTGAAGCGTCAATAACGTGCGCTTGTAGCGCGCATTTTGGCGCGTAGTATGGTTGCTGAGAAGGGAAGCCTCCAATTGGCCACTGCAGCGAGTTGCCTTGGCAAGAGCCCGTCACGCTGTTTGGATTCCTGCAGGTGTTGACCTCAGCTGCAGCAATAAAGAAAGGAAGAAAAATCTGCAGCCATAGCGCGGAGAGCACTGCCGACCGCATTCCAGACGAGCGAAGTCAGGCCAAAGCGGGCACACCGAGCCCTTTGGAGTGTAGGATGTCTTACTGACTATGAGAAAGCTGGAGGGATGAAAACTGGGCAGTGAAGGAAGTGAGTATGTGCCAGTGTGGCCTGTACGCGCCAATTTGCGGAGGTACTGAGACTACTGCAGCTACGATGGCGTCTATATGGCGACGGCTGATCGCATAACCTAGACCTATGGTGTGATATGTACAGATGGCTACAACACAAGTACTTGCAACGCGTCCGGGTTGTCGCTTACATGGCGGGCAAAATGGCGTACGCGCGCCATTCGTACAAGCCGCCAGCAGGATTTCCCGCGAATCCGCCCCATGGCCGCATGTTGGGGCTCACAGCCTTGTCATGACCCAATACGCCTTGGATCGCATTAAGCACAAACAGGGCATTTGGTTTTCAACAAAATGCTATAGTAGTACGCCAAGTCCAGCCAAGCGTGCGACCGAGGGTTCGGCCTGACTGGAAGCTCATGTCGTGCCACACCAACCAAGATTCGTAAGCACACCTTCTAGACCCTGGCAGCACCTGAAATCTATGTTTGCTCCTATTTCTCAATCTACAAGGACAATGCGATCCCCAGCTGCGTCGCTGCTTACTGCTTCTACGGTAGCCACCTGTCCTTGCTCTACCTTCCTGCATACTTGTCTCTCGGACCCTCTCAAAATCCTCAGCCGCATCTCCTGCGCTCTCACTCGGCTACACTCTCATTTCTCTTCTCAGCCAAATCGAGACGGCCGAACAAGTGCAGCCGGCTCTTCCGCCCCGCCGCCACCTCGCCGTCCTACTCCAACTCGCTCAAGCTCGCGCTCCGAATCCCATCTCTCCGGTGTTCTCGCCAGGCCGCCCGGCTGACCCATGGGTCCATCACGCAAGCCCCATGACCCAGCAATGCGTCCCTGCGGCAGCGTACGCGCTGCCGCTGCTGCTCCATAGCCGTACCACCCACTGCCACGTGCATTCGTTGGCGCCCGACCGTTAGCGGTTGCGTAGCCCGGTCGGAAGCCCAGTTTGCGGTACGCCTCTCGGACCTTGTCGAGGACCCGGATGTCTAGCTGCCCGCGTGCCTCCAAGCATGCATGGAAAGCCGACATCCAGGAGGCCTGGGAAGGGCATGGCGAAGGCAGAAGCAGGAAGGGGTTAGAGGGGATAGGATACTCCGCACAAAAGCAGGAAAGGGTGGGGAACAAGCGAGCTTTGCATGTTACCGAAGAACTGTATACCGTACGTAACCTGCCCTGCGACCGTATCACGTGTCCCTTGTACAGGTAACTCTGCACATGTTCCCTCCAACAGCATGGAGGATATGTTGGCTTTCCATCACGAGTCAGCACAGTCTAGAGTCTCTGTTGGCAGTTAAGCACATTTCAACCGCCAAGTGCAACCCTCCTTTGTCGACAGCTACCGGTATAAATAATGGCCAGACCGGTTACACGGCTCCGTTGTTTTGCACACACCGATGACACACACACACGCACACGGCCACTCTCGCTGGCACACATGCAGGCACCCACGCACCTGAGGACGGTAATCCATGGCCGCGAGCGCGTGTACGACCATCGCCAGCGCTTGCGGCGTGAAGAACCGCAGCCGTTGCTCCGCGCGCCGCAACACAGCCTGCAGCCACTCGTCGTCCGGCCGTAGCCCCAACTCCGCCGTACTGTACAGCACCGTCGCCAGCGCCTGCGGCTGTAGCTCATGCAGGAGATTTAGGACCGTGTCGTACATTCGCTGGATCCAAACCTCGCCCGGCCTGTACTGCAGCTTGGCAAAGGCCCAAACCAGGTTGGAGAGTTCTTGTTGTGAAAAGTCCTGCATGTAGACGGCCCCGTAGCGCTCAGCGGCTGAAAGCAGCTTGCAGCTGCTGTTGGTTACTGGAAGACGAAGCGTCGCGAGGGCCCACAGGGACATGGAAACGTCTTCGGGGCGGCAGTGGCCGTGACGGGTTGGTGTCGTGCGGGAGCTGGTATCGGCGGTTGCGGCTATCGTGGACGCTGCCACTGCTGCCTCTGCTGCTGCTGCAGTATCCTCGCACTCAGCGTGCTGCGACAGATGGCTAGCTGGGGGGCCGATTGGCTGCTGACGTACGTGTGTTCGTTGCGGCAAGGGGGTAGCCGCATCACCAGCAATGCAGCTGTCGTACATAATAAGGGTCACGAGCCTCTTGCACAGCGCCGTCAGAACCTTGGGCTGCGGCGGAGATCGCAACTTCGCCATGCCGTACAAGATGTTGCTAGCCCCCTGCGCCGTCAGATCTCGTACGACACGCATCAGCGCTATGCCGTAATCCTCCGCCCAGTCCTCTCGCAGCCCGTTAATGCCGCAAGATGCGATGCACCAAATCAGTTGCGACATGTCGTACGCATTGTACGGCAGCGTCCGAGTTTTCTTTGCATGGGCCCCTCCTTTCCATTGCGAGCTACTTGTCTTACCAACCGACTGACCGCTACCACCGCCGCTGCCGCTGCGAAGGTTTCCGTCGCCGTGTCCAAAGCCCGAGACGCTTTCAGCACTGTTACCACCGCCGCTGCCAGTACTGCTGTTGCTGCTGCTGCTGTTGACACCGCACGTTAACCCCGCCGCCGCCGAAGCAGCAGCAGCAGCGAGGGGAACAGCAGCGGAAGCAGCACCAGCAGCTCTACGGGCAGCGGCAGCGGCCGACCACGTTGCGAAGCGGCTGCGGGCGGCCCCCATGAGGCCGATGAAGTAGGGCTTCAACAAGGGGTGGCGCAGCCTGGGAGGGGAGCCAGAGGTGTTGGGGGTATGGAAGTAAGGTCAGGCGGGAGTGATAGTTTTTCGGGGGTATGGAACGAAGAGGATTAGCAGTGGGCTGGCATGAGGGGTATGGGCCCCGGGCGCAAGAAAGTTGCGAGCGCGACAGGAAAGACCAGGAAAGGCAATCCATGTTGGTTAACCCTTAACTGCCCACCCGTACCCAGCACTGATGCTGTCCCCCCGCTGCACGTGTTCCCACTCACCGGACTAGCGCGTAAAAGATGGACACGACCTCCCGCATCCGCATGTCAGGAGACTTGGTCATCATGCCGCCCCAACGCGCCAGCCGGGATACCATGCCGTACAGCTGCCGTGCTTCCGCCGGGTGCGACGGCAACCCCGTAGCCGCCACCAGACGTGCCGTACGTGTAAGCATGGCGGCAACGTGCTTCGGTGTCAGCGGCAGCATGGACAGCGGCATTGGCTGCATCGGAGGTTGCATTAGGAACGGGCCGCTGCTGCTGATGCTGCTGCCGATGCTGGCCGCAGCGGCGTTGGGGGCAGTTCTGGGGCTAAACGCCGCTGCATGGGGCGGCAGGTGTGGTTGAGGCCCAGCCGCCGCTGCCGTCGTAGCGGACAAGTGCGGTTGGGGCTGCTGCGGTGGGCACGACTGCACCTGAACCGGAGCATCCGGAAGACGCCGTAGCTGCTGCTGCTGCTGGCTGTCCCGCTGCTGCTGCTGCTGCCCCAGCGGGGGTTGCAGCTGCAGTGGCTGCGACTGCAGTGGCTGCGACTGCAGTGGCTGCGACTGCGACAGCGACTGCGGCGGCAAGGCCACAGCGTTGTGTGCCGCACCCGCAGCAGCCAGCTGCGCCTTCATGCCCAGTTCGTGCTCCTGCAAGTGCCGTACCAGCAACTCCAAGATCTCCCGCCAGTGCAGAGCGCGCATCACACGCGTCGTCAAACGCATGTCGGCGAGGGTTGGCGGCCGGTGCCGCAGCGCCGCGCGCCGCCACCACGCCTTCCGCTTCAGCAGCCGATGCTCCTGGCGGCTTGGGGAGCGGGGAATGCGCCAGCCGTCGGAAACACGGTAGCGAATGCCGCCCCGACCGACCCGGATAGCTGGAGAAGGGAGCTCTGAGGCTGACGGTGGAGGTGGAGGTGAAGGAGGCGTGACGCCGCCGTCGCTGTCGCCGTCACCGCTGTCCCGCTGACGAGATCGGGGCGTGCCTGCCCTGTGTGGCTGCCTGGCGCCACTGCTACTGCTGCTAACATTGCTAGAGCAGCTAAAGCTGTGGGAACCCGTACTGTTAGTTGTGCTGACGTTGCTGTAGCCGTCGCCTTGCCTATCTAACCTGCTGCTGTTGCTGCTGCTACCGCTACCGTTGCTGCAGTTGCCGTTGGAGCCGTTGCAGGCGTCGGATCCCGGAGACGGTGCTCCCAGGTGGCCCGGAGCACCAACGGCAGCAGCGGAGGCTCCAACGAGCCCAACCGCCGCCGTTGCTGCTGATGCCGTACCGCCGCCTACCGTACTAGACTCTGCTACCGCCGGCGTCAATCCACGGTCTTGATCTACACTGGGCCCGACCTTCACAGCACTAAGCCCCTGTCCTCGCTCGCGTCCCCATACGGCCCCATGACCCCGGCTTCCTCTCAAGCCCGCCCTGCCGCCAGCCCCACTACCGCCTCTGCTGCTGCTCGCCTCACTCGTGCTGACCTCGCCCGCGCTCCGGACAGCGGCATCCAGGTAGGGCGGCAGGGCCCCGGCTTCTCCTTCCCCTCCCGCACTTGGTAGCAGCTCCCCACGCTGGGGCCCGTGGGCTGGGGGTGCGTGCGCGCTCAGCGCTCGCAGCTGCTGCTGGTCGGGGCTGGATCCGCGGTTGGTGGGCTGCCCACGCAGTTGCTGCCGCTGCTGGTGGTGCTGGTGCTGCCTCAACTGCCCCTTGCCTTGCCCGTGATGCTGCAGGCCTTGGGACCGGCGGCCAGGAAGGCCCTGCTGCTCAGGAGGGTTGGCCGACTGCGCTGTGCTGGTGAGGCCGCTGAGGTCTGAGGAGTTTTGTGCGGCCGATACAGGATGCTGTTGATGCTGTAGCGGCGGTGGCTCCTGCTGTGGGCTGTATGTCACGGCTCCAGAATGGGCGGGACGGGTGGTAGGAGTACGAGCGTGTGGGGAACCGCGCGCTAGCTGAGGCCGGTACTGCTCATGCTCATGTAGCTGGCCATGTTGTGAGTGCTGGGCTGACAATGGGTCTTGCGGCGAGCAGGGCTCGGGTGCAAGCCCACAATCCCTGATGAACCCGTCCAGAGATGGTGGAAGCAGCACTGCCGCCGGTTGCACACTGGAGGGGCCCGAAGAGCCCATGCACGCTTGCAAGCCATCGCAAGGCACGTCCGCGACGCCCGGCGACATGCGCCTTGATTGGCCTGCATGGAGATGTTGCTCTTCCTGGTACAGTACTTTGGGATGGATCGGCTGCTCTCGAAGATGCTGCTGGCGAGTTAATGCGCGAGCCTGCAAGCGTCAAGCGCAGCATCAATGCAAATTCAAGATCTCAGCTAGCACTTGTGGATCAAACTAACACTCTACAAAGTTCAGCAAAGTGTTTAGTGAAACGGCAAACTATGGCGTCGCGGCTTTGCAGCGGCGAGACCCACATCGCGACTCTAAAAGCGGCCTTAAAGCAGGCTTAGGTTGCAGCTCAATAACGCAAACATCTACATTGTATGGCACTAATATTAAATCAGCTGCGCTTGCCTTGCAAGAGCTTCCTTCAGGATAGGTTGTCACCTGCGAACGCGCCGGCGCTGCCCTAAAACAGCCTGTTTCATGAGGAAGTCCATACAAACGCGAGCCACGCTCTAGGAGCGTCCTACAGCTCCCCATGCCATGCGAGCCCCGCGTAAGTCGACCACCAAATTTAAGTGCTCATCGCAGAGCCAGCGTACAATATAAGGGCCCAAAACGAATAAGTTAGCCCTTGGCAGCTTTAGGACATTTACCTCCTTACCTTGCAGGGGCTAATCGCGATCTGTTTGTACGATAGCCCTGGAGCGCACTTGCACGTCGGTTGAAAGTTTGTCTCTGCTCGACATTGTGGACTTCTGCATTGCAGTATCACATATTTATATAATTGCCGTTGCGTACGTACTATACATACGATTTATACTTTCTGTGCAGAAAATAGTTCCTACTACAACCAAAGCTACAACATTGCTCTTGGAGAGCCTTGGCCACAGAGATACGGATTGCAGATATACAAGCGCCGGCATTGAATTTTTAGTTAACGCTTGCAATGCGACGCGCAACGACGAACGCGCTGATGCGCGCAGTCTCGACGTTCGGAGAGGGCAACTTGGGTGTAGTCGCTGACTGCGCCTGCGCAGCCAGGCTCCTGTCACAGCGTCGTTTCGCTGTGGCTGGCGTTGCTGCAGGTATGCCTTGGGTGTTGCACTAACGCTTCGGGATAACCGCACTATGGCTTAGCAGGGCATGCATCTGAACGCAACCTGTTGTTGCCAGTTGCTATTTAGGCAAGCGTGAAGCCTCACGCATAGCATGGCAACCTACTATACCTCACGGACTGCTCCTGACGCGTTCCCGACGCCCATTAACCACACACTTCCTTGCAAGCAGGGCCATTCCGTACTGCTGGCTCAGCTCCTCTGCAACGGATCTTCCCCCAATCCGCACAAGAAGCCCTGCGCAGCTTCGCCTGTCGCTCTGGCCTGGACCGTCCGCCACCAAAGACACTCGTCATCGAGTATGATCCCGCAGAGGTTGACGCGTTTATTGCGATAGCTGATGCGATTGAAGCCGCGTATCCCGTTGTGGTGGAGGGTAACCCGGATGGGGATGGGAGACTGGGGTCGTTTGAGGTGTTGACCGAGGATGGCGTCCAGATCTACAGCAAGCTGGAGAGCAAGAAGCTGCCCAGCGAGGATGACGTTATCGCGAGCATTGCGGAGCGTGTGAAGATGGCCAAGTCAGGGCCGGTGTCGGATGTGTGCGGGTAGGGTACAGCCGCTATAAACGCTGGCGATTCCATAAGCGATACGACGCGCCGCGACGTCGCAGAGGCCCGGCTAGGCAGGCGGCTGTGACCATGCTTTCCCGAATGCCGGCGCTGAAACGGCTACTAGATAGCAGGCTGGTGTACTAACTAGGTGCTACACGATAGGGCTGGCCAAGCCGGCTATTGCGGTGCAGCGGTGATGGCGCTATGCATAACGATACTCAATGCTCAGTACATGCTTAATAGGCTTTGTGGAACTCTGCGGCGATTACATGGTTGTAATCCCACCATGCGGTAAAGCATCATGGAGGCCACGAAAAGCGCCGACCAGGCGCAATCCGAAGGCAAAGACTGCGGCACAAGATCTGTCGCTCCAGGGAAGCAACAACGAACAGATACACGAACGCGGCAACTCAACCACTGGTATCACTCAACCGCTGGTATAAAAAGAAACATAAAGATAACTGCAAGTGCCTACGAGTTGGACATGCTTGGGCGATGCAAGCAACCAACCGACCTGCTCTGAAACCACGGACCATGATTTCGCATACGCATGGTTAGGACACGACAGCTGTCAAGCCCCAGGACTGAAATGAGCAAAACAATGGCATGGGGTATGACACTCCCCCCCACGCCCGAGGGAAGAAGTCACAAGGGCGGAACACAAAAAAGGAGTACCCCAGATCACACTGATGACCGGCAAGGTCAAACAGGCAACGGCATGAGAGTACGGTCAACGGAACATTAACGTAGGTACGAGCAAGCAATACGCTATCCGCTAGTACGGCAGAAACTGAGCACGCACCGACCCGTGGGCCAGCAGGCAAGCACTAGCCATGGCAACACCAATCCGGCAAGGGAAAGGCACGCGGCTACAAACCAAGAACACAGACCAGCTGATGCACAACTAAGCAGACATGGCAAGATGCTCTGTCCTAAGTGCAGATCCCCTCATCACCACATCCTAGACTGTAACTGCAAACTGACTTCTCCTCGCGCCAGTCAGGAGAAGCAAGCACGCTGACCAACGTCAATCCTATCCTGAACAAACATGACGGCCACGCGGCGCGGCGTGCCTTTTCCGACCTCAAGCGACCTACAACCAATCTACCCTGAACGACTCAAGACCACGCGGCTTGGCATGGCTTTCAGCATACACTAGTCACAAAGAAGCCCCTACAGGCAAGCATACAAGCACCATGAACAGGTCACTGCTGCGGCAAGGCAGTCTGTGAGCAGCTGTATGGCATGAACATTCACCGTCGGTGACGGCCCAGCAAGGCTTAATGTACAAGGCAGCAGCCCTCCTGTCCTACATGTAAGCGCAGTACGCCCCCCCAGACGGAGAGCATGAACTGAGGTATGTACGCAACCCCTCTCGCACGACACTATAACCAGCACACAGTCCGCAGCTAGTACCCCAAAGCGCCAGTACCAACATCCTAACGACTGCATCTACGACAAACCAGGGTTCAGAAGGCCTCGGAGGTCGTGGTGTCTCAATCGCCAAGCAGCTCCATCGACAGAACCGTAATGCCCAGGCAGGCCACCGCCACAAGAGCAGCACCCGCAATGCTGCGCCAAAGTGCAACGGTGTGACCGGCTGGTGGGTAAAACCGTGGTGCACTCGACGACCGTACAGCATAGAGGTCGTGGCTATGGCGGCTTGCGGGTTGGCCAGGACCCTTGGGTGCTGCAGGACTGAACGCTGCCGGTTGTAGAAGATGTAGAATCAGGCAATGATCAACGACGGGCTGGGCTTCGAACGAAGCTGGCTGTGCGGACGGGCTGATTGGAACTCGGATTGGGACAAGGAAGGGGACTGCAGAGGAGAAGGCAGCGCTGGGACACCAAGAGATGCCAAGAAGCCAGGACGCCCCCAACCTGCCGGGCTGCCTAATCGGCTGCGCTGTATGCAGACGCGACCAGGCATGTAGACGCGTCAACTCAGCAATAAAGCACATGGCGCCCAGGAAGAGCAGGGCTGCCAAGCGCCCCCCCCAGATAGCCGCCATGAAGCTGGAACAAGTGAAACAGTCAACACAGTCGGCGAAGGACCATATTGCAGCTCCAACTGAAGTAAACCCAATCAATGCACCCATGGCAGGCAAGCCGAAGCGTCCCGACAAAGCTTGTCGCTGACGATGTCGCTCGCCATCCCAGCAAGAAGCCGCACAGGACGAGAGCGGGGCTTTTCGTGGCAATACGGGCTTACCACTCGACAACCCGATGCGAAGGTTGAGGAGTGGCCGGTGCTGGCATGAGCACCAGGGATTAGTCGGCTGCCTGAGAATGAGGACTTATGCCGACGCGGAATGTGGCCAGATGACACTCCGCACCAGGTTGTGGTAGCCAAAGGCGCCGCCCGGTAACCCCTATAAACGCTGGCGATTCCATAAGCGATACGACGCGCCGCGACGTCGCAGAGGCCCGGCTAGGCAGGCGGCTGTGACCATGCTTTCCCGAATGCCGGCGCTGAAACGGCTACTAGATAGCAGGCTGGTGTACTAACTAGGTGCTACACGATAGGGCTGGCCAAGCCGGCTATTGCGGTGCAGCGGTGATGGCGCTATGCATAACGATACTCAATGCTCAGTACATGCTTAATAGGCTTTGTGGAACTCTGCGGCGATTACATGGTTGTAATCCCACCATGCGGTAAAGCATCATGGAGGCCACGAAAAGCGCCGACCAGGCGCAATCCGAAGGCAAAGACTGCGGCACAAGATCTGTCGCTCCAGGGAAGCAACAACGAACAGATACACGAACGCGGCAACTCAACCACTGGTATCACTCAACCGCTGGTATAAAAAGAAACATAAAGATAACTGCAAGTGCCTACGAGTTGGACATGCTTGGGCGATGCAAGCAACCAACCGACCTGCTCTGAAACCACGGACCATGATTTCGCATACGCATGGTTAGGACACGACACCGAGTGCTGTGGGCTGGTAAGGTCTGACTGCGGCCTGGGCTAGGATAAAGGAGGAGTTAGAGGGGCGCTGTTAACCGGATCAGCACATGAGGGCGTTTGAGATCACTTCCGTTACAGTGCACAGCCGTGTCTTTGCACAATCATAATACCGTAACGTGTTCAGGACCCTAACCCAAGCTCACACGCTGTAACGAGAGCCCGAAGATACACATCGGATCCGCCCAAAGCCCAGCTAGGTATTGACACACATACCCCCGGAAATCAGCAGCAGTCAGGGCATTAGCCCAGACCGCGCAGGGTCATGCCAGGGTGCCCTAGACTATACCAGAGTTCTGCTACCCCGGCCAGCAACACCGAGCCCATCATACCACGCAAGCATGCATCCATCTAACGTTTCTGCAAAACCACCAAGCGGTCCTGCAGCAAGCATTACAGTGCCCCCCCAGCATCGCTCGCTTTAATGGTGAGCACCACCCTCCGGAATGGCGCCGCCAAGCGCCTGCAAATGAAAGGACACAAAAGTTTATTTGAATGAATAGCTGTACCCTGCGGATGACATAAGTGGATTGCGGAAAGGACCGACCTTCTCCAAGGCCACTTGTCGTTGCTGAGCATCATAAGCCACCAGGTTCCTGCAATGTTGAAACACCACGTACTGATGTAATTAGGGAGAACGGCAAGCTGCCCTCGAACTATGAAACATGATTGTACAAGTGAAGTCCCCAAATGAAAAGCTATAAGGGACAGCTGTTGGGACATACCGCTGCACATAGCCATCCATGCGGTTCTGCACGACGAAAGGCATGATAGCGCACCAGCCGGTCGCGGCTGCGAACGCGGTGGCGAGGTTGCGGATAAGACCCATGGCTGGCCCGTATCAATGTATCTAATATACAGAGAATAGTAAACGGACACTTGTGTTGAAGGCAGTCTCCGCATTAAACCTTCGGTGGGTGCCGTACGGGCGCACTGATTGTTGTTATCACATTCCAGACGCACTCCTGGACAATATGCACACTTATTTGACATTGCCTTAATGCAATGTGCAATTCTGCTGCACATCTCATTTGCCGACTACCGGTAGGGTCCTTGGGTCACTAAGCGGGCTCCCAACCATTGCGAAGCAGGCACGTCATGGCCGCACCACCTGCCTGCCGTTGTCTTGTATTCTTAGTGGACGCGCTGCATGCGACAGCGGCTTCTGGGCTGCGCCAAGCGCTATCCCGCTTTGCAAATCTCCTCGCACTGAGCTGCAATCCCTACGAGCGCCCAGTGGATTTGGGCCTTGCGCTCGTAACGCGTACAGGCGCCGGCGTGCAGCTTCAGGTAAAGCATATACCCTACGCGGTAATGCTGCTGCAAACATCAAGCTGGTTGTCGCCCGTCGGAGCCATCGGAGCTGCTGCAGATACCGGTATCGCTCCTGCTGCGGCCTGCTAGCCTGCTTGTCATGGTCTTGACCTTGACCCCTAAGCGCTACCCCGCATGCATATCAACCAGCTTTTAACCGGTAACCTGCTACTGCTTACCGCCCCGGCTTCCGCCCTGCTGGTGCCAGGTTGTTTACAAGCCCTCGCGTTTCGTCCTCCGCGACTTCCAAGCAGCTGTGACTCGGTTGCGGGAGAACGAAGCCTGGACAGCTCCCGACACGAGGAAGCTAGGTGTGTGCGGGGTGTGGGGTGCAGTGTTGCTGAGTTTCCGCAACTGCATGCTCCACTCTCATCTTCGTGCTGCTGGGTCTCCCGCTCCCAACTACCACCATGCTTGCCCCCCCACCTGTCTTGCTGCGGTCCACCGCTCCCTTTTTCCCTACCCTTACCTTATTTGTCCTCGTATCAAAAAGGGCTTGGCATTTTCCTCACCCTACCACTACACGGTATCCAGCTCCGTGACCCCAATTCAGCACTCAGCCATTAATGCACCTCACCCACTCCCAAGCCTCCCTTACTCCGCGCAAGCTTGCTCCTCCCCCACCAAACCTCCGCACTGCTGACGTCACCCCGCCCTCGCAGTGCTGGCCCTCCGTTCCCTAGTACAGCACCTGGCTGCCTCTGCTGCTGCTGCTACCCCGGCAGGCGGGGGTCCACAGCAGCACGATCCGCAGCCGCAGCTGCAGCCGGCCACCCCGGCCAGCAGCAGCCGGGTGGTGGTGGTGGCACACAGCTTCGCCGCACCGCCCGGGGGACTGCTGGCGCGCGTGTTGGAGGTGGGTCAGGGTGGGGGCGAACAAAGGAAACATACAGGTGTGGTGCACCTGGCTACCCTTGGGTGCGGGAATGGGATGGGGCGTCCCAAGTGCTGATGGGTGGGGGCCGGTGACGTGGTAATGGCGAGTAGCGTGGGCTGATAGGGCGAGTGTTGGGATCTCATGTAGTCATGTTGTGGACCGGACTAAAGGCAGGCGGGCAATTGCTGGAAGACGCATGCGAGTAGAATGCTGCCCTCCTGGCTGCTGCTAGAAAGCTGATGTCGGGGCTGCTGGCTGCTGGGATGTGGCGTGATGAGGTCATGACCCACGGGCCATGGCATGCTGTCGACGTTTGCAGGAGGCGGCCCAGAGCTTGATCCGCGTGAGCTTCCTCGTCCTCAACACGGAGCACTCGCTGCCAGTGTTCAGGTGGGGTCGTGTTTCCTAAGCTCTGCCTGTTTCGGGGACTCCCACTTCGCCACCCGCAACCATACTGTCGCGCTAGGGAGAGTTGCACTCTCGGATATACGTAATCAGGCGCAACTAGATGACCGGTCTTACAGGTCTGCTATTCGGGCTTCAGACGCTGATAAAGCGGCGGCGGCGGCAGCAGCAGCCGCTACCGCTGCTGCGGCAACGCCGCAGACCGCTGCAGACGCTTCCACTGCTGTCGGGAACAGCAACGCCGGAGGCGGCGCGGGTGTGGACACTGACGTCTTGGCGGCCTTCGCGAACGGCGGTGACACATGGGATCTGGAGACAGCTGCGGCGGTAGCGGCAGCGGCGTTCCTTCGTGCTCTGGATCCCTATGAGAACGCCGACCTCCTCTCCGCCACCTTGGCAGGTACAGGCTCGCGCCAGCCTTTCGCTGTCATGTAGCCTTATGGCCTGCAACCTCTGTGCTAACTGATACTTTGAAACACTCAGGCGACGCATACCCCGATTTAGCACGTAGCTCATGTTCCTGCCTTAGGACAGCTTTCCTATCTAGCTCCCCCATGCTTTTTCCAATCGTTGCAGTCCTTGCATCCTACTTCACTACCCTGCATGCAGATCCCCTAGCACTGGAGCAGATCTACATGGGATGGCTGCAGCAGCTGCTACAGCCGCTAACACCACCAGAGGTGCTGCTGCTACTGCCGGCGGACTCCGGAACCACACCGACCGCAGCTACACCTGCAGCAGCAGCTCAGCCCAACCCAGGATCAGGCGTTGGTACGACATCCGACAAGCTGCAACCGTACGAACAGCAACAACGAGACCCCGCTGTCGTACGTTGTTCCCTGACGAGTCAGCTGTCGTACATGAACCCCAGGTGCATCCCCTGCCCTCTATGCCTGTGTCACGGCATGCCCACGACGCCGCTGCCGCCGTACGGACCCCGGCCCAGCTACTGCCGTATGGCGCGGGGGGTGCTACTGCCGCCGGACGCAGCACCTGCGGATCCCCTCACTGTGAGGCTGGGAGCGGGCCCGGGACATGAGCTACGGCTGTCAGGGCGCGCGGGTCCCCCGCAGGTGGGTTACGACGGGGCGTGGGGGTGGCACGGGAGAGGTCCGTGTGTTTTTGTCGGCTTGCTGGCTTGCTTGGATGCGAGGAGGACAGGAAGGGGAGAGGGAGGTGCGAACTGTGCGTACCTTTGCCGCATGCATGACCGACTTGTTAAGGGGCATGGAACGTCGTACAGGGTGTGGTGGAGGAGCCGTATTCGGCCATGGGAGCAGTGGCATCGGATCCAGGAGTGCCGTCCAAGGAAGCCGCCGCCCATGCCGTACCCCCACCTGCCGTACGGTTGACGGTTGAGCGTGTTGTACGGACGGCCGAGGTGGATGAGGGACTCGTGTACGGATGGCCGCAAATACTCTCGCCGTACATTAGGGAGGAGGACGAGCAGCAAGATGAGGGCCAAGAAGTCGATACGTCGTACGGCGGCGGCGGCGGTGACGTCATCCGCACCGCTGGCGGGATGGCGGCGACGGAGCGGTTGGCGGCGCTGGCTCAGGCAAGTCATGGCAGCCTTTCGTGTCATGCATGGACCGCATGACAGCTTGTAGCGGTCACAAGGATACGTCAATGTTTTTCTTTTCTACGGGTTTGTTTCGACATGGGGTTTCCTCAGTAGCGCGTCCGCCGCCATGCTTGCGCCGTTTGGCCGTGTATACAGGTGCTGCAGCAAGAGGGCGCGGCGCTGCTTGCTTCCGCCAACGCAACTCTGTGCGACGGACCCGCGGGTCAGTCGACGCCCTTACCGACCAGCATCAAGCAATGGTACTTGCTGCTCCCGGTAAGCATTCTAGCTATGACAGCGACTTGATGTGTGCCACTTGGCTCGGATGCAAGTGCTAGGAGGCATCTGTCCATATGCCGTACGAGCCTGTAACCCTGAGTTATGCCATCTGCTTCCTCCCTGCATGTACAGATTCGCAAACTGCCTATTGTACCGTATCAGCAACCCCCAGGTTGTGCTACGGGCACGGACAGCGCCTTTTGAGGCCTTACATGATACATCACACCAAATCCGGCCTAACTTTTACTCCACAGGGCTCTGGCTGCTTCCTGCTGCGTCAGCTGGCATGCAGAGAGCAGCTCATACCCCTTCAGCCGCCGCCACTCAGAGCACCCGGCGGACCGCCCCCGGCGGACCTGGCGGCCGCGAGGCGGGCGCTGCAGCTGCTGCCGGGTTGGGATGCGGTGACGGCGGCGCTGCGTTGCGGTAGGACAGAGACTCCCCCCGCTTTGCCGCCGCCGGATGGAGTAGGGACGGGAGCTGCGACGGAGGCGGAGGCGGAGATGGCGCCCGCGGGGCCGTCAGAGGCCAGGGCGGCGCCGGGGGCCACCGCTGGTACCGGTAGCGCTGCGAAGGACGGAGGTGGCGAGGCTAATGGTGCGTCTGTCGGCGACAACGACGGCAAGAAGGAAGAGGGCGGCGGCGGCAATGATGGCGGCGGCGGAGTCGATGGCGGGGAAACCTCCGCCAGACAGGATTCATCAAGCGTTACGGAACGGCCGCCGGCGGCGGCTGACGAGAGCTCCGACGCCGCCGCGGGCGCAGCTGTGCCGGCGGACGTCGCGGCCGCCGCCGCCAGCGTCGACGGCAGCGGTCAACCTGCGACGCCTCCGCCTCCGCCGTCCTTTTCGCCGCTGATGCTTAGCAGCGGGTGTCACGAGGTGCTGGCGGCGCTGCTGAGGGACAGTGTACGGCTGACGCCACGGGCGACGCAAGCGGCGGCGGCGGCGGCGGCGGCGGCGGGGCCCGAATCCGCGGCGGAGGTGATGACTCCGGCAACAGTGCGTCCGCAGGGCTCTTCCGCCGCTGCCGCTGCCGCTGCCGCTGCCCACGCACCATCAATGCCTCCAGCGGTGGATGCAGCAGCCGGGGCGCACCCAGATCCCATCGGACGAGGCCCTTACCAAGACCTGGCGGCGGCGGCAGTGGCGCCGCTGCCGCCGCCGCCGCCGCCGATGACGTCACCTCCGTTCCAGGAGCCGCATCCGGCGGCAGGGTTGTTGCGGACGCAGCCGCCACGTGCCGCCAAGGGCGCTGGGCAGCAGCAGCAGGTGGGTGCTGCCCCTCGCCCTTTCTGTTACCCACCGAAGCCTTCCGGAGACCTGGTGTTCCCGTGTCGTGGTGCCGCTGTATGTAGTGTGTTGTCACAACGTTATCAACAAGGATGTTATTGTTGTTGTTCGTTGTGGGCTGCGGAATTGGCGATGCATGCGATTTTCCAACTCGTTTTCTACTGAACGCCACAGTCTGTAAGCGCCCTGCTGCGTTTTACCCCTTTACCCATTCGTTAGCAAGTCCAGGCACCCCCACCAGCGCCGGCTGCTGCTGCTGCTCGTACGACACCCACCGCAGCCAAGCGGCCCATGGCGCCGCATGGCCCGAGGGCAGCCATTCCAAGGCCCGAAGCAGCAGCAGCGGGTGGCGGTGGAGTTTCTGGTGCTCCAGGGACGGTGGCAGCGGCTCAGACCTTAGGCCAGCAATGGGCCTCTATGAGACAGCAGCAGCAGCAGCAGCAACCGCAGACGCATCAGCAGCAGTCGATGGGTGCAGCGGCGACAGGGCAGCAGCAGCAGCAGCCACAGCAGCAGCAGCAACGGCAGCAGCCGGCGGGACCGACAGGCAGACGTGCTGCTCTGCGCCTGGCCCCAACAACGCGTGGCTGATTTTGGCGGTTCCCGTGCTCTGTAAGTGAGTCTTTATGACATTATCCGAAGGGGCAGACATGGCCGTCAGGTAAGCCGCCCTGTAATGAGGTAATGCTGTGTAAGCAGGGTACAGGCGGCGTGCACGTCCGTACGGTGCGATTGCTAGACGCACGATGATGGTGTCCCAAGGGTCACTGACGCCTCTTAAGAAGTATGGTGTACGCGGCGGCCTAGGCAGGGACATACATATGACGCGCAGTAACAAAGTTAGATGTGTTGCATGAGTGTGTATAATCTTGACTGGAAGTACTTGGCGGCGAGGGGCGAGCGGCTGGGCGGCGCGTAAGGGCCGGCACGGGTTGGGCGGGATGTAGAGGCATGGATGCCAGGGCCCCCTACCGGCATACGGCACCAAGAAACCAAGAGCGGGTGCTTATGTGTACGGAGTGAGGGGCCACATGTCAGGGCCCTGGAAGGAGACCGATGCCCCTTGTGCAACTGCGTGTTTGCGGCTTGTTGTCCGAGGTGGTTGCGGGAGTTACATACTTTCATTATTTGGATCTTAGCCTCATTTATTCCCTTCCGCACGGCACCCTTTCCTGTTCAGCTGTCATACAAGCCGTGCAGTTCTGCAGTAACACGCGTCCTCCTGCGTAATCATGCGCACCCCGCAACTTTTCACGCAGTGGCCCCTGGTACGTAAGCGTATCCAGCAACTGCGCACGTACATATCCCAATGCAGGTCACCAAACCCCTGCTCTGGCCCGTTTAAGACAGGCAATCTTGGGGGCATCGATTACCCGTCCCAAACAGTAACGTTCGTAATCACAGTTACTCCGTAAGGGATATATAGGTTGCAAACACGGGATATAAAGAAAGGAAAAACAGAAATGTGAACTGCACAGTGGGCTGGGAATCTGGCCGTACAGGAGAGGACTGTACAACAGAAACGCCGCATTGCAGGAATAATGTGCCGTATGTGCGTACCCACACGCACGACGGAACGCAGCACAACACATAAACAATTATTGTTGTGAAAGAGAGAGAAAAGAAAGAACCATACGATAACCAGCGAAACACAAGAAGGCGGCAGCATAGTTTGGCAGCCCCGAAACACATAAACAGCACAACACCGTAATTCCTGTTGCAGCGAAACAAAATTGCAATGACCAATGGTCGTGTAAGCCTTGCGGCATTTCAGCAGTACGCAAGAACAAAGATAAGAAGAGAAAGACATATTGTCATCACACCCTGTACGGCTTGCGAACGGCACAAGATGGCATTCGTTTCAAAAGAGGTTTTGCAAGCATCCTGGCCACTAGGTATGCGGAGTACGCATATCCAGCTATGTACTTGCCGCTTATAGCCAATGCGCGCAAAAGGACAAACGGTACGCTGCAATGCCGTACGTTACGCCGCTGTTAGCTGTAGCCCAATAGCCGCAAGATGCAGCAGATCCGACTTGGCAGTTGTAGCCGTTTCATTGGCGTTGATCCGCACACCAACGACCTCCTGCTGACGGAACTCAGCAGCAGTCAGCTGTGGCTGAAGCACCGCAGCGGTTACGGCAAAGTAGTTGAGGCCCGGGCACCTGAGCTTCTGACCCGAGCTGCCGGTGTAGAGTGTCACCCATTGTGTGGTGTTGCCCTGCGAGGTCAGGTTTGACCAGGGGGCAGGCAAAAGTCTACTAGAAGGATAAGGTAAGCCAGGCTAGGCGCCTAAATTGCTATTAAGGGTAAACGGTACGGCACGTATGTTTAATATTTATTTGTCGGTTGTGAGGAGCAGGCCTATTTACTAACATACTAAGGGATATTGGCGCAATGTAACCGGCTACCTAGCTAGCTATGTAGTCAAGTGTACGACGTGCGCGGCATGTAAGCATGTAAGCGAGTAAAGCCGCCGGACAAGCCCATTTCCCTACATTGATAGCTGCTGCCGGTAGCTTCCCCAGTGTCCTGCCGTACCTTGTTAGGCGCCCTCAGCAGCAGCTCAAGGGAGGTGAGCGGGGGATCAAATCTGCCGCGGTTGAGGACGTAGATAGCCACGTTGAGCAGCCTGCTTGCAGTAGCAACTGGGGTCTGGTTGAAGTAGCCGACCACGTTACGGGGAGTCTGGAGGGATGGGCGGACATGCGATTGTATGTGTCCATGTGGAGTGTTGGGAAAAAGGAGGAACGGAAGTGGGGATGAATGCGGTAGGCTCAAGCTGCGGGCCTGGCCGGCTTGAAGGAAAGCAAGGTACGTTTGTATCAGGCCAGCTTACAAGCAAGGCTAGATAAGGCTTCAGACTACAGTGGCTAACCTTGTCACAAGAGACAATTCTGAATTTCTGATGGGAGCAGGTCAATGCTTGTCCTGCTTACCACGAGTGTTGGCACCCAGCTGATGCCGCCCGCTGGCTTGCATGCCTTGATGGCCCGGACCTTCTCACTGGGCGGCCCCACAATGCGGTTGGCTGAGCCCGTGGCGGCGCTGGATCCGGATGGATCCTGCGCGCGATACCCCACACGCCGTACGGAGGTTCCGAACAAAACGTCAGTTGGAAAGTAGTTATACTCGCGGCAAAAGATCGGTCATGCAACATGAACCTCGAAAGTAAAGCTGTTAATTGAGCTGATGCAGCAGCATACGTGTGAGAATACCGGTAGGATCCAATACACACAACAACGCCGCATGTTGCCGCACGTGAGTGCGTGCAGGGAATGAAGCATGGGGAAGACGGGTGTAAATAAAGCCCTAACAATCAAACGCACTTCCTACGCTACCAACAACCAAGCGGGCTGCTTCACAGGAACGTGGCACTCACGGTGGGACCTGAGGCGGATGTGGCCCAGTACATGGTAGGGGCTGGGGGCGGCGGGAGGGGTCTTGGTGGGGGGGGCGAGGGTGGGGGAGGTGATGGCGGCTGAGGGGAAGGCGGCAGGGGCGAGGGAGGTGGCGGCGAAGGCGGCGGAGGCGAGGGAGGAGGGGGCGAAGGCGGCGGAGGCGAGGGAGGAGGAGGGCTGGGGGGCTGGGGCGAGGGTGGGCTGGGAGGAGGCGGGCTGGGAGGTAGTGGTGGTGGCGGGCTTGGTGGTGGAGGAGACATGGGAGACGGAGTTTGCGGACTAGGCGGAATGAGTGGAGAAGGGCTGGGAGGTGGTGGGCTGGGTGGTTGGCTAGGGGGAGGAGGGGGGCTGCTCAGGATACGGGGTGGGGGCGGAGGTGGAGGAGGACTGGGGGAAGGCGGTGGGGGAGGAGAAGGAGAGGGCGGAAGAGGCGAGGGCGGCGAGGGCGACGGAGGAGGAGGAGAGGGCGGCGAGGGCGACGGAGGAGGAGGAGAGGGCGGCGAGGGCGACGGAGGAGGAGGAGAGGGCGGCGAAGGTGATGGAGGAAGAGGAGAGGGCGGAGAAGGTGAGGGAGGGAGCGGAAAGGGCGGAGAAGGCGAGGGAGGAGAAGGCAAGGGAGGAGCTGGCGAGGGCGGTACGGGTGAAGGAGGCAAATCTGCACGGAAGGCAAAAGGCAAACCTTATATATGGCTTACGTTAAGATGTGCGCGGTGACTCGTAAAAACATGAGGCAGAAGTAGGGGAAACCAACCAGTCTCATCCAATGCCCGCCTCCGAACAGTACTGGTAACGCACTTTAGCACCCCAAACCTTCCCTCCCATTCTTCCCACCTGCTCCTGCTGGTTTCATATACAAGCAAGCACCAGACGATGATACCAAGGGGAGGCCGGGGATCCTGACGCAAAAGTCGTACCAGGCGTCGCTAAAGTACACGGCGAACCCGATGCAGCCAGGTCCCGCGTCGGCACATGCTTTGCTGTAGGCGTCAACAGTCGTTTGGTAAGAAGCTTCGCCAACCCCGACGCAGTTCACATGGAAGTCTTTCGTTGCATCGCCGATGAGGAAGTCGCTGCCCACCGTCAAGTTGTACCCAGGAACAGCATTGCAGTCAGCGCCGACTGTGGAATGTTATTAAGCGGAAGGGTTGCTACGGGTTCTTACAACAACAATGAGACATGGCAACTTAACGTGGGTACCCCATGTGTCGTCCATGCAAGCAAAGGAGGTTAATAGGCAGACAACTCTGCAGTAGCATCTGTAAGCGGTCTATCGCTATTGGCATTCACGTATAACGGTGAGGTCGAGCCTTCTTAATAGCTGGTAAGTAACTTATTTCTGGTAACCGTCGTTGGCGTATCATGGTGGAGGCTTTGGAAGTCAGGCATGCAAAACAACTTACCATGAACTAGCAGCGTGAAGGCAATGCAGGCCAAGCCGAGTGCAACTTGAAGGGAGGTTACGCGAGAGGGCTTGCCTTCGCCTCGACACCTTCTACCTACTCTCATCTTATCAGAGTTGAACATCAAGGACAACACATAAGCGTTTATACCAAAATGCAGTTTTGACAAGGTTTTCTGTTGAAGCACGGAAAGACCCGTCATGCAGCCACTCGGAAGTGTACGGTCCGCCATAATAACCAAACGTTTCGAGGAATAGCTGTGATGGACTTGGTATTCAAGACTGACTCCGCGACGAAGAGGCTTTCCCGCTTATTTAAGTGTCAGTAATTAACACTTCCAAGAAATGGCAAAAAGCTTTTATCGGTATGCTAGGGCTTCGTGTCTGCCGTCACTGCAGTCTGACTTTTGTATCAAGTGCTTTTGGCTTTCATGCACAGCCAAATGTAATGAAAGCAAACGAAAAATTGTCAGCATGTGGCTCGCCAAGTACATCGCCTTTATTCACTCCTTGTCAGAAGTCCGCGGAAATAAGGGGGGGTGGTAGTTGCCATTCGATCTCCACCGCCCGACCGCCATTGCCAGCCCCGCCGGCGCCAATCCTTCCCTAGGTTGGTAGGCATTACTTTTTAATGTTCCTCGCATACCTGTTCGCTCATAGCTGCTCGCCCCAGCGATCCGCGTGAAGCGCAAAAAATGGCCCAATTTGCAGCGTGCACGCCACGAACGCCGTTACCGAGTTTGTATCACCACGTCCACTCCACCCATCGCCCGCTCAGAATCCTAACATATACTGCCAAATGCGCCTGTGGTAGCTGTTGGATTAATTACAAACAAGGTATGGTACTGCAGCCAGTGTGTGTATGGCAGGCATGCGGCCAAGCATGCCCTACTAGAGGCCCGTGGCTGTCGTACACCGTTAAAGGGGAGCACAGCTCCCTACACCCGGGAAACATTGTTGACAACACTCGTATAGACATGTTATGCTAGCTACCGGAAGCTTGGAGACAACTCCCAGGGGGAACATGACTAAAAGTGAACACCCTTGACTGACAGCAAAGCTGTGTACAGCAGACCGAAAACAAGTACTACATTATGAGGGCTTCCTTTTATTGTCTGCGCCCTGACTGTGCGAGCAAACAGTACGGGTGGGTAGTTCTTCGCCTATAGGCCGCGCCTTCCGAAGCGGACAGCACCATTCAAAAAAACGAGTGAAAACAAGCCATTTCCGTGAGAGGGGTATGGAGGGAGCGAAAAAAGGCCCAAATTATTTCCACGAATATCTGTCTGGGAGTGATTGCTACGACCATCCAAGTAACACCATCCAAGCAACAACTCGCTAATCCTTTCCCCTAGAAGGTATACCCACATAGGTTTAGGTTGAAGTCCGAAAAGCCAACACAACAAACCCAGTATACATTGAAAGGACTCCCGCCAAATGGCTGTGCAAGTGGACCCACAGATCCCTTCTATGTGCGAGAATAAACGTACCTGCTTCCCCACCGAGCGGTGCGCATGCGCTCCACCCCTTCACATTAGCAGAGCCCAAACCCTGTGCCACCTAACCAAGCTGCTGCTGCAGCCGTGCCGCTAGTCGCCGCACAACCGCCGCCTGCAGTAACGCCGTGGCACCCCCACCCCCACCACCACTTCCCCCCAGACTACCGCCCCCGGGCCCCCTTTCCCTCGCTCCTTTCCCTTGCCCACCTCCGTCCCTTCCCACCACCTCCGCCGCGTCTGCAAAGCCCTTCACCCTCAACACCTCCGCCACAACGCTCCGGACCCAACCCCCCATGAGGCCCCCGCGCTCCTCGTACCCAGCTTGCACACGCCCGCCCCCGCCCCCGACTCTGCCCACACTGCCACCCTCCGCCCCGCCTGTCGTACCACCACCAGCAACAGCTGTTTCCCCGGAGAAGTAGCGGACGTCAGGGCATCCGGCCAGCAAGCGCGAGGCCACGGACCGCACCCTCTCCTCGAACTCCGCTACGACACCGCATCCACCCCCATGGTAGGACTGGTAGGACTGGATTCCGGCGCATGCGGCTCCTAGCCCTTCGCCTTGGGATGGCGCCAGGGGTGGTGGTGGTGGCGACAGGCTGCGGCAGCGACCGCTTCCTCCCCATGCCAAAACACCTGCAACCGCCGCGGCGGCAGTTGCGGGATGCGAATGTGTTGGGCAAGGACTGGGACTGCGGCTGGGGCCTGGCTCGTATTTCGTCCCGCTATGGAACAAGTGGGACGAGCAGGCGTGTCGTACGGCACCCGAAGCCCGCATGTGCTCCGAAACCTGGGCAGCCAGCGACGCGGCCCGCTGCTCTAGCTGCTCCTCTATTTGGCGGCAACGGGGATGGAGAAGAACATGTTGGTTGCGTTGATGGGCCTGGCCGTGCGCCGATGCCGTAATCTGCTGCTGATGATGATTATGATGATGACCTTCCTGGGAGGGAGCCGTGAGAGCAGTCCCCTTGTTCGGCAGCAGTAGCTGTTGCTGCTCCTCGCTGGCAGGGTGTTGTTCTTGGCCCTGCGGCCGTTGCTGCTGTTCGCGTAGTTGTTGCTGGTGGTGGTGGTGGTGGTCTCCTCCTGCAGCCGCTGCTGCTGCTGCCCCAACAGTTCCACCGCCGCCACCAAGGTTACCACATTGCATTGGCGTGCCGTACTTTCGGTACTGCTCCAACGCCGCCGCCAACAACCGCTTGTTCTCCGGTTCGTACAACTGCAACTGCTTAACCGCCGAATCGCATGCCGACGCCACGTAGTCCTCCCACATGGCTGCAGCAGCTGCTGCCCTGCTGTAGCCTGCTCGGCTGCTGTTACTGCTCGGTCCGTACAACCCGCCTTCTGATGATAAAGCGTTAGCAGCAGCGGCAGCAGCAACTGCTGCTGCCGAGCTGGGTCCAGAGCCGCCGGTTGGGGCCATTGTTACAGCAGTTGCTTTACGTGCCCTTTCTTTGGCGGTACCATCCATGGACGCCGTACGAAGAGCGCGGATCCGAGCGGCGGTTGCGTGGACTTCGCGACGCAGCTCGTCGAGTGTGTGGATACGGCCTGCGGGAGGCCGCGCGTAACAACAAGCAGCAAACCCGGTATTAGTACATGATCGGCACATGCCGTCAGAGATAGAGATCTTGCCCACTGGGCTTGTTTGTTGGGCAGAAACTACCGGTAAACCACCCACCAATAGCACATGTGCAGCTACTTCTCCATGATGCAATCCCTTGCGTCACGAACTGGACTTAGTGGTATTAGCGCGAGTAAAGACAAAACTACAAGCCACACCACGTCAGTATACAGCGGTACCCTTACCTTCAATCGCTCGCTGCGCCACCGTCGTCAGCGCCACCACCTCCTCTCCACCGCTGCGCACCTTCCTGCCATCCACCGACCCATGTCCCCCACCACCGCCGCCGCCGCCACCGCTGCCGCTATGAGGGTGCTGCACCCGCCGCTGCCGTACCACCGCCCGAGCCAACTGGCAGCCGCTGCGTCTCCGTAGCATGGCGATTGCGATGCCCCGAATTGCCAGCTGCACCTGCAGCAGCAACCGCCGCCCGCGAGCCGCCTCCGCGCTGTTCATCCCATCACCGCCGCCACCATCGCCGCCACTGCCAACACACGCAGCGGACCCTCCAAGCCCTCCACCTTCCTCCACACCCGCCGCGGCCTCGGTCTTCTCCCGGTCCATGGGCTGGCCCATGTGCGGTATCGCAGCTTCCTGCCGGAGAGCTGCCGTGCTGGGCTCCAGGGGCGCTCCTCCGGGGACCTCGAGTGCAACGATGCCAGCATCGCTGCGTTGGCGGCCTTCGCCCCCTGACACAGCCGCCTGCCCTTGCGGGGCGGGAACAGCAGTAGTGGCAACAGCGGCGGCGGCTGAGGCAGCAGCAGAATGCAAGGCCTGCTTGGCGGCGGCCTCAACCTCTTGTCGTACGATGGACAGCAAAGCCGGCTCGACGGCCGCCGCCGCTACGTCGACGGCAGCACGCGGCGGGGGCGGCATGTCAACTGTAAACCGACATGACGCCGTCTGCCGTACAGGCACGGGTCCGTCCGTTGCCGTCCCCATGCACGCCTCGTACAGGGCCCGTACCGCCGCGGGCACGTCGTCATCGTACGACACCCCATCTCCTGACGCCGCAGCGTCATCCTTACCACCAGCTGCACCCCCCAGCCCGACGTCATCATCCGTGATGCCGCCGAAGAATTCCAGGATTTCAGACGGCAGTTCGGACTGCGGGAGCTCACAAGTAGCTAGGACCAGCAGCCCGCCGGCGGCGGTGGCGGAGGTTCGGTACGTGGCGGGGTTGCCGAGAGCCCAAGAGGCAGCAGCGGCGGGCCCAGCGGAGGCTGACGCCGAGGCGCTCGCGAGCTGCTGCATAAAAACACTCCAAGCGGGACTGATGCAGGTGCGGCTGTGGAAGGGTGGCGGCGCTTGGCGCTCGCTACCTTCCGCGTCGCTTTCTTCATCCGATGAAGACGTTTCATCCCGCGCCCGCCGGTCATTGTTGGGACCGCCACTTAGGTCTGCATCCTCAGAAGAAAAACCCGTAGCCGTTACGTCGGAGACGTGCTGCTCTAAAGCCCATGTATCAATGCGCGGCAAGTAGAGGATCCGAAGTTGTCGGCGTGATGACCCATGGGTCACCGCCAGCGCCTCTGAAAGCAGCGATGCCACACCCTCCGCGGCGTCTGCACCGCCGTCGCCGCATCGGAGCACGATGGCCGGCATGTGAATGGTGTGTACGGCAGGGGGCAACGCCGCCGTTGCTGCTGCCGTACTGGCTGACGCCATCACCGCCGCCGCGGATTCAGAACCCGAAGCTTCAGCCTCCGCCGCCGCCGTGCTAAGTACCCGCAGCATCACAGCGGCCGCCGTGTCCTGACCCGTGTCACCGTCCCCGCACAGCATCATGTGGCATGCGGGTGCAGCGAAACCCCTTGCACCCGTCGGCTGCATGCTGGAGTAGGGCCCTTCCGCCGCCGCCGTCGCCGGGGCCACAGCAGGGGCTGTCGCGGCGCCGGCCACCGCCGGAACCAAGGCCGAGGGATTGCCACCACCGCCGCCGCCGCCGCCGCTGCGGTTGGCTGAAGAGGGCGACGCTGGAGACGGCGGCGGCGGCGGCGCCTGCTCAATCGCTCCCGTTGCCGCAAGCGCGTGCAGGAAGGCACGGATTGCATCCTGCCCGGGTGTTGCAGAAGCAGCATGCGCTGCCACCGCTGCCACCGCTGCGACGGGGGATGCTACTGCTGCTGCAGGGTGTTCTAAGCCGCCGCCTCCTTGCTCGCCGCCTGCACCCACAGCAGCCGCCTCCGCCGCCGCTGCTGACAGGGACTGTGGCACGGCAAGCCCAGCGGCAGCCAGGTGCCGCAGCGCCGCCGCCGCCGCCGGTGCTACCAGCGCCGCCGCGTGCAGGCACGGCGGCGGCGGCAGCCCCGAGCAAACAGCCGCCGCCGCGTCTCGACGGCTACAGGGCTTGGGCGCCGCTGCCAACGCCGCTTCCCAGTCCGCCTCCTCCACCTGCACTCCTGCAAGCCAATCCTCCTCCTCCTCCTCCGACACCTCCTCTTCGTCCTCCTCTGCCTGACGCGCCACTCCCGCAAGGTCTCCGTCGTCCTGCTCCTCATCGGTGTTCGCCGTGCTCCCATGAACCACCCCTGCTGCTGCTGCATCATCCCCGCAGCACTCCCTCCCTGTCTTGGGAACTGCCTGGGGACTGCTGCCACTGCCGCACTGCACAGCAGCAACAGCAGCCGCTGGGGTAGCAGCAGCCGGTGCCGTCACGGGTGCTGCTGCCGTCATGGCTGGAGGAGGAAGGGGCACAGGAGCAGGGCAGGATGCCTCAAGAGCTGGGGCGGCGGTGGCAATGGTGGTGGCTGCAGGAACATTCGCAGCAGCAGCAGCAGAAGCAGCTGCTGTCGACGCCACGGCGGCCACTGGAACTCGCTGCTGGGTCTCCATTCCCAACCCCGGAGGTGACGTCAGCCTGCCTTTGCTGTCGTACATGTCACCCACGAAGCCCGCCAGCACTGCAGCAAAGCTACGACGCTGTCGGTGCCGCTGCTGCTGCTGCTGCTCTGCCGCTGCTTGATGCTCCGAGAGCCTTGCCGCTGCTGCTGCTGCTGCCGCTGCTGCTGCCTCCGCCGCTCCGCCCATGTTAGCCGCAGCGGCGGCGGCAACGGCTCCTGCCTCCACAGGTGCCTCCACAGATACTTCAACCGCCTCCTCTGCCATCTCCACATCGCCCCCCTCGCCGCCCCCGCCCACACCTCCAGTGCTATCTCCGCCGGCAGCCGAGTCGGCCCCCTCCACCACAGCAACCCTCTCTTGCTCGCCACACACATCCATCGCCGCCACCGCATCCTCCCTCACCGCCCGCGCACCCTCGCCACCACCTGCGGCCCCCTCCTCTTTCCCTTCCGACACCTTCACCACCTTCACCTCCGCTGCCCTCGCTGCCTCCGCTACCCTGACCGCCTCCTCCTCCCTCCGCCGCTGCCGCTCCTGCCGCTCCCTCCGCCGCCGCTCCGTCGCCTGCTGCCAGCGCTCCCTCCGCCGCATGAGCTCCTCAAGGGCACCCGCGGCGGAGGCAGCGGTCCCGCACAGAGCACCCGCACCCGCTGCTGCTGCTGCTGGGGTGACGGTAGCTGTAGCCGCAGTAGCCGCGCAGGCAGTGGTGGTGAATGTGGTGGTGGTGGAGGTAGAACGTGATGGTGAGCAGGCCCGGCGCACCGCCGCCATGACCGCCGAGGTGCACAGCGCCTCCAAATCCGCACCTGAAATGCGACAACAGCAGCGGTTTAGCAGGCAGGGCATGGCCGAGGACAATCCTTTTGAGGCAGCGCGTGATAGCCTCCTTGACCCTCCTCCCTGCTCACCCCTCCTCTCTCCACCCACCACCCCACCTGCGAACCCCTCCGTCGCCGCCGCCAGCCTCTCCAGCAGCTCCCTGCCCGGCGGCCCCGGCCTCCAGCCCGCCGTGTGCACCCTCAGCACCGCCGCACGGTCCGCGGGGCCGGGCAGCCCGAAGGCCACCTCGCGGTCGAAGCGGCCCGGGCGGCGCAGTGCGGGGTCCAGGTTGTCCGGGCGGTTGGTGGCGCCGATGACCACAACCTTGGGGGGTGGGGGCGCGCCGGCGGGGGGAGATCATCATGAGCGGTAGAGCAGGCAGGGTGCTCTGCCTTTAGGCCTTGCCAACGCGCTCTAAATGGTAAACAAACCAAACCTGTTGGATTCTGTCCTCAGCTGAGAAATCCCACCACGGCTGGACTGCGTCGCCCCCACACCCTTCCATCGCTGCCTCCCTCCCCACCTGCCCCCTGTCCGCCACCCCGTCCATCAGCGCCAGCAGTGTGGCCACCACGGAGGCGTAGATCTGGTCGGTGCCCCCCGCGGCCACGGAGCGGCGGGGCGCCAGTGCGTCCAGCTCGTCCAGGAAGATGATGGAGGGGGCGCGGCGGCGGGCCTGGAAAGGGGGGGGCGGGGAAGGGGTCAGAGAGGGGCGGGGATAAAGGAGGAGAAGGAAACGTGGCGGCAACCCGGAGGGGAAAAGAGGGTTAGGAGGTGGAGCGGGAGCGGGATGCAACATACAACAGGGCTGATTACGGCTTGTGCGTCTCAGGTTACCGTATCACCTGGCAGCTACCAGTTGATCACGTTCAGCACGTGGCCCCTCCACCTCCTACAATACGCCCCACGTCCCCCCCACGCCCCACGCCCCCTACCTCCCCGCATGACGCCTTATCACACGGTCAGTTCCTCCTCCCCCCCTCCCACCTCCTCAAACAGCAGCCTCAGTGTGCGCTCCGCATCCCCGTGGTACTTCCCCAGCACGTCCGCACCGCCCCGCGCGAACAGCGCCACGGGCACCGGCGAGCGCCGCGCCACCTCCCCCGCCAGCGCCCGCACAGCCAGCGTCTTGCCGGTGCCGGGGAGGCCGTGCAGCAGGATGCCTCTGAGCGGGTGGGTTGAGGTGGGGGTTGAGGTGGGGGTTGAGGTGGGGGGTGAGGGGTGTGTGTGTGGAGGGGTGTGGGGGTGTGTGGGGTGTGTGTGGGGTTGTCAGGGCTGGGGGGTGAGAACATGGGGCGAACATGATGCATGGACTGGCGATAGAGGGAAGAGATAGGGAAGAGGGAAGACAAGACTGCGAGCATTGTGCATGTCAGACGTGCGCAGCCTTTTTCCGTCCTTCCATCCCCATGTCATCCACCAAACCCCACCAGGTGCCCCACCATCCTGGTGTACCCCCCATGCCTCCAACCCCAATCCCCCTCCCTCCCCACCGCCCACCCCACCTGGGTGGTGCCGCCCCCGCCACTCCCAGCCGCTCCATCAGCCCCGGGTGCAGCAGCGGCAGCAGCACCATCTCATGCAGCGCCGCAATCACCGGCTGCAACCCGCCCACACACTCAAAACCCCGACTGTAGATGCCGCCCCCTGCTCCTCCTCCTTCTCCTGCTGCTGCTCCCGTCGCTCCTCCTCCTCCTAGCATTATCGGCGCCAGCTTGGCCGTGTCCTTGTCGTACCGCCGCCGCTCCTTGACGGCAAACACCGCCTCATCATCCTCGGCCTCCGCAGCGGCGGCGGCGGCGGCGGTGGCGGCGGAGGTGGCGTGTCGGGCCGCCAGCAGCGCGGCGCGAGCTACCAGCAGGTGCTTGGCGGCGGCGGTGTAGTCGATTCTGGAAGGGAAAGGAGGGAGGGAGGGAGGGAGGGTGTATGGTAAGGTGGTGGCAACGCGTGACAGCAAGCCGGAGCCGAAGCGCGTTGCAGTGTGGTTAGCAGCTGAAAAAGAGCCGCATTACGTCCTCGACATGTTTTGCATGTTTGCATGACCGGATCAATCCCCACAACTCCCATTCCTTTTTGACCATGTATGAGGCACCGGCCACGCTGGGCAAAATGGCGTCCTAAAGGCATACAGACACAAGTACAGTACATTCCTCCTCGCGGCCAGTTCGCTTCAACACATGCCAGCATGCGCACCCACTTGCGTCTTTTGCTGGGCCGTTGCCGCCCGCCCTCCTCCCGACCCCAACCCGGGGCGCCAGCCTCAACCCCGCCGCCGCCGCTAGACCGGCGCTGCTGCTGCGGCAGTGGCAGTGGCAGTGGCTGCTCCTGCTGCCGCCCAGCACCACCAGCAGCAGGAGGAGGTGGTGGTGGTGGTGGCCCTGCAGCAGCTGGCAATCCGGAGGAGGGGGGCTGCTGGCCGCCGCCTCCGGACTCGCGGCGGAGCAGGTTCCGCCAGGCCGCGGGAGTGGACCGACCCACGGGACTCTCGCGGCGGGCGGCGGCGGCCATGGTGGGGGTGCGGCCGGGCAGCTCCCACTGGGCTGCGGAGAGGCCCCTGGAGGGGCCGCAGGAAGGAGGGGAGGGGCCGCGGAAAAAAGGGGCCAGGACCCGTGAGGTCAGTTGCGACTAGGAATCTAGGATGCATGCTCACATACCGGTACAAAGGCATGGCACACTTATACTTGTGTGGCATTCGCATGCTCGTCTTTCACCCAGGACAACCGCAACCTCCTCCGCTCTCCCTGCCCTCCCCCCCTGTCCCACCTGCGCGCCTCCTCCGCCTCGTGACGGAACGCAGCTGCGTGGCGGGGGCAGGCGATGAGGTAGCGCGCCTCGTTGAAGGCGCAGCCGCACGCGCGGGCGCAGTGGACGTGGTACGACACGTTGCAGCGGTCCACTCGGCATCCCAGTGTGGCACCTCGCTCGCCGCAGGCGCCGCACCTGAGTGCGGGAGGAAGGTGGTGGTGGTGCGGTGTGGGGAAAAAGGGAATTCCAAAGTGTGTTGTGATAATGATACAAGTTGCTGACAATCCCTGGTGTGGGGAGGGGGGAGCGATAGAGGGGCGATAGAGAGGGAGAAAGGAACCCTGTGATAACCCTGATGGCTCATCCATGGGGGGGCGGTGGGGTGGGGTGGTGGTGGTGGACGGAGGGCGAGACGGTGGGTCGGAAGGGTGACGAGTGGGTAGGCGAGACGGTGGAAGTAAGGCGGCGGGTAGGGAAGGGGTGGTGATGGGGTCCTTGGGGCGAGGGGACGATGGCGGGTGTGGTGTGGGGCATGCTTCGGGTGCTTGCCTTGTCCCCCAGAACAGGGGAAGCCAACTAACCAATTGACCAACCAACACCGGTGAGGTGGGCGGGGCGCAGCGCGCTTACCTCAGCTGCCTGCCCCGGCGTATGGCCTTGCCGACGTTGCGAAGGGTGGACCCATCCCCGCTGTGATAGACCTGGGGTAAGGTTTGGTGGGTCAGAGAGGGAGTACCGGCTGAGAGGTGAAGCAAGGCTTTGCGCCGGGAATAGAAAGAGGTGCAAGGGCAAGCCGCACCAGAAGCAAGCGTGATACATACTGTGGTCTTTAGGCATTTTATGGGCAGTTCATGGATGGCATCATGAGGATCATCTGGCAGGGTTGCGTACCTCGGAACTCCATAGCGCGCACTCGCGGTGGATGTACACGCCTATGCCGTTGCGATTGCCGTCATCAAGAGGACCAAGGAACGGGCCTAGTTTACCATTGCAGGCTTTCCGGTCTTGCCCGCACAGGGCGCATAGATCCCACTGCGGCTGGTGGTTCATCTATTGCATTTGGTCAACAAGAATACTTCTGTCAACTAGAACCAAAGACTGAATGAGAATAGAGTGAGGTTCCATTGGGAAATGGAGTCATACGCAAAAAAATATGCCTAAGCAGAGAGTAGTGCTAGTTACGTTTTGCACAATGCGGTTGTTGGCTTGTATCATGTGCATCAACTGTGTCTTGAGCTTTGAAATTTTTAGTTGAGCGATTGAAGGATAGTGATGAGCAAAGACAAAAGGGTGGCATTACATGAGGTACACTGGCAATCCGATTTAACATAACTCCAAAAGGTTGGATATGATTAACGGCAGTTAGGCCGTCCGGCAAACTTTAGCCAAACGGCGTTGCCGTCCTCAGCATGCAGTTACCATACGCACAGCAGCATTCTATTATCAGCATATGATCAGTAGCTCGAACTAAAATGTGAGAAGGAATCGACCGCTCGACTACCGCTCTGTACCGCAGCGTCAGCCTTCGCTTTTTGCCAAACGAATTAGCCTCGCACAAGTGGGGCATGTGCAGCGGTTACGTGTTCCTAATGATATCCCACATTCATTCTTCACACCATCATATTCGACCGATTCGGAAGTATCTGACTCAAGCCTCCTTTTGCCTCCGAAACACGTAGCATTGTTATTTTTAGGTTGGCCTAGTCCTATTGTCTACCCAGGATGTCGGCCATGGAGCAAGGCGAAGACCCCATGCAGCGACTGGAAATAACAAAGGGCGGTGCCCTAGGTTGCGGAAGCTTTGCAGTGGTTTACCGTGCCACATGGGACGGCTTTCCCTGTGCACTTAAGGTGTGCATGTTCACTAGGGCGGAAGTGTCTTGCATGCAGCGGGAGCCAGGCCTCCTTAGTGCACATGTATATGTTTTCATTTCCATTGCTTTCAAGGCCATAAGTTTACAATGTATTGCTGATAACTCTGTAGTCCTGGGACAGGCCCTAGCCCTGAGTTGACGAGCAAATGACCCCTGGTCCGTTCCCATCGACGTGACCGTCAATCCCTTTCGTAACGCAGGTGCTCCTTCCCCAACATGCAAACCTCGCACAGCCTTCCGACGCGCCCAGCAGTCCAGCCCGGATGTTGTTTCGTGAGGGTGAAGCTCTCATGCGCCATCCGCACAGGTAAACACCGTGACGTGTCTCAGCCAACCTCCTCAGCTGCTGGCCCCTAACCTAACCAAGTGCACGTCAATCACCTTACACCCTCTGGTACCGATCTTGCCAACCTGAGCCACCCAAGCCAAGCCCGCACACCTTGCTGACGTGGCACTCCTGCTGCGTGTACGATAACACGGTGACACGCCCATGCACCCCCCAGATGTTTGGCGCGCTGCTACGCCATGTTGGAGTTGCCGCCGGACTTCCCTGGGCTGATGCGCGGCTATGTGGCCAGCACTCCAGCTCTGGTTCTGGAGCTGATGCAGGTGACTGATGAGACACTGATGGGGTGATGAGACGCACGTGCCGGCTGCCGCCACCACAGCCACTGCAAGCGCTGTGCTACTGCTGTTCAAGCTGATCAGATGGACTCCAGCTGAGTTGTTAGACCTTGATTTTGCAAGCAGCTGCACTAGCATGGACGATACGGTTGTAGCCAATCGTGTTGCCAACCGCAGCAGCATCATTAGCTCGCATTGCTCGCATCACGAGCCCCGAATACCGTACACTTCGTCAACAACGCTCCCCCTACCAGCCCTCATTACCGCCTCCTCTCCCTCCCTCGCCACCCAACCCGACCCCACCCCGCCCCCCCAGGAGGGCTCCCTCACCAGCATCATGCACAAGCAGATGCTCACCCCTTGGAAGTTCATGTACGACAACAACACGGCACTTGCATGGGGTATACAGCTTGCCTCGGCACTGGCGCACCTGCATGGCAGCAGCCCCGCGGTCATCCACCGGGATGTGAAGATGGATAATGTGATGCTGCAGCGGCCGGGGGCTGGCGCTGGTGGGGGTGGCCCAGAGGGGCCAGCTGCTGGGCAGGAGGAGGAGGAGGGGCAGGGAGCAGCTAAGCAGGCTGGAGAAAGAGGAGGGGACGTGGGGGATGCAGAGGGGAAGCGGCCGGTGGCTAAGCTGGTGGATTTGGGGCTGTGTGTGGTAAGTGGTACGGTAGTGGGTTGGGAATGTGGGTTGTAGTTGGGTGGGAGCATGGGTGAGCGGGGCGGAAAGAAAGCTGGGAGGTGGCGACAGAGGAGGACAAAGATGGAGTGGGCAGTGAACTAGGGTGCGTGGAGAGGCGCTATAGCTGACGTCTCCCACTGTATCTCACCCCGACTGCCACCTCTATGTACGGCACCTTCCCCCTCATCCCTCCCTTCCCCCTGGCCGCACCGCAGACGCCCGTGGAGCTGGAGTGCTGCCGCACGCAGCAGACCCTCTACCGCACGCCTGTGCCCGAGGAGGGCGACCGCCGGACAGCCCACCCCGCCGCCACCGGCAGCAGCAGCACCCCCACAGCCGCCATCAACTACATCAGCTCTGTCGCCCCCGCCTACCCCTTCGCGCCCACAGCCCATGACAGCAGGATCCGAGACCGCATCTCCGGGCCCCCTGGAGCCATGAGCTTCTCCCTACACAGCGAGGCGGGCGCTAACCCCGCTGGAACCCAGGCAACACCGCTGTTCTTCGCCTGTGAGAAGGGCAGCCCTGCGCTGGTGCCTGTGGATCCCTTTGGGCCGGGCTACAAGGACCTCGCGCTGCCGCTGCCGGTCATCGGGACTCCGGAGAGGCTGGGAACGCAGCAGGAAGAGGAGAGCGAGGCAGCAGGCGGGGAGGCTGGCAGGCGGGGCAGTGTGGATGAAGGCAGGCGGGCCACTACTGCCAGTGGCGGGGTGTCGCCCTCGGACTGCGTGAGCTTGGAGTTCCAGAACTCGCTTGCGTCCTCCAGGGGGGGAGCTCCTGCGGCGGTCGCAGCAGCAGGGACAGGGACAGGGGTGGCGGCGGTTCCGATGTCACCAGGGCTGACGACAGCAGCAGCAGCGGCAGGGGTGGCATCGGCAGCATCAGGAGGAACAGCGGTGGCAGGGACCTCTTCAGGGCTAGCAGCAGCAGCAGGAGTGGGAGCCGGAGCAGGCCGGCAGGAGAGCGCCCCGTGGGAGGAGGTGCTGGCGACGGCGCGTCAGCCGCAGCTGCAGACACGACCTCGACCGCCCTCTGCGACACCCCTGCAGGTGAGGCAGCAGCAGCAGCAAGAGCCGGAGAGGCTGCTGCTGCCGCAGCCCCAGGAGCAGCAGCAACAGCAGCAGCCTCCTTCATGTGTTGCTGGCCGTGCACATGCATGGGATACGCCTCACGATGAAGGCCTGCAGCAGCAGCAGCGACACCGATTAAACATGGACTTGGAGAGCAGCTTGGTAGCGGCTGAGGTCGCTGGCTGCAGCGCTCGCAGTGGCAACGCTGTGGGTGCTGCAGCCAGCGGTGGTGTGACACAGTTGCCAGTTGTCGTTGCTGCTGCTGACTGCGCCACGTCCGGTGCTGCAGACACGGTCAGGGAATGCGGCGGCACTAAGATCGGCCCCATCAACGGCCATACCCAGCAGCAGCAGGGCTCTCCTGCAAGGTCCACTGCAACACCAGTAATGTCATGCAAACCCACACCGTCCCCTCGCTCGCCATTTTCCGGACGCAGCAGCATCAGCAATGAACAGCGCTCCCGAGCTGCGGCTGGCCCTTCTTTCAGCAGCCCTGGGGCGGCACACGCACCGGCACACGCACCAGCCGCCTCCCTGTCCTCTAATGGCTTTGTGACGAGTGCCACCAGGAGCGCTGCCGCACATGGTAGCAACAGCATCACGGGGTCAGTAGCGGCGTCCTGCGGCCTCCCGCACATGAAGTTCCTCTCAGAGCACATGGAAGCGTTGCAATCGCCTGCAGCCCCCTCGGCTGCTGCAAGCTCCCCCTCCAAAGTGCTGCCTGTAGGCGACGTTGTGGAGGGAGGGGTCCCGCGGGAACCGTTGCAAAGCAGGGGGCCCATTGCTGTGGCGGAGTCCCTTGAAGTTGCGGAGGCGGCGACTGCGGCTGCGAGGGTAGCGGAGCAGCAGGCAGATGAGGAGGAGCAGCAGCTGCAGCAGCAGGTGGGGGCGGCCGCCCCGGTGCTGCCGGGTATTGCGGGGCAGCGGGAGCAGGTGTGGCGGCTTACGGGGCACACAGGCTCCTTCATGACCATGGCGCCGGAGGTGTACATGGCCCTGCCGTACAATGAAAAGGTATGTACGGTTGTACGGGGCAATGGGGCAATGGGGCAATGGGAGGTAGGTAGGTATGGCAAGTCAGGTACTCCTCGCTGGGTCACAATCTTCCGTCGTACCGTCCTTCCCAGTGATCATCGCGCAAAAATAAATAATTATTTGGCAAAGTGTGCATTAACGCGCAAAATAAAATAATTGCTCCGGGGCCTGCGCGTTAAAAATAAATAATTCCCCAAAGGCCTGCGCGTTAAAAAAAATTGCCCACCCCGTCGCTGTGCCGCCCCCAAAGTAGGGATTTACAGTTTCCCCGACCCCATCCATACCTACGCCTCCTTGCTAGCAGCTTACTGAGCTTTCGCGAGAAGGTGACAAGAAGACACGCGGGTGCCGCTCTGCTTTCCGATCTTTATAACTTAAATTACAGGCTGCTTACATACTAGCCTCAAGGCTGCGCGTTGTGAAAAATAATTGCTCAGACCCCTGCGCGTTAAAAATAATAATTCCTTACACGGCTGCGCGTTAAATTAAAATAATCCCTAAATTTCTTGGTGCGCGATGATCAGACACAGCTACGGTATGTTGGAGAAAGGGGTCGAACGGTGTGGAGAGTTGTAGCTTAGAAAGTATGTTCAATCTAGCTATCTAACAACCTGATAATGAGTGACTGTGCTAACCATGTATGTGTGTCGGCACTGCAGGCCGACGTGTTCAGTTACGGTGTCGTACTGTACGAGATCTTCAGTCGTACCCTGCTTGCCGTGTCGCATGTGGGCACCCGGCGCGCTGACGTGAGTGTTTTGCAAGCTGGGCTTCCTGGGGTTTGGTATGCTACTACGATCAGGGTCAGCATTTCTCGCGGCCCAGTTCATCTAGTCCTAGGCACTGCTACCTACCTGCTGCCGCCGTACTTCGCTTGTCTACTGCCTTTGCTGTGCAATGGTGTGCATACCAGGAAATGCACCCCACGCCACTCCCCTTCCCTGCATGTCCCTCCTCCATGGCTCCAAACCCAACTGCTACCCCCCCCCCGCAGCTGCCCCATGTGCTAGCCCGCTGCGAGGATTACACGCAGGCGGTGTGTCACGGCTACCGGCCCTCCAAGCTGGCTTGCATGCCGGAGGCGGTGTGGGGCATCATCCAGGACTGCTGGCACCCCGACCCGCTGCGGCGGCCCCCCATGCAGCAGGTGGAGGCCCGGTTGCGTGCGCTGGCGCAGAAGGGCGACTTGAATGGCGGGCAGGGCGGGGATGGGGATGGGGGTGACGGGGGTGATGGGAAGGGCGGTGCGGAGGCCACGTGTGCGGAGTGCGTGGTTTGTTAGGTTGGTTGCCTGATAGGTTGCTTGCGGAAATGCGGGGCTGGGATGTTGGGCGGTTGGAGTGATGAGTCCGAGGAGGGGTTGCTGGGCAGGGGGCGCGATGCTGTGATGCGCTTGGTGTGATGCGCGGGGATGGGTTGTGTGGCGCGTGTGTTATGAAGATAGCGAAAGACATAATGCGCCAAGCTTTTGGCCCTAGTCGTGTTGCTGCATGATTTGCTAGCGGTTACCGGTATTAGTTTGGGAAGTTGTTGTTTGGGGGGGGCATCAATCTCGTCTGCTACCCATTTCGGAGCGCTTACATGTGAAGTAGTTTTTAGACGCCATTGCGCTTTACAGCACACCCGAGCTGCTGCCGGGGGCTGGCTCCTCGCTGGAAACGGCTGAGACGGCTTTCAGCTTACAGAATAGCTACCGTGATTCATGATGGGTTGTCCTAGTTGTCGGTTTTGCATCCCTGTTGTGGTCGATGTGGTACAAGGAGAGTAACACGGTGGTACGTTGGGAGTAAGGATAGGTGCTGGGATAGCTCACGTGCGCGTAAGTCATTTATTAAGAGACCCAGCTAGGGCATGCCTGGTGTTTGTCTAACCACTTATATACCCACACACGCGGTTTGCTTCTGGGTGCATAGTGCATGTACCTGCATTCACGCTGGGCGCTGGGGTGGCTGCTGCTTGCCGGCCTCCCGTGTGTATGCCTAGCTGTTATAATATTTATTGGCTTGTCGTTTTACAAGCAATCTCGTAGAAGAGTTGCTTGCGAAGGCGCTGGGGTGCTTTGCGTGAAAGGATGGATACGCCCCCGATCTGAGCTGGGACAGCATCTACGGAATGCGAGGCAGCAAGGGGTTGCGGTGTTTAGGCGCATGACATATATTAATATTCTGGCACGCACCATTTCCACGCACACAGCGATCTGTTATGAAGGGCGCGTTGTTGACGATCTGCTGTTTAATAAGGGCCAGCGGTTGATGACAGGGGACGACCCGGGGGTCATCAAGCCATGTTTCACACATACCATAACTAGCATTGCTGATGTGTTTCTGTACTTCACCTGCTGACTGCTGGCTACTTAACCTAACACACATTAGGCTAGCAGCCAACCACTACTTCGGTCATCAAGACCCGCTATAGCTCCTTAGTATTATGGCTTTGAGGCCTATTATCTCGCCTTTATACGGGCGCTTTCGTTGTTTGGTTGCTGGAAGAAGGGCCCAGGGTGCGGGGATTTCGGCTGCTGCGCGCCGATGGCCTGTTGTTTAATTGGGTCATGCATACTCCTCAAGTGCCGAAGCGAAATCTTATGGATGCATTTGGCGGATTTGGATGTATGGTGAGATGGGGGGATACAGAGTTGTTGATGTGGGGCGGGTTGGGAGGGCCTGTGCTTACATGTGTGGTGTGGCAGCACGGCGCCCTACCTCATGTGCCTTTGCATGATCAGGTGTATCGCATTGCGGCACCAGTGTGACATACGTGTGTGTGATTTGTATGTGCCATGTTGGCACACTTCATGCTGTCGTGGCGTCCGAAGTAGGGATGCATGCATGCATGGTCGGGGTCAGCCTCATTCGAGGTGGGCTGCCGACGTTAACCTACTTCAAATGGCGACCCCCGCTACACTGCACCGCGCACCAGTCATGCTTCGGTACGCAGCCTAGACTAAGTGTGCGCTTCAGTCGTATTCCTTACTGAACATGCAAGTACACATGCTAACACCACAGTACACTACCCTACTCTGCTCCGTTTGCTACTAACAACTGTACTGTGTAAACCGAACGTGTGTCAAGGCCGTCCTAAAGACAAACCTACGCGTCTTAGCTTTTAACCCAGTCTACTTGTGTGAAGGCCCTACCATGCCATGGACATTGGCAGCCTGGACAGTGAAACACACAGAAATGCCAAGCCCAACAGCCGTTCAACGCTCTCTCACACGCATACCGCAATGGTACATGGTGGTGTAAAGCCTCAAGCCAGTGCGTTGGCTTGGGCCTGCTCCAACAACTGACACAGCCGGTCAAGCGTTACTCGGTCCTGCGGTTTGATTGTCACGTGAAGGTGGGCCTCAGCTCTCAGCAGTCATGACACGAGGAGTCGACATCAAGTCCGCAAAGTATAGCATGCGTGACTATAGCAAGCCCCAGCCGCAACATCAGCAAGGGCGGCAGTAGCCAGCAATACCGGTACCTAAAGCTCAAACACACCCCAAGCTTCCCAACCGCAAAGGTGCCCGCGGGCACCGACCCACCGGGTCACTGTCCTCCCCGAGCGATGGAAACACGGCGTCCGCTGCGCTGAAGTCCTCTCCCGCCGTGTAACTCGACTTGGTCACGATGCACCTGCATGCGTATGGTTGCATACCGATAAGTAGAACTGAAATGGAAACATGGATTACAGCATGCATGCATGGATGCACAACGGGACGTTGCCATTTGTCAGTGTGGGCGCGTATAGACTCATTCCAGCTGCTGCTGTTGCCACCGCTGCGGTATACGCCACCCACCCGCATTACCACCGCCATCACTCACGTCATGCCGGCCGCCTTGGCTGCTTTGAGGCCGATCCCTGAGTCCTCGACCACCACACACCTGATGGGATGCGCGCAGGGCAAAGAGCAACACGGTTGATAACCACGGTACCAGCAGTACATATTTTGTAGTTGCCGAAGTTGGCAATGCAGCAGTGTTAGTGGTGGCAGCCGGCTGCAGGGCCAGCCAGTGCGGAGGCTATGTAGCGGCAGCGGTCGTCAAGCAAGCAGCAGTCAACAGCCTGCCACGTAAGTCAGCTCTGATTGCAGAAGCACGAACGGAAACGGTGGAAAGCAAACTGTGAAGGGGCAGTACGGAATGCAAAATGTATACTGTGTATGTGTGTTACTTGGGGGCCATGCATGCTGCAAACACGTGCCAGCTAGTGTTGCTGCCAAGCCCGCCATCACACCCCTGCGGGCACCTCGCGGGGTCTACTCCCAGCTCCCGCGCTGCTAGCAGGTAGATGGCGGGATCGGGCTTCTTCTTGGGCACGATGTCTCCTGCGTTGTGGAGAAAGAAGCAAACGCGGCACGGGCGGCGGCGGCACAAAGTGATCACAACAACTGTTCAGGCAGCACATAAGGATACAACACTAGCAGTACTACTGCATCCGCCATTTCTCCCGCGCAGCAGCAGCTCCGCACGCCGCTTTCTCCACTCGCGCGTGACGCCCACCTGCAAAGACCCGCATCACCTCCGCCACCTGTGGCCCCAGCATGACCCGCACAATGGAGCTCACGGCCTTCTCATTGGAGGTGGAGCAGACAGCAACCGGCACACCAGCGGAGATGGCCTCGCCTGGGGCCGACGGACAGTTGGGTCGGGACAGTTGGTGGGTGAGTTGGGGGGACAATCGGGACATACAGATGCGTTGCTTAGCCTTGTAGGCGGCTCAATGTTGGCTGGATTGCTTGACGACGGCATCGCAAGGTGACAACAGCGGAACGAGCTCGACAAATCAACCCACCCAATCCCTCCACCCACCCCACCAAAACCCGCACCGCGACCCTTACCCACGAGCCTGGCCACTCCCGGCCGCAGCGGCATCGCCCCTGACTCCACCAGCTGCGTGAACAGCGCCGTCTTGAGCGCGTGCAGCTCCGCCACCAGGGCTTTCCGGGCTGCGGGGTCCTGGGTGCTCCTGAAGGGCTCCCGGTCCGGGTGGTCCTGTGCGTGAGGGCAGTAGCTAGCGGGTTAAGGAGGGCGGCCGAGTTGGGAGGTTGGCGCCGGACCATGTGAAAGCGCCATCCAGTGGGAGTTGGGGTTCGCTTGGTAAGGGACAGGCGGTGCCGAGTAGACCGCTGGATGGTGATTGGGATAGCTATCGTACCACCAACGCACTGGATTGGGAGTGCCACACCACAGTGTGTGCTAAGAAAACGCGAGCATCTGTGCCGTTGCGCATCTCCGTTTCAGTCCTTCGTTTGCTCCACGCGCATGTGTTCGCATAGCACAGTACAGCAAGGTACAGCGGTGTGGACGATGCCAAGGACCATTAAAGATGCATACGCACGCACGTTGAAGTACTTGGTCATGCGCTCTTTGCCGCCACCGATTTCCAGCAGTTCGCCGTATAAATCCACGTCCCATTCGTGGTCCAGACCTGCCGTTCGCATGTCCGGGGCGAGACGATGACGTAAGGCGACAGGGGGTGGCCCAATTCAGCACGGAGGGCATCCTTAAGGGCTACAGCAGCACTAGCGGGACAGCGTGGAAGCGTCATGCATGCATGACGCTCTCTGGGAATGCAGGCTACGCAAACCAGCTGCACATGCAAGGGAAGACAGCAGGGTGGGCTTCGCGCCCAACAGTCATGGCTTGATGGGCACAGCTGGGGCGAAGGCTATGATGCGAGATGCACACATTCGCACATCCGGTAGGATGGAAGCGAGGGTGATGGCGCAGACCCTGGAGTTTCCAAGGGTTTCGTGCCTGTCTAACGGGTTCCTTGCCTTTTTGCTTGAATGCCTCGTTAAAACTTATGCGGTGCCCGTCGCGCTCTGTATCCACCAGGACTCCATCGCAGTCGAACAACAGAGCGTCCGGCAATTGGCGTGCTTTGGCTACTACAATTCGCTGTGGTAAGGTACACGTGCGAGGGGCTACAGGAGCGAAAGGATGGACTCGGTGGGCTTGGTATGCTTGCGGCTTCATCTTCATCGGTAATGCTATAGCAAGAAACTTGAAAAATAGGCGTAGCTATGAGCTACAAAATGTGCGCTGCGTGACAGGATAAGCGGCAGTGACGAGGAAAGCATTATCCTGCCCTTGGATGCTCGTCCAAAGATAAAAGATATTATGCGCAATGGGCTCTGCGTACCATGGAGCACCCAGTTAACGCTACGTAAGGTGAAATCATGTTGGATTGTATTGTTTAAACCAGCTTCTACTGATCCCGCATCACGTTGCCGCGAGCATGCTGCTGCCGCTTGTAAACGTCGCCTGGCGAAGGCTGCATACTCATTGTCGCAACCCTGCTTGGCGCATCTTTGCACTTTAATTGTTATCGGCACACATTGGGAGCTCTCAGAAAGTCAACATACAACCACGGTTAGCATACAACATCCTCATGATGTCTGCCGCGGCCAAACGTCCGCCTACCCTTTTCGGGGCTGCCATAAGCCTTTGACGCAGTTAAGAAGAGCTACCCTCTATAACATTCAAGCAGTTGCTGCTATGACACGCATACCGGTAGACAGGCAAGCTGCTGTTCACCATACCCAGTGCCCTACACTGTACTACCAAGGTTAGGGAACGCTCAAGTGCAGCGCGCAACACAACACATCCCAGCTACTCAAGCTCCAGCAGCTGGAAGCGACGACTGCAACGCACGGCATCCGCCTTCTCCGTATTATGCATACGGCTGCTCTTAAGCAGTAGTGACACCGACACCAAAACTGTGAAGAGTGTGAACCCATAGCAGGAGGCAAGCTAGGGGCCCTGGTCAGGAACATCCAAAGGTAATTAAAAGCAAAAGGCAAATCAGTACCAGTAATAGGCCACTACATCACTCCTGCGGAAGTCTTATTCCTGAAAGCGTGCAAAGTTTAAACCCCCGCGCTTTGTTACCATCACTCCTAGCATCTCTGTCAGCATCAGGGCTAAGCTAGTAACCCTGTCATCACCTGTCACAAAGCTCACACTGGCAACGACGAATCCACCCCAGCTGTCCAAGCCGCGCCTTCCTGCTACCTGTTGTTTGTTGCCTGTGCCTCCTCATCCACGTGCAAGCCTTTCCTCGTCTACAGTCAACATGCTACACACAACCTCTCAGCAAGTAAGCATGTCCCCCGTCCGCCCCCATGGCCCCAAACCACGCCCACCCTTCTTCTCATTCAGTACCACCCTTCACCAAGTCCTACCCTCGCCTACTCTCGCCTACAACCACCACCACCACCAAGGTAATCGGCATTGGATGGTTACCTACTTGCCTTCACCACCACGCATCCACCATCAGATCCGGCTGCTCCTTCCTTCCTTAGCCCTTCCCTCGTCCTCCTCTACCTCTCCTACCCTACCTCACCAACGCCTACGCTTACTTCACCCGCCCTGCCCTTCCAGTCCTCCTCTCCAGTATCAAGATAACTCCAATCTCCGTGCACCCATACCCTATCTCTACACCTCCACCACCTCTTCACCTCCTGCTGCTGCAACGTGCGCCCTCAATCATCGTCATCGTGCCCGCTGCTCACCAGGCTCTCATGCAGGGTCACCGACCGCCGCTCCCAGTCCACATCCCACACCTCGCACACCGCCAGCGTCACACGACCCGCGAGGTGCTCATACAGGTCCTCTGTGGGGTGCGGTGCAGGCACAGGTGGGCTTGTGAGTCATAGACCAAACCCCAAGTGAGGGCAAGGCAATGGGGATAGAACGCTAGTATTCATGGATGTCACTCATCAGCCAACCGGGTCGTATGACCTTCTGCCAGTGTCACAACACCCGTGAGGCAATCCTTATCTTGCTCGTTGCCCGCGCATGCATTGGTTTGACGACTAGCCGGCTCAAGGCCCCCATGTACACAAGGAATCAATAAGGGGGTGGAAAGCACACACCACATGCCTGCCTGCCCGCATGCAAACGCCCGGACAGCCCCCCTGCACTTACCCGTTGCGATAAGCAGACTGCCGCCGCTGCGAGCCCCCAGCTTTGATAACACGTCCTGTTGGCGCGTTACAGTTGTTCGGGGGGGGGGGATAAGGTGAAGTGAAGTGGTGTGCGTGGTAAAGCTTGTGTGGGAGGATGACTGGCCAGCAAGGCGCGGGAACACACGGAAGGCAATTTGGACACACGGGAAATGGCCGCAGCTCCTTGGGGATTAGGTAAACTGAGCCGCGGAACTGAGCTCCTTGGGGAGTGAGTAATCGGTTAACATGCACCCCAACCACCATGCACCCGAACCACCATGCACCCGAACCACCATGCACCCGAACCACCATGCACCCGAACCACCATGCACCCCTGCATGCATGCATGCATGCGCGGCATTCACATGACCCGACCCTCCAGCTGTCGCCAACTGCAAACCTCCGGCTAGCGAGCCCGCACCTGCTTGGGGGTGACAATCAGGGCGATCTCGGACTTGCCCTCCGCTAAGCGTTGCTGCCGAACCTGCAGGAAGATCACATAGGAGAAGGGGAATGCGGGGTTGGGGTATGACGCATTGGGCCGATTGGGGAGCAAACGGGGCCGTCCTGGCGCACACAATTACAGCAGTTCACAAGCGGCCCTGCCTTTCAGACCTTTCCGTCATGCGCTGTCATTTACGGGGTCTACATACCAGCACCGGTATCTACTAGGGCACTCGGAAGCTCTTAAGCGTGCACGAGTGGCGCTAGGACGGGTCCTTTAAGAGGCCCTCCAACGGGTGCTTCTTGCAACTCTGAGGGTTCCCCCTCAGAGTGAGGGTTCCCCCCTGCAACGTACCTTGGAGCAAGCCAGCAGCACGCTCTGCACATCCTGTGGGCGGCAAGGCACAGAGTGCAGGGTCGGGTTGGGAACACGGCTGGCGTCGACCAGTCCTACGGAAAACGCACATGCACCCACGCTGACACACCCCCAGTTTCCTTCCACCCACGCACCCACTCTCCCACTCCCTACACACCCACCCTCCCTCCCTCCCTGCAGCAACCCTCACGATCACACCTGGGTGCTCTTGCACTCCAGCACGCCCCCATGACCTCGAGCCAGTGCCCGGCCCAACAGCCATGCCGCCAGCGTCGCCACGTTCTTGCCCTGCACCGTCAGCCGGGTTCCGCAGGTCACTCGGTGCGTCAGGGCGCCCAGCGGCTGCAGCACCACACAGCCCTCGGTGTCGGCGCCGGGGTGGTGCGGGTCCTGCGGCTCACACGTTGCGCGTTTGAGTGGAAGTTGGGAGAGGGCGGGGGGTCATCAGGGCGCGGTACAAAGAGGGAACGCGGCTCTGAGGTGCTGCGAGGTCCTGACAGGATGTAGGGAATGTGGCTCTTGCAAGAGTTGCTTTTTTTGTTTGCCTGTATGCATGCATGCAAGCATGCAGACACACAGGCGCATGCAGATCCTCACGTGCGCGCCCCTAGAACCGCGATGGCGGTGCCCCCACCCCCCACCCCCACCCCACCTCGTCCTCATCCCCCCCAATGCCCATCAGCACAGCGTTGGTGCCCTGCCGGCCAGCAGCAACCCCTGCAGCTGCCTCCGCCTCGGGTGTCACTATTCGGGGTCCGTGCACCGCTATGGGCAGCAGCGCCAGCATCTCAGCACGTCGGGAGTAGGCGCGGAGCACATGTGCCATGGACGAGCCGCCCAGGCAGACGACGGGACGAAGCTCCTGCAATGTTTTGTGTAAGGCGGGCACAGGCGGGCATAAACAAAAGGGGTTACAGTTATTAGACAGTTAAGAAGAAAGGCTTGATAGTTGGTACGGGGTTACATGCGGAGTATCGATGCGGAATGATGAGGATGACCCGTACAACGTACAACTATTGACGCTGCCGGGGAGCAGATCCAAAAGCGTGTGAGGTCACGACTGCGCCGCGCTCAACTGTACACCCCCGCTCTTACCTTTGCCGCCTTTTGTATGAGGTTTAGGTCTGCCTTTTGTGCCAGAAACGACATCACGTCTCGGTTGATACCGTGAGGCCCCTCCTCCTCCGCGTCGGCAGCGCCATCGTAGCTGCGGCTGCTGCTGCTGCTGCCGCCTTTGCGGCGCAGCTGGGACACCGCCACGGAGCTCCCAAAGATGCACGGCACGATACCCCACCTGTCACACCACCAAAACATGTCTGCAAGCTCCTCCCACCAGTGAAATGAGGAGGAAGAGGCTGCAGGCCTGCCGCTGCCGCCGCTGCTGCTGTCACTGCTGTCCGCCTCTTGCTTACCACCTGCTGCTGCTGCTGCCACTGCTACCGGTGCTGCAGCTCCCACGGCAGCGCCATTCTCGCTCCCCTCCTCATCGCGCGCGGATGGCGTCTGCTTGGCTCCTGCACCCACCGCTGACGTGCTGCCAGCAGCTGGGACACCTTCCGCAGCATTCTTGGCAACATCCTTGACAGCACCACCAGCAACACCAGCACCATCACCACCAGCAGCAGTAGCGGCACCCGTCTTGCTGCTGGCTGGGTTGCTCAACAGCTTTGTTTGCTGCTCCAGAAGCTTCAACAACGCCTCCGTGCCATCCCAGTTCGCACGCGCAGCCTCCAGCCGCGCATCGGGCACCCGAGCAGCCATCTCGGCCCCGGCCGCATGCGCCGCGGCGGCAGATGCAGCTACATGCGCGGCTGCTGCAGCGGGACCAGCAGCAGCAGCAGCAGCAGCAGCAGGGGTGCTGCTGCCAGCTGCGGTAGCGGTAGCGGTGCCGCGTGTTGCACTGTTCTTGAGGGCTGCGGCCTTGTCGCTTACGATGGAGATGAACTCCTGTTTGGCCTGCACGACACGGGAGCGCACAGCCTCCGCAGCTAGGATGGGGAGCAGCTCCTCGCTGATGATTGTTTGGGAGATGGCCCGCGCGGCCTGCCAGGGGGAGCAGGGAGAAGGAAGGGAGCAGAAGAGAAGGATAGGTGCCCAGCTGTGTGCCAAGCTGTGTGCGAAACAGTGTGGAGCAGAGGAGCATGGGCTGGTTACCCACCGCATGGGTTGGTTTCCCTCCAACCCCACCGCACATACGGTATTCCCGCTACCCCCCACACTCCTGACCCGCCGAGGCAAGTCCCATTCTCACCCCCTCCCCGCCCACCTCCGCGCACTGCCGTCGAACCTTTGCCAAGCTCCCTTCCTTGTCCCCCTGGCTTCCACTGCCCCCGCTGCCGCCGCTGCCACCACCCGCCCGGTCCTCTCCTCCTCCTTTGCCCTTCGCACGCCCCTCTTCAAGGTCCGCATCTTGATCCAGCGCCACGGCTAGCGGAAATTCAGCCACCGCCCTTGCCACGGCGAACTCAGCTAATCGCAGCCATATCTTCGCAGCAGCGCCAACGGCACCAGAGCTGCCCCCCAGGCGGCTGCTGCTGATGTTGCTGCGGCCGGCGGGAGACATGGCCATGGTTGTCCCTGTTGTCAAGCCGGTCTGCGAACATATGAGCTGGCCAAAGCGGACCCGCATGCAGCCAACGATGTCGAGCTGTCGCAAGCTCCTGGAGAAGCGGGATGCGATCTGCGGCGGGGGAGGGAAGGGGATGGGTGGAGCGAGGGATGGGGGAGGAAGGAATTGAAAGCAGATTTTGAAGTGGCATAGACGACAATAGAGGAGGGACCAGGGCAGGAGGATGGATGATGGTGGGACAAGGAGGAGGGCAAGGGAAAAGTTCAAGAAGGAAAAGGGAGAGCGCGTACCGGGGCGGAAACGTAAGGCAGTCGGGAAGCACGTAGGGAAGGAAAGCGCAACAAGACAAGCTCATCAAAATAACTGCTGCACCCTTATCCGCTGCCCAAGCAAGCAACCCCACCTCATCCCACCCGCAACACCAACCGGAGTTCAGAACACCAACACCACCCCCATGCGTGACCACCCCACAAGAGATACACCGGTACATACATACACATCAGTGGGAGCCACGGACCCCAGCCCCCCTACCCCCTACCCAAGTAGGGGCTGAGTTTACCTAATCCCCTACCCCACCCACCCTCTGTCGGAGCCTGTTGAGGGTGCCCGCCTCCAGCGCCACCAGATGCGCATCGTCACCCGCCTCCAGCATCCTCCGCGCCCGCCGCAGGTCCCGCAGCAGCAGCTCCTGCGTGCGGCCAAGCAGCGACTGCAGCGGCCGGCGGCGCCACTCGCTGTCCTCCTCTGCGGCCAGTGGGAGACGGTCCTGTGAAAGGAAGGTGAAAAGGGGGGCCCGGGGTGAGGATGGGGAAGCGTGACAACACGTGGTAAGCACAGCTGGCAGCCCACACACGCCAGGCAGGGAAGGGTAGGGACGCAGCAGGGAGGGTGGGAGCAATCGTGCTACACAGCCACTTTACTAGCACCACCACCGCCGCCACTGCCTCAAGGGTCCCTCCTGACAGCCCCTCTCCAGGTACAACCTTCAACCTCCACCACCCAACCGCCAACCAGCCCCCATCCTATCCCAGCCCAGCCCTACCTTGGAGCCGGACAGCAGCACTGCGCCCAGGCACCACCACACAGCGCTTTGCAGCTGGGCCCGCCGTGCCGCCCGCTCCGCAGCGGACAACTCCCGCTTCTGGTGCTGCTGGGGGTGCTGCTGATGGGGTTGCGGCTGCTGGGGATGCTGCGCCGCGTCCCTCCACTGCTGCTGCTGCTGCTGGGGGTCGTCCTCCGAGGCGCCTTCAGTGGTAGAACCTTGCTGCGGCTGCGGTGGCTGAGGCTGCTGCACCTCCCCCTGCAGCAGCTGCTGCTCCCCCTGCTGCCCCGGCTGCTTGGTACCTGCGCCGCTGGGGCCGGCACCGGAGCCATCGGGGCTGCTGCCGCTCTTGGGGTGCATGAGGTCACTCATGGCTCTGGAGAAGAAGGCCATCACAGGAGCAGGAGGCGGCGCCGGCGGCGTATGCGGAGGCGAGGGAGGGAGGGAGGGAGCGCCATCACCCGCCCCTGCTCCCCCTGCTGGCTCGCTGGCGGGACCAGCCGGTGGGAGGCGGTGCTGCGGGTTGCAGTGCAAAAGAGGAGGCAGACCTACAGGCCCCGCCTTCCGCTGCTGCTGCTGCTGTTGTACTGGCTCTGCCATACCAGGGGCATCACTCCCGGCGCTGCATGCTGGTTCCGCTCCTGCCGAACTTGTTGCTGTTGCAGCAGCAGCTGCAGCCGGCTCGTACGGCAATGTACTGCTGCTGCTAGCGCTGCTGCTGACACTGTCCATCCTAGAGGTGCACCTGCCTGCCAACTCATCCCCACCATGCGTTGCGCTGCTGCTGCCGGTTGACGCACCGCCCGGCTTTCCTTTTGCCCTGCAGTTGCTGCTGCTGCTACCGCAATGGCTGTCACCGCCGTTGCTGTTCTGGTGATCCCTGCGGCTGCTTCCCTCCACTTCATCCGCGTTCCCGGGCCTCCTTGAGCAAGTCAGGGCCATGTCGTCGCCCTCCTCCTCCTCCTCGTCAGACAGCCAGTCCTCCGCATCGCTGACCTCCCCGGCGGTGGCTGACACGATCGAGGAGGCCAGCTGACCTACCTCCTGTAGACAGGCAGGCAGGCAGGCAAGGGGCGCATGGGGCGCAGGCAGGCAGGCAGGTGGGAAAAAGGGGTGCATGGGGGCACGCATGCATGCAGGTAGGTAGGCAGGCAGGAGCGTGAAGTTGGAAGCGCAGGTGCGTGAAGGTGCCGGGTCAGCAGTATGGACCAGGGGGGTGTCAGCGATGCCGCCCACCCACCCACCCACCATGAGTGTAGGCCGCAGCCTCAGCAGCACCTCCCGCAGCTCGCTGGCCAGCACCAGGGCCTCTCGCAGCTCCTGCTCGTCGGCGTCGGGTAGGGAGGAGACCCGCTGCTGCTGCCGCTGCTGCCCTGCCTTCTGCGGTTGCTGCTGCTCCTGCTGTTGGTCCTCCGGCAGCTGTGAGGCCCCCTCGGGCGGCCGCTGAACTCCCGGCTGCGCTGACGTCGCCTCCGCCGCTGCTCCTGTCATACCAGCAGGCGCCTCAGGCGCGGCAGCAGCATCAGCAGCAGCCGCGGGCTGAGCAACGGGGTGTTGCTTGGAATCCGTGGTTTGGGCAGTGGCGTCGGCAGGGATGCTGGCAGCATTGTCGCTGTTGGCGCTGCTGGGGGTGGCAGCAGCAGCGCGGAGCCGGCTCCCCAGGCCTGCGATGAGTGCCCTGCCAGTGCCGAACCGAAAAATTTCAAGGCCTGTGGAAGCGAGAGGGAGGACGGAGTGCACGGGAGGAAAAAAGATGAGGGGACGAGGGAGGGCCATAGGTGGTGGTACTGGAGAAGGGGAGGGCGACCTGGTTGTGCAGAGGGCCCTAACCGCCAGTTAGGAAGGGTGGCGGTCGGATAGAGTTGGAAAGCCCAAAGGCTATTGGCTACTGTAACCAGCTGTAACCTGGTTGCCTAAGGGACCTTGACGGCTCCCACCTAACCGTCAAGGTTTCCGCACCGTTGGCAGGGGTTAGGGTTGGCAGGGGCTACTCAGCAAGGAGAGTGTGAGGAGCCGTTTAGCAGCTGCGCCAGCTCTGCTTGCACTGAGAGGTTAACAAGTTGGGGACTGGCACTTGCCTTGTTGCAACTGGGAAAGGCGGTCGTCCAGTTCGTGCATACGGTGGCACTCATCCGTACTGTTGTAGACTTCAACCAGTTCCTCCACAATGTCCAATGGGTCCTCGCACACATCAACCAAGTCATCTTCGGCCTCAAGGTCTGTTACCTCCGAGGTGAAGTTAGGTGAGGTGCGTGCCTGCGGCGTCCAACCGGGTTTGCGTGGGGCCAAGCCGAAAGTTATTGTGCTCTCCAATTTGTGCCGTGTGCGTGATGACTGCCATATTAGCTTTAGTCGGTATATAAAATGGTACAAACGGTTTCCGCATACAAAGGAAAGGTTTAGGGCTGACACATTGCTCCACGCGCTGCCGTGGGGAGACGGGATGTGAACAGCAGCGCACGGTGGGAACAGCGGGAGCCGGGGCGAGAGCGGGCCTGCCGGAGGAAACTCGTGTAGTGCAAAAGGTCTAATCCCTTACAGCATGAGCACGCTATAGGCTAGGGACGGCATGCCAGTTAGGCCAGGGGCAGAACCTGCTCTCGGCCCTTCTCAAGTACCTTGCAAACCAGCGCAGTTGTCCACACCAATACCGTACCTGAATTTCTTGCTCAATCAGCGGGGCAGCCCGAGGAATGGCCGCCTTCAATCGTTGGCATCGCTTGACGCTCGTTAGCGACCAAGGAGAGATACCGGCTTGATAAAACGAGCCATGATGAGACGAATTGCCTTGGTATGAAATGCCTAAGCTCTGGCCCAGAAGTCGCCGACGCTGCGTCTCCTTCAACTTCTGCTCCAAGGTAGACATTGTTGCAAGAGTTTACATCATATCATCACAATATCAAAGATGTTACCTACGCATCCTGATATGGGCATGCAAAATGGCCAAAAGGTCTAGGAATGTGTTCGGCAAGTATGGCAAAGGCAAGTTGACAGCAAATTATTGATGTCTAAAAGCACAAAGTAAGCAAAAGGTCCTCTTGCAAAAGCTGCGGCAGCATAGGTTGCGAAACACCGTACCGCGGGTCTGCTGGTCTGATCCGGCTACAGCCGCATCCAAGTTATAACCCCTACTACCTTGTGGTACCTCGTACGTTTGAACACAGAAACGGTCATTGAAACATTTCTCAAAGCCTGTAAAAAGCAAGCATACAGGTAGCATACACAGCAGCTTAGGCGGCCCTTCGATCATAATTAACAATACCCACCATGCCAGAGTTAGCTCCTCCGCACTTTAGGCTCTTCCCGTGTCGCCCTCTTGCAGCCAAACACAGTTAGGCTTAACTTCAGATAGGCCTCTCTGAAGTCATAATCCCCGTCCTGACCTCGCACATTCCGCCTGACAGGCTAATGTATGTCCCTCAAATCATTGCTGCAACGCCTCTGTATCCACAGCAATTCCATCCTCCTGCTGAAGCCATGCTCACAACTGTCAAACGCAACATCCGTATAATTAGAAGTGGCTAAATCCTCATAACGTTTTTTGAACGTTCAACTTTACTCATATGTCTTGTTGATACTATCCATAAAGGCTACAAAATATAAACATCAAGAGAAAGAAACGAGCGGAACAGATCTTCAGTGCTTTATCGCGCCCGCCATCGCTCCTCTCCCCGCTGACATCAACACCTCATTCACCGCCGACGAGCCGTTTGCAGGAATGATGACCGCAGCGCCGTCTGGGCCCTGCATCCGCTGCAGTTCTTGCCTCAGCAGTTGTTGCTCCTTCTCCTCGTCCTCTCCGGTTAGGTGGTGAAACCAGAGGTCCAGAACCTGCGAGAGAACCATGGGTCGCAAGGGGCGGAGCAATCCCGAGGCGCATGAGTAGGCTGATGGCCCTGCGTCGTCGTCAATCAACTGCATACCGTATCACAATGAGATCCCCAGCACCCAATGCGAGACAAACGCGTAACGCGAGCCACGCCCTTGACATGATGGACGTTCCCAAGCACCATCCCCTGCACGTCCAATCCGTTATCTCCCCACACCAACACACACAGCTTTAGCACATTCGAAAGCATCCGCACACCCGCAAAATGTCGTACCTGTTCCGATCCGTACCATGGCCCAAAGAACGGCAGCCTCTCCCCCAGCGGCGAGTGGAACACCCCCTCCAGGTCCACCTTTGGTAGGCAAGGCAAACCACCCGAGGGACAGCCAATGGAAAGACAACACAAGTCGGTGCACCCTTCGATTGGACTCATGCGACGCCTTTCCACCCGCTTTTGTTAGGGGAACGGTCAAGCCACTGAAGGCACCGAAGACAAGGAAGACAGCACACAAGTCCATGCAGCAGCAGTCGAAGGAAAGTGCGATGCAGCACCAAGCCCACCTGCGTGGCCCCATGCAGGTGCGCCGAGGGCTGCGGCACGATGAAGTCGCCCCACACCTCAGGGTGGCCGCACACCTGAGGGGTCGTTGGGGTGGGGTTGGGGCCGTAGGGGGCATACATGGAGGGTGGGGTGGGGGAGTACACAGGGGCGTCGTAGGCAGAAGGCAAGGGACGGGTTGTACCCTAACTGCCGTTCGAAGCCCCACACCTCAAAGCGCGTGAGCACCCGTCCCCCCCTCGTGTATTAGGAGCAGCACAATTGCGTGAAAGCTTCCGTTCCGTACCGCAATCAGGACCCCCCACCCCCGCACCTGTTGGTAACCTGCGCCGGCCAGTCTGGCCAGTAGCGGCACCTTCTGCTGCTCCTGCGCTTGTCCCTGTCCCTGCGCCCGACCAACACCCTCGTAGCCTCCGCCCCGGCCGCCCCTGCCCGCAGCAGCAGCAACCCGCCTCAACGCTGCCACTAAATCCGCAGCGGATCTGGGGTTGGTGGCCGCGCCGGCGGCCGCCGCCGCCGCCGCTGCTACTGCCGGGGTTGCGGATGCGGCTGCTGCTGCAGCCGCAGGCGGCGTCGGCGGCGTCGTTGTGTGGACTGCTGTAGCAGCAGTGGGTGGTCCCACCAGGGGTGCCCCGTGTAGGAACTTGCCTGCGATAGTAACGTAGCTGATCTGCGGTGTGGGGTGCGGTGTGGGGCGCGGTGTGGGGCGAGGACGAGGTGCACACAGGTGCACATGACATTGGAGGGGCAGGGTAGGGATACGGATAAGGATACCGGTGAAGTAGGCGGATTGTCGGGCTGGGACAACCGTTTAGGATTGACATGTGGCGCTAAGAAGCTAGGGGGATTTCCTAATCTGGCAACCTTTGGCAACCTTGGCAAGCAGCGTTCCCACCTACGGAAGCTAACACCGTACCGCCAGTACGGCAGTGCGGCACCCTTACCGAGCTGTGGTAGGCCCCCGGGCATGCCTCGTTGCAAGCGGTCAGCAGGCCCCGTGTCTGGTCAACCACTCCCGGGGCGTCCCGAGGCGGTGGCATGTGGGGTGACCCAAGGGACACATAACGGTCAACGCCCGCCGTGCCCCAGTGCATCAGGTACACTCGACCCAGCCAGCCGCCGGCCGAGTGAGCTAGCATCGTGATGGGCGCGTCGGCGGCTTCGACGCGACGTTTCAACTTCTGCATGGCTCGATCCGCGCGTTCCAGGTACCTACCCGGCGGGCGGGCATGTGGGGGAAGGGCAAGTCGCTAGGTAATTGTGTATTGCAACGGGTACGGAAACTTCCGCTCACCGTACGCTCTGCCACGACTGACTTTGGCCTTCACAATCTCGAATAATGACATGCATGCAATGCCGAGTAAAGAGACATTCAGTACAATAATGGAGGCAAATTCAAAGCCGCACCAGTTGACAGCTGGCCGCGGCTGCAGCGTCCCCTTCCACCAGTTGGGGTCCACCAAGGCCGCTGCGTTGCGAGACCAGTCCAGCCGGGACACCTGGAGACACAATGTAACGCACGGCGGCATGGAGCAAGGAGGTTGCACAGCAGAGTGCTGGTAGGTAATCCGAGGTGCATGGTCTGCTAGTGTGCTAGCAGGACTCTCCAAACCGCGAGTGCAAGGTGCCATCCAGCTGTGGAACGGGTGTATGCGTTAAACATGCATACGGCTTTGGTGCATTCGCGGCAACGTTATAGCTGTGCAACACCACCACCACCGTCTTCAGCGCCTTGAAAACTTACCTGCGCAACCTCCACGGCCATCCCACGCGCCTCCAGCAGCGATGCAAGCGGGCCGTAATCAGCGGCGTTGTTGCCCAGGCCTGGCAGGATGAGCACGCCGCGTCGTACACTGTGTTGGGTCGGGGGCGGGGGAGTTGTGGAGGTGGAAAGCGGGGCAGCGGGGAAGGGAGGTGGGTCAACCCATACGCTAAAAGGACAGGGGAGATGTGCCGCACAGCCGTTGCAAAAACAACAGCACAGCCGTTGAAGTTGTAATGGAGAAGAGGTGAATAAAGGTAAGGCTGAAGGGTCATGATTAATGCTTTGAGGTGCGTGCCGGCGATGCACAGGTGCGCTGGGGTGGCTGGGGTGTGGCGGAGTCTGTGCCGAAGAAGGCACTGACGAACCCGTCGGGCGTTTAACCCTGCCTGCCAATGTCCAGCCCTCCACCCAAACCCGCAACATCCTGCTTTGTTTGTGTGTAGCCTTCGTTAGAATGCAACACGCGGATTAAAGTAAAGTAGTTGTATGCAAGACATAGCCGGGGGGGACAGAGGCCCCATCCATCGCGACCGGATCGCCCGCAGTAGACCTGACAACCTTAACAGCAAGAAAGGCTCCCCGGCTATTATCCTATGATGATGCTGGACATCCGCACCTGCGGCCATGTCCAAAGCTGCCGGCTCTTGCGCACACGCGAACGGTCCCTACATGGCAATGCGTTGTAGTCCGTTGAAACCTTATCCTAAGACGTCCGAACGGAAGCAACAAGAAGGCTGCTAGGACTACAATACACGCAACTGTGCTTCTTGCCATTCTGACATTGTCGAACAGCTCTTGGTTCGCGGCATTGGAGTCGCCGCTGCTGCGAAAGCGCTGGCGCTGAAAGAGGTCGCATTGTGTCTCCGATGCAGTACAATTAAAGGATTAAATTGCGCTAAGGCGTGGCTATGTTGCGTTTAGTCCATCGGCACCCTTTGTACGGCAACATGCGACCGATTCAACCTCGTATCATGGTATTCGTCAACGGTTAGCGAGCTGCTCGCCTTAAATATGGCACATTGACCGGGGAATCAATGAAAGGTTGTAAATAGTTAAGGATCAGCCAGCCCAACAGCACGCCTGCGGAAAGGAACCAGCGTAAGCAGGGCACACCCGCCCCAGCCCAGTATCCGAGGATATATCGAAGACCTAGAGGGTTCCTGCCATCTCGAGTAAGCGTTTTCGCGCTGCTACAGCTGATGAAACCTTGTGAATCGCCCGGTACTTCCCTATCATGCTAGGTCGCACAAGAAGTGCCGTGTGAGACGGGGTGGAGCGGGGTTTCTGGATGTTCGTACGATGCTACCTATAGTGTGTTACAGAACCGACGCCCACACCACAACACCCCCCACTGCCGTGCGTTGATGGCTCCTGACCGCATGTATGTGTTCCCTCCACCTCTGTGGATACACCGGTATGGCGTTGTCAGTGTGTAGCTACTATGCGCTCGTACCGCACGTGGGCCGAGTTTCCTGCCACGAAGCCCAGGGGCAATCCACGGACTGCCTTTAAGCCGAGACCAACTACGCGTGGTCACATGTGTGGTCACGAAGCGTATACCGGCTGCGCCACACCTTGCTTTGGTACAGAATGCAATTTTGTTGGAAAAGCCACGGGAGCTTGCAACAGACACGTCAAGCCCAGTTTCGTACTTGAAAGCACGCGCAGCCATGCCTCGCTACCATGCTTGCTACTGCAGACAGAGCTGTCGGGGATACTGCTATCATTGGTACGCCACCGCCTTAAGTGCATAACATTTTACAGGAGTGCAGCTGTAATGCCACCGAGGTCGCGAAGCGCGTATGGCTTTGCCTGCTGTACAGCAGAGCCGTTGGGATTGATTGCCAACCGGTTTATAACGCTTAACCGTAAGAGCTTTAGTGTCAGGACTAACCTATTGTCTAAGGGAAGGAATTGTTAGAGGTGCTCACTTCACATGCCATGCGTCGGTAATCAACATAACTGAGGCATTAAACTTACGCTTCCATATGCACCAAACACACACAATTTTATAGTTATGGTGGAAACCGATAGTAGTGACGCCGATGTGGCCGCACGAGAAGAGGAGCTCTGTGCACTTGAAGCCATCTTCGGAGAGTCTGTTAGCGTCCGGCCTGAGGAGTCAATAGTCGAGGTATGGTACTTCCATTAAAGCCTTCCAAAACATGTTTATGCTACGCTTGCGCTTTCCCTTCAATCACGACGGTACGGCACCAGCCGCCTGCCTCCCAGCAAGTCCCCAGATGCCAGCACCGGCACATGCTTAGCAACCCACAAGGCACATCCTACACAACCACAACTAGTGACCCAACGCATGCATGCCCTTCTCCTTGTCCCGCCTCCGCATGTCCTTGCCGTCTTCACCCTCGCCACCTCGCCACCCCATCAGGTGCGGCTACCTCATCCCCACGGCGGCACCCAAGAAGTGACCCTGCGGGTTTCGCTCCCCAGCGACTACCCCAGCACCTCCTGCCCCATCCCCGAGCTGTACGGCAGCCACCTCTCGGATGACGTACTCACCTGGACCGCCCGGCAGCTAGAGGGCATGTTTGTCCCAGGTACAGACTGGACGCATCTGCCATACCACCACTGCGCTGGCACTGCACCTCGCACTTGACGCAAATGCGTCATGCATTGATGCACGCATTTGTCGTGCTTGTGGCTATGCGCGCTGCTGGCGTTGCCCTTCATTGCCTGCTGTTCAGCGCTTGCCGTACTCTGGCCATTGCATCACACCCCTCACTCACACGCTGGGGCACGCAAACACACACAAACGCGCATACACGCACACACATGCCAGTAATTTTAACACACACACACATGCGAACATCCCAACTGCTTGCTCTTGTTTTTACTCAACTACACACAGCCTCAGCTGGGCTACCCATCACGCAGGCGAGGTGGCGCTGTACAACTGGGTTGAGTGGCTGCGGGAGCAGGAGGAGCTGCTGTGGAGCTTGCCGGCAGCACCTCCCGCGGCTGGGGCGGGGGCAGGAGGGGCTGGAGGAGGGGAGGCGGATGCGGGGGACGGCGAGGAGGGCAGCGGCAGTGCCTCTAAAAAGCAAGCGGCTGGGAAGGTATATTATGTGTGCGTGTATGTGTATGTCTCTGGGGACACCCGCGTCTCGTTATCATTTCACCCCCTTTCGCGTACGGTACTCCAGCCCCTTCCCTCCGCCACCTGCCTCCCCATTCCGACGAGCCATCCTTCACCTCGACACGTGCTTTGGTAATTGCTTATCTTACCCCCGCATCCCCTACCGCCCACAACCCCACCACCCCAGCACGAGGGTGCGGTCCGCGAGGCGGAGGTTGTGGAGCTGCTTCGATCGCTGCGGGTGACCAGCGGGGAGCCGCACGTGGAGAAGAAGTCCACATTCCAGGTTGGTGGGCGGGTGACTGGGTGGGTGGGTGAACATGAGGAGGGAGAGACGGGAGGATGTGAAGCACCCCAACCTAAATGCCCAAGTTACCCGACTAATGACGCACCAAACTGCTGGCTTACCTCGGTGCACACCCCCCGTGCTGCACCCGCCACCCGCATACCCATTGCACACACCCATCCCCACCACCCCGGCCCCTGGTGAGGCCTCGTACTATGGCTCGTCAGTTTCCTCTTTTAACCCCACCCCCATGTTGACGCCTTATCCCTCAGTCAGTTAGTTGTTTCCTCTCTTAACCGCACCCCCACCAACCCCACTCGCGCATCAGGCCCACGTAGCCCCCGTCAGCAGCTTCCAGGAGGTGCGGGCGGTGATGGACGCGCTGCTGAGTGTGTCCAAGATCCGAGCCGCCACCCACAACATCATGGCTTACCGCATACACAACCCAGCGGGGGGTGCGGCGGGGGGAGCAGGCAGCTTCCTGCAGGTGAGGTGGGGAGGACGGAAGACCGGGGGGGGGAGGACACGTGTCGCGCGGGTTTGGCGACTGCTCCGCAGGTGCTGCCTAACCTGCCCTGCGCCGTGGGGTTGGGTTCGCACAGTCGTTCCGTTTAGCGGTACTGTTTCCCTGGTAACACGCACACATGTCCCTGAACCCTGTCCTCCCCCCGTCCGCCCCACCCCTACATGGCTCCCATGCCAGGACTACGACGATGACGGTGAGACGGCTGCAGGCGGCCGGCTGCTTCACCTGTTGCAGGTACACGGAGCGATTATGGGCGGTGAAAAGGGGGAACAGGGCGCAGCAGGGGATGCGAAAGGAAGGGGAGGGAGAGGCAGGACAAGCAGGCGGAATTCGCTACTGCACTCCGCCGCCCGCCCCCACATCACCCCCAGCAGACCGCCCCAAGTCCCCCAACCCTTGTCATACAGCTCGCCAGTTTCCTCCTTTTTGCCCCAACCCTTCCCTCGAGCACAGCCCAACTCAATACACTCCATCCCATCCCGCGCATGCTCCCTCCCATGCGCATGGTCCCCCTTTCCCACGCCCGCATGCTCCCTTTCCGAACGGTTTAGGTTCTCCGACTCCCACCCCCACATGCTCCTCCTAAACTGCTCCACACGCGCCCGCCCCGCCCCCCTAGGCCGCCGACGTGCGCAATGTGGTGGTGGTGGTGTCGCGGTGGTTCGGCGGTGTGCTCATGGGCCCGGGGCGCTTCACGGCGATCAACAACACCGCACGAGTGTTGTTGGAGCAGATGGGGCTGGTGGCGGGGGGCAAGGGAGGGGGGGGAGGAGCGGGAGGAGGAGGAGGTGGCGGGAAGGGCGGCGGTGGCGGTGGAGGGGGACCGGCTTCGTCCAAGGGGGATGGCGGTGGTAAGCGGCATGCGGGCCGTTGAGCGGGGGCACTGCAGCCAGGAGCTCTTGTTGTGCTGGTCTTGTTGATGGTTGGGTAGTTCAGCGGACTGGGAGTGAAGTACGACACACACCCGGTGGTCTGCTTAAAGGCGTGCATGGGGGTTGGAGAAGTTGGGTATTAAGTTTCAGGGCATGCATGGTGCAGGTGGACGGGGGGGTCTGTTGCATGCTGCATGCGGCAGTAACGTGTGGTGCAAGTGGAGGCATGCACACCTGCGGGTCGGCAGCAATAAAAGAGAGGAGAGGTGGAGAGGGGACAGGAAGAGCAGGTTAGACAGGATTAGCTAGGAACCGACGGAGCGGCTATGGATGTGAACCGCGTGGTGCTGCTGGCAGTGTGGATAGCAGCTAGGCACGAATGCGGCGTACGACGCTGTGTTGCAGCTGCGGGGTCTGCTTTGCAGGGACTAGTTGAGATGTAGCGGGAACATGTGCTAACGCCGTTCGGAGGCGAAGCACGGTGATTTAACTTCAGGGTTTGCGGCCATTCGTGTGTCAGGTGGACGACGATGACACGGCGCTGGCCATTATTTTCTCCAGGATGCGTTGTTAGAGAGGCAGCCACTAATGAGTGCGTGTGGCACAGCGAACGCGTAGCACCCCAAGCCCACCCCCCATTGGGACTTTGTTGATGCACTTATCTATATCCCCCTCCCCACCCACTTCCCATGCGCAGCAACCCCATTCACCCCTACATGCGGGAACTTTTACTCGAGGGACCGCTTAAACGTACCAGGTTACATTTGTGTCTTAGAGCCAGTCCATTGATCTCTTGTAAGCACCAAGACCATAGGAAAGCAGCGCAGCGCTTATTTTGTGCAGGGCAGCTCTTTCTGCTGTAACGGGATCCGCTCCTCCCACCCCCGCCTGAATCATTATAGCCATTCCCAAAAATACCATTCATCCGTTCCCACACACAAGAAGCCGAGCAATTAGGAGCCCCAGTGATATCCACATAGCATCGGGCGGCTTCGCCGCGCAACATAGAAAGCCTACACCGACAGTATATCCACCAAACGGGTCCCAACGAAGCACGGGTAGCAACAATTCCAAATAAGCGTTCGTATGCAGATTACCTCCTCCGGGGTAGCGCCCCTCCCCACGCTAAAAACACGCATTCCAAACCTTTACACTGACACCACACTAATACACAGGGCCCGACGGCGACGTGTAGTGCACCATCATATGGCTGCAGGCACTCCCACGTACGACAACAAAAAGCACTACCAACCACCACACGATAGAAATTGCACCGTTAGGGAAACCGCCTCTCGCTCTACTCAACCCCTCTCCAATCCACAGCCCTCCCTTTTTTTACAACAGTGCGCGAGTAAACATGTAAACAGAATACGGCCCGGGCCATAAAGACGTGGTATGCGTGTGCTTTGCTTGAGGTGTTACTCTGCTTGCCATGCCCCTCGTGAGCCCATCGAGCACACCTCACACCACCCTTGCTTCTCTCCACACTTCCACTGCTGGAGCCAGGCGGCATCGCCAACATCATCTCCTTCACCATGGTGCACACCGTTCATTAAGCACCCCTGTAGCAGGCCACCACAAAGCGCGTGTTCAACAGCACCGGCACCAGCAGCACTCCTAACACCAACACCGATAGCCTTTCTTTCTCCTCGCTCCTCACTAGCGCACATTTTTCCCGACAGCAGCGAATAACATTCGATCAGTCAAAACATCAGACTGCCACACGCATTCAAGCGTGCAGCACCGCTCCTACCGTCTCACCGCTCCCATTATCTTCCACAGAATAACCAAACAATAGCACACAACCGCAAACACGAATAGAAGTGTCAAAGTTCCAGACTCGATGAAACGAACAGTGTCACACTCATACCGTATCAGAGGGCTCCTCGCATCACTTCGCACGTTGATTTAATCGGCAGAAAAACAAGCCATCCTCTTCGCTCAATGTTGCGCCCCAAAATTAAGGACGGCCATGCCATGCCAAGGCACTCATGCATTTGCGCATTGTCGTGTAAGGTTTGTTGTTCCATTGTGCAATCGCCGCGGATTGGTGCGCATTTCTGTAAAGCGCCAAAAAGCAAAACAGCCGCAAGGCATCACCCAGAGCTTCCATTCGCCCTCAGTCTACCCGGCTGAACACGGGGTATGCTAGGGACTAGGGTCACCAATGTGGCCGAAACCAACAACGCTTGGGTTGTGGTAACGATACTGCGCTGCAAGAAGTCCCGTGCAAGCCGGTGGACTGACCCGTGGGTCGCCGTCAGCCCCATAATCCGCTCCTCATTGCTCCTCACCCCACCCGACCCGCACATAAACGGCTGTTGCACAGCCAGGAAACAATTCCCTCAATTCCTCAAATGCGCCATGCTCCCTAAGCGCACACAAATACCCCTCCACTTGTACCCTCAACGCCATACACCCTGACCAGCCCACAACCCGAAACGCCTCGACGAAGAACCGCACGGACAATACAAAGCCTGCCAAGCGGAGCTTTGTAGTTCCAATACGGCCCTCAGCTGCTCGCACACCTTCTCACACTTCCTGCGCACAGTCATCATCACACACCGCACACTCACTTGCATTGCATCGCCTTGCACACAAACCCTAGAGCTACCGGTATAACCAGCCCTTGTTCCTTCGTAGTTTGCTCGTCCAACGTCGATATCGAATAGCAACAAGCGCCCATCGCTATTCGCCAACAGCACCTAAACGCGCATGTGTAACCGCAACTTCACGACGACTCTAGCTTCAATGGATCTTGAAATCCGGATACTTGGATCTTGGGGAGAGATTCCGATGTACGATCCTTTCCAGGAAGGTCGAGCGTACCATTGATCGAGAAACACAGCTGGCAAACAACACACTTGGGAAAAGTGCTAGGGGTGTTGCCGCCGGCAAAAAGCGCTGTCCGTTGCGCCCTCCCCCCACTGATAACAGCAGCTGGGAACGCAACAAGCCGCCGCAGCACCACGCCACAGACCCACCAGCAAACCCGACTTCAGCGAACAACCGCCCGCATGTAACTGCATCGCTCCATATACCCAGAACTTGGGTTCTCTTCGTCATCGGCGCACAAGCACACAAACCTCTCATCATCGCCCCTCGCTCTGATAAGTAGTATATAGGCTTAGCAAAAGCATGCAAGCCTCCTTTTCAGTTCCCTACTAAGGTAGCGACCTGAAACTCCCTCCTAAACGCCACCATCAGCTGTAGCAGCAGCAGCGGCAACCAAGCACACATAAGCAACGACACACGCTGGGGTTGAGTTCCCTTTTCCTTTTTTGAATGTTTAGGCAAAAAGCAAAGATCCACACAACCTCTTTCTTTGGAAGAGGTTGGGAAGCCACACGTTTGAATTCCTGCCCTGCCCAAATCCAAAGGGCTCGACTTGCATTCCCTGGCATTCGCCGTGTTAACGACTTTCTACCTTGCGAACCAATCGAACAGGCGCCTAAGCGGGGTCCTGGACGCCCGTTTTTCCACAAAAACAAACGCGTCAACCACACACAAAAACACACCAAGTAAGCTCAAGTTGTTGGCAGGACGGGACGGGACTTTCTCTGCTGCAGCCCCTTCATAGCTCCAACGGATGCTGTTGGTAATCCAATCCAGCCCGCCATTGCGCAACGCTTTCTCCCTCCCTTTCATCCTCCTCTCCAATCCTCCTACCGTACGGAGAACTGCAGAGGCGCCGCAACGAGCACGTTCGCTTGCGCCACCTCCGACGGCGCTCCACAACACGCCGTCGCCGGCGTCACCGCCGTCGGCCCCCTCACCGACCCACGCATCGGACTCCCCGTTGCCGCCACCGCCGCAATACCCACCTCCGTCCACACAGGCCGTGCTAACGCCCGCGGCGGCGGAGCAGGCGCCACCGCCACCGCCGGCACTGCTCCTGCTGCTGCTCCTCCCGCCTCCGCCGCCGCTGCTGCAGCCGCGACGGAGCCCACCGACGACGACGCCAGCAGCGCCACCTGCTTATCCTGGTACCTGGTCCAGTAGCGCCGCAGCAGCGGGTGCTGCAGCAGCGCCTCCGCGGAGGGCCGCCGGGTCGGGTCCAGCTGCAGTGCCTGAGTGAGGAAGGAGCGCGCCTCGGGGGACAGAGACCGTCCGGCGAACAGCCGCTGACTGCCACCCCCCGCTGCGGAGGGTGTGGTGGGTGCGGAGGGCGGCTCCGAGGAGGCGAGGAGCTCCCGCTGCAGGGCGCCCATGTCCGCCGGCGAGTCGGCGAGGAAGGGCTGGCAGCCGGTGAGGGCCTCGTAGGTGAGGGCACCCAGACTCCAGACTGGGAGGGGGGCACGGTGGAGGAACGGGGTGAGGGAGAAGGTGTGCGGTGTTTTGGTGAGTTTTGCCGCTGTGTCCCAGCTCTTGGCACTTCCACGGACACAGCAATACTCGCAAACGTGAATACGCTGCGCTGTGCGTTCCCTCGATCCCTTCCCTCCCGCAGCATCCTACAGTCTCCCCTTCACCCTGCCCCCCTCCCCGCCCCACCATCCGCCTTCTCGTCGTACTGCGGCAGCTCCTCCTCGCTGATGCCCCGGCTGAGCACCTGGTGGAACACCTCCTCGGCAGTGGGCTTGTCAAGCACCTCGGGAGCCTGGGGGGGGGGAGGAGGCGGGTGAGGAGAGTTGTGGCAATGTTCCATGCACGCAGCCAGTAGCAGGCTGTTCGTTTGGCCTCTCGGGCACTGTTTGTTGCGTCAAGGAGTGCATGCGGCTGCTGGAGCAGCAGCTGGATGACGTATCGGGGCCAGCTGAGATGACCCCAGATGAACCCAACCGGCCTTCATGCACCCTCTGCCCCATAACCCGCATCCTTCGGGTTCCATCCCCAACCCTCACCATGTACTCCAAAGCCCCAGCCCGGTTGTTCAAGCAGCGCTGCTTGGCGTTCACCGCCTCCGCGAAATCCACCAGCGTGATGCTCGCGCTCTCGTGACAGCACAGCACATGCTCGGGTTTCAACTGCCGGTGTACGACACCCCTCCGGTGCAGATCCGCCAGCAGTAGCGTCAGCGGGATGAGGATGTACGGCACCAGGACGTGCTCAGGCAGCCGCCCGCCGCAGTTGGCTATGAGCTCGATGAGCGTGAGGCCTGTGAGGTTGCGCGTGCCGTTGCGGGCGAGTGCGGACGGTAGATGGTTGTTTTAACGGTAGATGGTTATGAGCAGCGAGCAGCCACGAGGATGAATGCGCCCGGAACTTAATTACCCAGATGTAATGAGCGTTAGGCTGATGACTAGACCCTAAGGAAAGCGCTTTGCTTTGTTTCGCGTGGGGGGAAGCGGTTCAAGTGTGGGATACATTTGCCGTTAAATTTAAAGTACACAGCGTATAACACGGGCGCCGTACATACCTGGGCAGCGCTCCAGGACGATGTAAAAGCACTCGTCGTCCTCAAAGTGGTTCAGGTACTGCACGACTCCGGGCACGCCTGCTAGCGTCCGCAAGTGCTGGACCTCGCTTTCCAGCTTGGTTCGCATCGCGGCACTTAGGCGCGACTTGTAAACGGTTTTCATGACAACCGTCCGTTTGCTGCTGCGATCCTGTGCCGCCATAATGGTATGAAGCCTGACGAGGCAAGCACAGGGACGGAGAGCAAGAGAAGCAGGCGAAGGTAAGGAGGCAATTAGCGGTGATTGAGAAGGAATGGCGCTGGAGGGAAAGGAAGGGTAACGGTAGTGGGTGCGAGGAGGTCCAATGGCATATGTAGGGCATGGGGACCGCGGGTGCAGGTGCAATAGTGTTTGGATTTGGGCGAGTGAAACTTTTGGTGTAGACCGTAATGAAGGAAAGTGCAAAGGGCTACTTATGCCGCGACCAAGGCAGCATCGGGAAGCTCCATGCGTCACCCTGGCTGTAGTCCTCGTGTCTACTAAGGCGTACCTTGAGCGATGTAGTGGCTTAAGCTGTCTATATTGACCCTTCACGCCATCTGCTATGTTGTATGCCGGGTCCGCTGCGGAAGAGTTTGAGCTGCGCACTGAGCCACTCTCAACGCTCGTCTTCGCCCGCGTGAAATCACAACCGACTCTCCTAGGTCTCGACAACCTTGACGGCGCGTAAATGTCAAAACTGCGCGGGCAAATCGGCCGTTTCAAGGAAGATATCATTGCAGATATGACGCGACGCGGAGATACGGTCTATCAGATCCTGACATCAAAGGCCAGAGTTATTGAACCGCTTACGTGTCCCGTTCATCGCTTGACGATGTCCTGGCTCGTTGGCTCGCGATGGTTGGTGGGTTCGGGTCTGTGAGAGAACGGCGAAGTTGTTGCTGTGTCGCCTGGCTGCTCACGAGCTCTGTTTTGCTTTTGCGATTAAAGAGCCGATTGAGGAACGCCATTTGAGAGCAACTCCAGCTCGCTTCAGCGAGTCGACCTTGAAATGTTCTTCAGCCAATGTTTACACCTTCGCCGCCAGCAGTCACGCAGCCAGGGTACGCTCTTGCCGAATGCCTACAGGCTCCTTCAAATGCCAATTCAGTGCGCTTATCCTGAGGTGCACGTCAGGCCGCCGCTGTTAAGTCCCACGAAAAGCGCCCTTCGCGTCTGGATCCTTTTTATAACCTGTTGTCCGGATTAGCAAGTCCCCCAATGAAAAGCAGGTAAAAAGAAGAAGTGCGACGGTCCAGCTCTGTATCAGATACTGTATCACACCTATTTCAGGTTAGAATTTTGGTTGGAGTGCGTTTAGATTATAAGGTAATGCTATTACGCAAAAGGACTGTGATATACATAGTCGAACAACATAAGTGTCTGCTATGGACCTGCCTGGCATAACCCTTGCAGCATCCGTACGCGATGTGTATGATACGGCAAGCACAAATCCTCTGAGCGTCTCATCAATGCCACGAAAACGTGCGTCTTCTAGCGTCATATATACGATATCATTTGGAACAATCTACTACTCGTTAGGATGAGCCAACGGTTTGGTGTGGCGTATCAATGGCCAAGAACAGTCAGTTACGGTCATCCTAAAGTCGCATTTCTGTTAAACATTGTAAGAGTGACAAAGACCAAATCTTTTTGCCTTCAAAAAACGGTAATACTGCAATAATTATACTGTCATGCCAAAGCCCCAGCCCTCTCCCACGGTCCTGCCCTCCCATTTCCGGCCAAGTACCAACCAAAGAGACCAAATGCACGAGCCTACCCACTCACCCGAGCGCGCTTAGTTTTCGCACTCTACCTCGCACGTACGCCCGCACCTCGCACGCCCTTGTTAGTCGGTACTTCCCTGCAGACCCTTAAACAAGTTAAAAGCCTTGAGCATAGCCATAATGGAATGTTTTGTTACGAATCACACCCAAACACGTACCACGCGGACTGTAGGGAATCCAACAGTAGACATTCGGGATTGAAGCTGGGGGTGCGGCGTTGCAGAGGCTCCAGGTTGCAAAACGCCTGTACCTGTGAACAACTTCGTGGCCTAAGGAAGATGGTCTTTCAGCAAACTGCCCCATACACCTGCCAGATGCGGGTGCGCGAGTGCTGTGGGTGTTGACTTCTGGACAAGCCCTCGCGCCCTTACCAGTGGACTTCATTAACGGTAGTACTATGTTACAAACGGTTGCATTAAGCAAGCGCTCGTGTGGGGTGTCCTCGAGACGTCGTCGCCTGCAGCGCGGCTTCAACAAGGCTCACCCCAGCACGAAAGGTTCATGTTGCCTGGGAATCACGCAAAAGCAACTGGTACAAGGCAACGAATCTCCCATTCCATTCCTAGATCTCCCATTTCAGACGGAAAGCCCTCCTCCGCTACATCTCCAATAACACGTCCGTGCAAAAAACAGCGCGTCTCGGCGCACGCCGCTGTTCCCACCATCGTTTGGATTTGTTCACCTAGAAAACACGCCTGCAACAAATAGATCTGCTTGCATCGGGACGCCGTTCCACAAACACGCCTGCATTTCTCTAAATAGCCACATGTCATCTTGCGCGCGCAGACAGCAAAGAGCTTGGCACGACGCAGAGACACCTTCGAAGGACGGGAAAAACTCACATTTAGGCCCTATCAAAAAACTCTCCTGCTTCCTGATCAAGATAGGGAAAACGCATGGGCACGGCATGATTCATGTAGCAAGTGTTATCCAACGGCAACTGGGACGCTGAAAGGCTATTAGTACTATCTCATACAAATGCAACACGCAAAAGACACAAACCCTAGAGGTGCATGGTGATACGCCTCGAGGGAAAAGGAAGCGGCTGCTTGTCCCGGCAAACTAACAATTAAACCCTAAAATTTTATTATTCTTGGTGCGTCCAGATCAAGCAAAAGGGCGCGACCAGAAATCACACACAGCACCACAAGCACAGCACAGACATCCAGAAGTGCCGCCGCATCGAGAAAGTCTCGCAAAGACGCGGATGTGTAATGTTGAAAATTATACGGCACCCCTTCCGCCAACAGCCCTGTCATTGCTCGGTGTCTCCGGCACGGCACGCACACATGCGGGGGAAAGCCTGGAGACCAAGAAATCCCCAACCACCACCTGAAGACAGGCAACCAACCGCATGACATGCGCCGCCACCGAAGCAAAGATACAACGTGGGTGATCCAAATTTCAAATCAAAAATTCTGTCACTGCCCGACTGGCGCCTTCAAATGACGATACGTGTGTCGGATACATCAACCCAGATAGGCAAGGGACCCCCCACACGTCTCAAGTCATCATCTAAACACCTTCAGGGCTTAACAGGCGGCAATCTCCTGCTCAGGCTCGCTGTTGTTGTCCGCCTCCGAGTCCGAAGACGTCGTGACAACCGACAGGAAGGACGCGGCGTGGTGCAGCGGCGTGGTGGGCGACCCAGGGGTCGCTAGCTTCTCAGCTAGCGTGTAGTACGCCACCTTGCCGCCGCATGGGGACACCTGGCTGGCAACCCCCTGCAGGCCGTAACCCGCGGGAAGCGCAGTCAGGGCGCCCCACGCACCCCCGTCCATATCAACCTTGTCCACCGACAAGGTCACCGAGACTTTGCCTGGCTGGAAAACCTTAACCACCTTTGACAGAATCTTGACCGGATCAACCAGATCCTCCCCAAAGCCCGAAAACTCCACACTCGCGTAGCTCTGATGCGCCTCCGGCGTGACATGGATCGTGATCAGGCCCGTGCCCTCAATCCCGTTCATCGAGTATCCGCACGGCTCGAAAACGTAGTCGTCCATGACGGCACGCGGCTTCAGATCAGCAATGCCCGTGTCCTTGGTCGTCTGCTCCGCGCTAACGAACTTCTCGTTGCGGAAAAACTGCTGCGCCGCCTCGTTGCCCAGCTCCGTCATGCACACCTCCAGATTGTAGGTGGGCTTGAAGGAGGAGGGATCCAGGGGCTGCATGTCGTCCGCCAGGTACACGTGCCACTGAAGGCCCTGGTACGGCTCGCCGAGTACGAATGCCGTACTGCCGTTGGCGGACATGGGGCCGAAGTGCTCGTCCAGGAAACCAACCTCGTGCTCGAATGCCGTGTACGGGAACGGCTGTGGAAAGGTGGAAGGAAATGGGTGGGAAGGAAGGGAAGGAAAAAGGGCAGGACAATGGATTAGGATTAGTTACGAAGAGCAGTTGTAAATAAGCTAAAAGCCGCTGCAACAGTGCTTATAACATGCGAATGTAGAGCACTGACTAACGGGTAATGCAATGCAATGTAACCACAACTTGCATGAACATGCACGTACGGCAACATTCGTAGCAGAGACAAATATCTTTACAAGTCCTCGTAACACATGCTGCTGATACATAGAGTAAGGGAAAAGACTAACCTGGTTCTCCGGGAACAAGAAGCTGGCACGGGTGTACTTGCAGCGACGCGGCTCCATGCCAATCGCACGGGCAGCCTCCAGCAGCCTTGGCACCGAGTTGAGCAGGCGCGTGGTGCCGCACGTCTTGAGAATCCACTTCGTGGGATAGACAAAGAGGCTGCTCTCCGACAGGACGTAAGCATCCATAAGCTCGTTGCTGCGCGACGAGACGATGCAGCAGCGCGCCAGGGTCATCAGCTCGTCCAGCATGTCGCGCGAAAGGGAGCGCAGCCCATTCGCAGGGGAGTTAGCGCCAAGGCGGAAGTCCACCTCAATGCGCTTCTCGCTACCCTCGAAAATGGGCGCGTGCAGAATCTCCTCGGACATCATCTTTCACTTTTTGTTGGGCTTTGGGGAGTCCACAGGAACTGTGTGCTGTGTTGGAAAAAATCTCTCTCTAACTAGACACTTAGCTGTTTGCGGGACAAAACTATTGCAGCTCGCTAACTAGTTCCCTCGAGTAAAGCGAATGTTAGCTCGGGAACTTGACGCACTGCAAGGCAAGAAAAAGGGAGGAAGGGAAGGACGGTCAGCAAGAAGCGATTGACTAAGGCTCGAGTAAAGACAGACATTGTGGAAGCTAAGTGCATCGGCGCCGCATGCATCAATGCCAGCACAAGACTGCGTTGCAGGCTCCGCAGGTGACGCGTAAATGCTGTCATGTAGCTCATGTTGTCAGCAGATAAGCTGGTTGAGACAATTGCTTGATGTGACGCGCGTCGGCGTGACAATCGGGAATGCTCGACGAAGGCAAACAGCAGATTCCATTGGCTTAAACATGTGTAGGAGAGGATCATCAATTGCAAGTGTGCACCAATGCGGCTGGTCCGGTGGCGACCAATCCATAGCCACTCACGTCGGCGAAAGCAGCAGAGAACTTGGCGATAACGGCGGGACGGTCAACAGCTACTGGCTCAGCTACCGGCTCGAACACGCGCATACTGTTGCTAACAGGCATAGAGGGGGGCGCTCATCTGTCTATGCAGAGGAAGCAAGCGTTCGGATCAACTGGTAACGATGGGTGCGGAGGAAGCAAGATCAGTAGCTGGACACCCTTTCAAGAGGTGGTGGTGACTTAAGCTTGTTTCCAATGACTTGGCAGGATTATGGCGCCGCCGACTTCAGTGCACGTTTTTGGGCCCTTCGAAAGGCTCCAGGGAAGCTCTGGAAGAGTCGCCTTTTTTCCAGGATAAGGGTTAGGATTTCGTATACATTACTTACTACACTTAACTATGTTTATTTATATTGATGTTAACTGCTGTATAACTCAGCCGGAGGAAGGTGCTCTTCCATTGGAACCTCTTGTCCCAGCCTCGAAGTTAGGGCTGTTGTATCCTAAACTTGCGGGCTAAACTTATAAGGCATGGGTTGCTATTTTATCCCCTTGTATGCAGCAACATGCAAGAGCTTAACCTTTGTCCTTGGCATTCCCGTGCTTTGACCACCCCCAGCATTCGGCCTGCACTCAAAAGTGAACAGCACTCATGTTATTGGCTGCTCCTGGGCTGCTTATTTTAAAGACGGTGTGTAGCCACTCCCAAAGTTCATAGGACATGGGCCCAAAGCCTTGTATCTAAACCAAGGGTCCAAGCTCCATTCAGCAATTCCATTATAAATAACGCACAGCGCTGTACTGGTCAGATGAATGGGCAGAGGAGGACGACAGAAGGTTCATAGGGATGGTTCTTGATGGCAGAGGTGCACCCCTGGCGTACCTTGGAAACAGCACATAATTGAGTTACATGATCATGTTCTGGGAGGTGGAGGCCATCTGACACTGATTTCTGTCCCGTTCCGTTATTACAAAGGAAAGCTCGACTACAGGTAGCTAGCGACATATGACATAATGTCAACATGGCAGAACAATAGTCAACCATAATTTTCAGATGACCTTCATACTTGGAGGAGGTCTCAGGTGGTGCTTTCTTATCCACTACAAAAAAATCCGTAAACGGGAAACAAAGGTAAGAACCGACCCAAGGGTCAGCTACGTACCATCACATGCTTGAACCGTTAATCAAAACCGGGTGCAAAAACATAACGATAGCAAAACTGGCTACAAAAACATAGCTAAGCTTATTATAGGCAGCAGCTTCTTTAGGTTGCGTTCCTAGCTGAGCAAACGCTGTCGTGCTATGCCTTAGGTCATTGGGTCATTGCACGCAATGCGCAACCATATCCATCCCCAACAATGCATCCCAACACCCCACCGATCTCCAAATCAGGTTTACCGCCTTGTCCCAGGGCCAGGACCAGGAGCGTTGCGTTCCTGGTGACCAATACCGGGGGGCAACGGTCTCGGGATTCCTAGCTATAGTACAAAATGGCAATCAAAACAAAACCTCAGCACAGCTTTTGAGGAAAACAAAATACAGCCAGAACACAGGACTGCGTACCTACGACTATACCCTGCAAGAAGGTATGTAGGGCAGCGTGCTCTATCTGCCCGTACATACATCCTGGCATTTGCGTATGTAGCAGCTGATGCAAGCCTGGATGCAGCAGGGCCCGCAACTTGTGCGCATGACATCACTATATGCTTGTCTAGACCAGCTGCTTTCTGAAGAGTTTCCACTCACACAGCAATATCTCACTCATTGACCGACCAACATACGTTGCCGTACGTATGCTTACGTATAGAGACGAGCAATGCAAACCCAATGCAAACCCGTTTGCATTGAATGTTGGCGAGATGTGCTTAATTGCTTACTATGCCTGACCGCAGCGAGCACACTACCGGTAGTACATTTAAAAACACTTGTGAAATTTTTAGGGATACGCGGTACGTTGGAGCACAGCGGAAGCTCTCTAACTTCTGCTCAGGAAACCCTGGAGTGCTATGTTCCTATGAAGCTCTACACACCGTCCACGAACCCGGTCTAACGCACTCGGTCCTGCAGCCGCTGCAGCTCCTGCTGTTCCTGCTGCTACCAGCAATCTTTGGTTACCGGGTATCACTGTGCATGTTCAGCTTCCAGCAGTACCGGCACGGGCTGCAGGTATTAACGTAGACGAGGCCGCAGCGCCGTCCTTCCACGAGGCAGTAGCTTCACTGCAGGGAGGACAGCAGGGCCCGGGAGTTGCGCACCTGCGCCTGCCAGTCCCACCTGTTAGCAGCAGCAGGGGCGGTTGGTGGGGGGGGGGGAAGGTGGTTAGGCGGTTGCCAAGGCAGGTAACACATCAGGCGGAGATTGGGCGCGCAGGAGCCGCCGGCGCATAACACAAATCAGCGACACCGCCTTGCCAACCTAGGCCACGATATCCTATCCTCTCTTCCTCCCAGTGCTTCACTTCTACTGAACTTATCCCCTTACTTATTTTCAGGGGTGTTCTCCTTTTAACCCTGCCTCCCCTGCAATTGAATCATCTGGATCACACCTCCAACCGCACCTGCTGATGGTCACGCCCACGATGAGACACTGCGCGAAGCTGCATGCACCCACCGCCGCCACCAGCCCCTGCACCCCCAGACCCGCCCCGAAGGCCGCCGCGTAGGCCGCGGGCAGCCCGCACACCCAGAAGGACAGCAACTGCAGGCGGGCGCCTAGGGCCTGGCGGCCGCAGGCGCGCAGGGTGCCGCTGAGCACGCAGTTCAGGCCGTCAGCTGGGGGTGCGGTTGGAGGCAAGGGGCAAGGGGCAAGGGTCAAGGCAGGGAGGGTGTGCGGGAGGGTGGGTTTTTGGGATACGACTGTGTAGGATACAAGTGCATGGGCTTGGAGGAATTGTGGATATTGCATATAGGCCTTTCTTCCCTGTTATCAACCTTAGCACGCTGCACCCGCGCACCCAGCACCTGCCCCTCCTTGCCTATGGCATTGACGGCGGTGATGGGCAGCAGAGCGGCGGTCAGCGCCGCGACCCGTGGGTCGGGGCAGAAGAACGCGGCCACGTTGTGAGCATATGGCAGCAGGCAGCCGCACAACGCCAGCTGCGTGCCCAGCACCAGGCTCAGAGCCACCTGGAAGTTCCTCTGGTAGGACACGACATATGAGCACAGAACACGACGCGCCGCGGCAAAGGAAATGGGGATTGGGACAAAGTTTGGGTGGGCAGGACGATTGCTGCGTGAAAGATGTTAGAGTGGCGCTTTAGTGGCGCCCGTGCACTCATCATGGCATCGCCCACCACAGCTACCGTACCCCACCCAACCGTCGTACCCTCGCCCACGCCCCACCCTGCCCCCCTCACAGCCCCACCTTGGCGCCCTCGGCGTCCCCCGCCCCCAGCGCACTAGCCACCCGGGCCGCTGTGGCAGTCGCCAGCGCCTGGGGCAGCATGTAGGCCCAGCCGCCCACCGTCTGACAGATGCCCAGACAGCCCAGAGAGACCTCCGAGTCGGGCAGCCAGCCTGCGAGGCAGGGAGGGGGCGGTGTGGGGGGGGCAGGCATCACAGGAAACGTGGGGAAGGTGGGAGCGTTGGTGGGTGGATGGTGCGATGGGTGGGTGCGGTGGGTGGGCGATGAGGCAAGGTGGGAAGGTGCAGTGCAGCGGGGGCCGTGACATGATGTATGTTTCAGAGCTGCCTGCGCCATGTGCTCGGCATGCGTCGTACTCAAACTTTCGTCGTACCCACCTGCCATTATGACTAATGCCTCGTACGCCCACCACTCCAAACACGACATCGCGGCAGCCGGGAACCCGAACTTGACGTACTCCCAGCAAGCCCGGGGTTCTAGCACCTCCGCCGCCTCAGTACGGATAGCAGAGACAACGGTACGGATCCTGCAGTACAGCCCTTGGCGGCCGTTAATGCCTGCGGCAACTGCGGTAGCGGCTGTTCCTGTGGCACCTGCTGCCGCCGTTGCAAGGGCAGACGCGGCGGCAGGCGCGGCGCGGGCGTCGACTCGCTTCCTGGAACGGCCCCCGATACCACTGGCAGCATCGTAAGCAGCGGCGGCGGCGGCACCTGAGGACGTTGTTGCTGCGCCGGCAGAGGAGCCGGCTGCTGCAGGACCGCCGCCACGCCTGTCGTTGCCGTTTCTGTTACCGTTGCCGAGGGCCCCCTCGTAGCTCATGTACTCATGCGCCGAAGCGGCGACGGACAGCGGCGAGGTCAGCATTTCCACATGTGCATTGGGCCTGGCCGCGGTACCTCCTCCGCTTGCGCCGGCACCGCTGCCAGCACCGCTGCATGCAGAGCCCTCAGCAGGATCCCCACCGCCAGCCCTCCTCCTGCTCCTGCTCCTCCCTTCCACAGCGCTGCTGCAGCTGGTGCTGCCCACATCTGCTGGTTGCTGCCGCTGCTGATGCTCTGTATGCTGGCCGTGTGTGCCATTGTCACTGCTACTCCTAACGCTAGCGCTACTGCCACTGTCACTGTCGCTGTCATTATCACTGCCACTGTCATTGGTGTCACTGCTGCTGTCATTGGTGTCACTGCTGCTGTCACGGCTCCTCACCGCCCGCCAGCCCAGGTAGCCCAGCAGCAGCACCGCGTTGGCCGCCTTTAGCAGCCCGTACGCGTGGGCAGCACCAACCAGACCCAGGTCCAGTCTGCGGGCGGCTTGAGGCAGCAGCAGGTGGGCGGCCAGGTGGGTAGGCGGGTGGGTGGGGAAAAAGGCGCTGGGAAGGGCTGTGGTGGTGGTGGTGGATGGGGCCAGAAACGGGCAACTACAGCAGTTGTGCGCAACTATGGCCGCTGGTTGGGGATGCCGGTATTCCGAACCAGCTGACCCCACAGTGCCTGTCAGGTCTGCGGCTTTGCACATACACGGTTGCACCCACCCCATCCCACACCCGACCCACCCGAACATGCAGCCCCAGTACACCGCCGGCCCCGCCAGCGTGACCGCCAGCTTGGCCCCCGCGGTGGCTCGCCCCGCCCCCTGCAGCACCAGGTAGGTCTGCAGGCACTCCAACAGCACGTAGGCCAGCATGGAGGGAAGCAGCGCCTGGGGGGGGCGGGGAGCAGGAGGGCGAGGATGGGGGAGGGGGTGGCTTGGCCGAGCACATCCCATAGACCCGTTTCGCGACCAGTTTCCTAGCACGCCGGAGGCGTGCTATGTTGCACGCGCCAACACACCAAGATCCGCATATGACCTCAAGTCATACTCACGCCCTAACGTATGGTTTCCTACGAAACGGTATGTGCTACTAACCCTGCCCCTCCCCTCACCCCCAGGTACTCCGCCGCCCGCTCCACCAGCCCCGCCGGCTGCCCCAGCGCCGCCAGCAGCCGTGCCGCCCCCCCGCCCGCCCCCAGCGCCCCCGCCACCAGCCCGCACACGGCCCAGCACACCGCCACGGCGCGCAGCAGCACCCGCCGCATGAGCACCAGGTTGCCCGCGCCGTAGGCCTGGGGGGTAGGGTGCGTGAGGTAAGGTTTGTGGGTGGGGTGCGGGGTGGGGTGCATGGGGTAGGGTTGCTGGGTGGGGTGCGGGAAGCAGGGTTGCGGGTGGGGTGCGTGGGGTAGGGTACTGCATCAGGGGTAATGCGCCAGGGTGTGTGTTGGGGTGCGCATGGGGTGCATGGGTTGTCGAAGCGGGGTTGTGCGAACCTGTGTCCACGACCCGCCCCCCTTCCTACCTCACCTCCTCCCTTGTCATCTAGTTTACCATTGTGACACAACACACCGGATAGGGTATCCTTCTTTTCCTCCCTAGCCCACCTCCAAAGCCCCACCCCAACCCCCACCCCCACCTCCCACCCGCGCACCTGCCCGCACAGCGTCTCCATGCCCGCCGCCGCGCCCCACACCAGACTCAGCCCTGCCAGCGAGTAGGTGGAGGTGGCCAGGGTGGCGGCGGACAGTGCCGCGGGGCCTAGCCGCCCTACCAGCCGCTCCGAGAGCGCGGAGAGGGAGTAGCCCAGCGCGTTCTGGGCGGCAAGGGGGAGCGAGAAGGCGGCGATGCTGGGGTGGGGGTGAAGGAGAGGGAGAGGGAAGAGGGCGAGGGAGGAATGTTGAGTGAAGGGAGAGGGTGTAGGAGGTAAGGGTGGGTCGTGATGCGGAGCAGCGCGGGAGGGAGGTTGCCGTGGAAATGAGGTAGCGCTTGCCTGTTGCCAAGCACGTGCGAGCAAGTCACTTGCTTAGAACTCCTCATACCGGTACACACGCGAAAGGCCTCCCCGCAAACTCACTCTAGGGCGCTCTTCAGCCGCGTCTGGACGCCCCGCCCTCCAGCTCCTGCACCACCACTGCTGCCGCTACTGCAGTCCGCCTCACATGCTCGGTCCGAGCCCCGGTCCACATCACTCCCCTCCTCGGACCCTGTTGTTGACCCTGCCACCGCCGACACCGCCGCCGTTGAGGATACTGCTGCTGCTGCCGTTGCCGCCGCCGCCGCAGGCCCTGGCGCCTCCATACCATTCTGCTGCTGCTGCTCTTGAGTAGCTGCTGATGCATGGTTGATGTTGCCGCATGCTGAGCGCACAAGTGCATCAGCGCCTTGCTGAACGGCAACAATGCTGTGGCCGCCGTCACCGCCCAACATCTTAGCATCTGTTCTTATCCAGGCTTCTTCGACATGCGTCTTTCCCTCCTGGTCCCTTCCATCCTGCTCGTGGTCCTGCTGCCACAGCGCCTCCTCTCCCTCCTCCGTGCGGGGCACCGCCGCAGCCTGCGCAGCACCTGAAGCAGTTGCCGGTGCTGGTGCTGGTGCGATCACTGCTGCCGCTGCCACCGCAGCAGCTTGTTTGCAACTTGTTAGATGTCGTGGCGTGGTCGTGAGCGCCCTCCTGAGCTGTGCTGCGGCAGCTGGTTTAGAGGCGGCGGCTACTGCACTGGCAGTAGGGCTGGCAGCAACAACGAGACCGGTAACAGCAGTAGCTGTTCTCATGGCGGCAACACGTGCGAGGGGCGCTACGGTAGTAGCGGTGGTAGAGGAGCAAATGGCGGATAAAGAGGAGGAGCCGGCAACTGCAGGAGTTGGACTGAGGGTGCATGGCGCCGCGGGTGCATGGCGCAGGTGGTCGTAAGGCCTGCTTCCGTGCGGTGGCTGCTTGGCTGGTACACGAGCTGTTCTGCAGGACGGTGCAATGGTTGACGATGCCATTGATGCGGCGGGACCGCCTCCTAGGGTAAAGCTGTGGGCAGTGCGCCGTGCGGTTGACATGTGCTGTCGGTAAATGTAGGGAGCACGAAGGGGAGGTAATCAAGGTGGTGCTATCGAGAAGTTGGGGAAGCATCGAGGGAAGGTGTAGTAGGTGTTTGAAGGTTGGGTTGACTGCTAAGTTTTACAGGATGTTTGCTGTAAAATAGTCTATGGAGGACTGTCGAGTCGGTTTCTTTGTTGCGAGTTGAGGGTCTTGTCGAACAAGCGACATCCAGCAGACTAGGGTCAACCCAGGGTATTCCAACTGTGTTCACGCAGAAGGATAACACAGCTATCTCTTTAGTATGCGCTGAAAAGGAAAAGCGCACCTATGTATAGCTTGGTGCGCTGTTTGATGCAACACCTCACAGTCCGCAGTAGCCGAGGCGCCGAAGCAAGCTTAGCACCGGACTCAGACGGAAATTGTAACACTAATGACGTCAATTAGGATATCATGTTGCAACTACACTAGGCCGCAACCATTGTGCAAGCCGGCCATGGCCAAACCTACGTCCTACGCATGCATCCTACGTTCTATTGCCTCTGGAGAGCATACCCCATGACACTCACTACGTTGAAGTACGTCTACCATAATGCCTGTAAATGCTCATTTTGCTTGCCCCGCGCATGTATCCTCGGGGGTTTCATCGCTCGCTTGCCGCCGTACGTGCAGCGCACCTAGCACACCCAGCACAGCCATCGTAGCGCTGAACATACTGTTGCAAGGCTAATCACGGACTCAGTTAAAGGCGGTTGCTTTGATGTTCGTTAGACCTTTCAATAGAAGGATTCTTTTCTCAAGGAAGTTACCCCAAACTATCTTGTACCATTACATTAACGTGCCCAAACTATAGCGGAGTACTCACTTAGTTCATTTAAGCTACAAGAGTTCCCTGCTTCTGACAGTTGCTTCGGCGTGCGCCGGCCGGCAGCCATGCTTCTCTTTGCTGGCTCCTACGAGCGCTTTATCTTTGGCTTTTCTGCTTCGGCGGATTGCTCAGAGGTGAGCGAATGGCCGAAAGTCGCGAAGCGGCGGCGGGCTTTCGGCAAGACATCCACAATCCGCCCGGGCTGTACTGTGAACTTCCTTAACTACGGGTTTGCCTCTTGTTACCGCAGCCCCAGGATATTGTAAAGCGCTACACATTTGCGGCGCACAAGGTGGGCCAGGGTGCTGCACGACATGAGCACGGGGATGGGAAGCGCCGGAGAATGTGTGTAAATTCACAGCAACGCTTGCATACCTGCAACAGGGTAGTTCGACCCTTAGAACCCCCTGAACTCTGTCACGATCCTATTTTCCCCTTTCCCTTTCCCAATACACAGAATGGTGTGAAGTGTTTGGTCGCTGCAGGGCCTTATGTGGCCTCTGGCGGTGCCGATGACCTCATCCACCTATACGACATGAAGGTTGGTACGACACATGAGCGCCCTTGTGGGCGACACCTACGAAACCACTCACTCCTTCCGCCACCTCGTTTACCGCTATAGTCCCGTCTCAATGTGTGTTGTCGCACCACAACCGTAAGCCCTGGCGGACACATCCCTCTCTGCCCCCCTGCAGGCCGAGCGGGACCTAGGGGTGCTCATGAACCCGGGGGACGGCGCCGTGCCCTGCCTGGAGTTCTACACGCCAGAGGTGGGGCCGGGTACTGCAGTGGGGGCGGGAAGGGAGTGAGACCCGACCAGGGGGGCGAGGGCAGGTGTGCAGGCGATGCAGCGGCGACTGAGTACTTACTAGTCTTGCACCAGTTCAGTCGTGTCCCTTTCCCCCGCTCCATTCCTCCTTTCCTCCAAACCTGCCGTACACCCCCCCCTCCGCCCCGCAGGGTCGCTCCTCCCCCAGCCACATGCTGAGCGGCAGTGCGGACGGCGGCATCAGCATCTGGAGCTGCCGCGACTGGGAGCACCTCAAGGTGGGGGCGGGGTGGGGGCGGGGAGCAGGCGGGGTGGGGGGGGGAGCAGGCGGGGTGGGGGCGGGGTGGGGGCGGGGAGCAGGCGGGGTGGGGGCGGGGAGCGGGCGGGGTGGTGGCGGGGAGCGGGCGGGGCCCAGAGAAAGCCCCCCACGCCGAACGGGACAGCCTTCCGAGGCAGCCAGTCGTGGGGTTTGCAGCAGGAGCCTTTTAGCAGTGGGGCAGGGGAGTGGATGAACCAGACCGGGGGGAGCGCCAGCCCGGGCGGTGGGGCCCTGGGGCCGTGGAGTTGGGGCTCCTGAGTTCCTACCTGCCCTCACACTTGCCCGCACCTCCTCCATGCCGCAAGAGGGCCAGAGCGCACCACCTTTGTGCCCTTCCGCACCCTTCCGTGATCCTACCCTTTTACCCCCCGTACCTCCTTATTACCCCATCAGGCGCCGGAGGTGCAGAGCTCTTAACCCCACTCCGCTCCTCCCCGCCCCGCCTCCCCTCCCTCCAGGTGATGCGCGGCCACAAGGGCAGTGTCAACAGCGTGGCGGTGCACCGCAGCGGCAAACTGGCGCTGTCCACGGCTAGGTGAGGGGGGAAGGAAGGGAAGGGAAGCTGGGGAGCCGGTGCACGGAGTGTTGGGCTTGTGACATGCACCCATGGAAACTAGTGGCCTATGGGTATGCGGGCCCATGCATGGAAGGCGGTGGCGAAGTTCAGTTTTCTCCTTCCCCACCTTCTCTGGCCCCTCACCTGACCCCTCCCCTTGTCATACAGCTCGTCAGTTGCTTCGTCAGTTTCCCTTATTTTTATCCCTCCCTCCCCTCCCCTCCCCTTCCCCCCCCAGGGACGGCGCCATCCGCATGTGGAACCTGACCAAGGGCCGCTGCACCTACACCGCCAAGCTGGACGCGGAGGCGGAGGTGGTGGCGTTCTCGCGCAGCGGGGAGGCGTACTCGCTCATCTGCGGCAACAAGATCTCCGTACACAGGTACCGGTAACTAGATACCCGTATGCTCCTCATCGTACGTGTGGGCACTGTACGGCATGGGTGCATGTGTACGGACATGCATGGGTGTGTTTTGTGTGCCGTGTTAGGTGAAAAGCGACGTGGGCGGTTTGCGGTTGGAGGTCCCAACCGACTTGCTTGTTACACATGAACACATCACAGCCTGCTCCTCCCTCCTATCTCATCCTTTGCCCCTCGTTCCCTCCCGTCCCTCACCCCCCTCCTGCATCTCCCCTGCCCCCCCTACAGTACCGCCGGCGAGGGCGGCCTGCTGGCCAGCTACACCGCCCCCCGCCGCATCACCTGCAGCCTGCCCGCTCCCAGCGAGCACCTGCGGCTGCTGGGGCTGGAGGATGGCAGCGTGCGGGTGTGGGACGTGCGCGTGCGGGAGGCCGGCGGGCTGGTGGGGGGCTGGGAGCGGGCGCACGGCAGCAGGGTGCGGGGCATGGCGGCCATGCAGGAGGGTGAGAGGGGGTGCGGGGGTGGGTGGGTGGGTGAGGTAGGTGGCGAGCAGGAAGTGGTCCTGGTGGGGATAAGGAGGATAGAGTGTCACGCTGTGAGTGATAGAGGTGGCGGCGAGGAGGGGTTACATTAGGAAAGCAGGGGGCAGGTACAAGGTGATGGAGGAAGTTGGAAAGGCGGGTGGGGTAACAGGACTGGCTGACAGGATTGCTCCCGACAGGGATGTGAAGAGGGCGGGCCCTCTCAAGCCTTCCTCCTGAGTGCGCTCCTCGTCCCTGCAGTAGCCCCCCTTTCCTTCCTCCCGTGTCCCACGCTCCCCTCACACCTGTCCCTCCGCACGCCCATCCCTCCGCCCGCCAGGCGACGGCCCGCTCCCCACCTCCCTGGCCACCGCCTCCAGCGACGGGACCATCAAGCTGTGGGACACACGGCGGCTGGCAGGCAGCCTGGGCAGCGGCGGCGGCAGTCAGACAGGGTCGGAGGCGGTGGCGCCGGCGGTGTGTACGGCAGAGATATCCACTAACGCCCGGCTGACGTGTCTAGCAGCGGTGGATCCGGCGGCCGCGGTGGCAGCGGCGGCAGCGAGGGTGAAGCCGGCGACAGCGGGGGCAGCGGCAAAGCAGGAGGCAGCGAGGGGGAAGGCGGAGGTGGAGAAGGGAAAGAAGAGGAGTGCGGCGGGGGGAGGGGAGGCTGGCGGGAAGGGGAAGCAGCAGCTGCGGCGGCCGGATGAGGGTGCGGGCAAGGTGAGTGGTCAGGTCCGGGACTGGGGGTGATTTGGGGTGGGGAAAGGAGGGCTAAAGAAGGCCATCAGGGTATGGGTGTGAGCGCTGTGAGATACTCTGGTAGCCAGGCCTCGGAGACTGGTGCCTTAGGAAAGACCCATAGCTTCCGTCCCGCATTGCTGCCTTTCCCACCCAGCCTCCCCATTGTAACGTCCCCGCTCCCGGCTGTGTCGCTCCCATGACAGGGGAAGCAGGCGCCTCCGCAACAGCAGCAGAAGCAAAAGCAGCAGCAGCAACACCCGCAGCAGCAGCAGCGGAAGCAGCAAGCCGCGGCAAATCGTGGACCCGTGGGCCGTGACGGCCGCGGCAAGGGCGGCGGCCGTGGCGACGATGATCCGGGTTTTGAGGTCGTACCTGCACCGCAGTACGACAACGCGCAGGAGTACGGCAGCGGCAATCGTGATGATGCAGAGAAGAAGCCGGGTGCGCGGCGACAGGAGCAGGGTGTGGCAAAGGGGCAGAGGAGAGGCCTCAAGCGTACGGCAGGGGAGGCGGAGGGAGCGGAGGAGGGAGGTCGGCAGCAGGGCGGGAAGGCTGGTCCCAGCGGCCGGCAGGAGCGGCAAGGGGAGGGGAGGGCTGCAAAGCGGCCGGCGCCGGGGTTGAAGGAGAATGGGCGGGGGCAAGTGGCGGAGCAGCAGCAGCAACAGCGGCCAGCTAAGAAGTTGAAAACGGGCGGTGGAGCTGGGGGAGGCGGTGGCAAGGGGCCGGGTGGGAGAGATGGGATGGGAGCGGGTGGTGGCGGGCGTAAGGGGCCGGGAGGAGTTGGAGGGAAAGGTGGCTTGAAGGGAGCGGTTGGAAATGGGATGAAGAAGAAGAACGGGAAGTAAGGCGCGATGTAGAAATGCTGCGCTGTACGGATTCTGCTGTGCAACGGACGGCACGCATGACTGCCGTTGGAACCACGGTTCTTCCTGTAACATTTACCCAGTTCAAAGCCAATGTTTAGCTATTTTACTTAACGCTGTCAGACACCTCGGTCAAAGTTGAAGTGCAGCCAGCATTCGGTCGCACACCTTTTATACAGAATCGTGCCAGGCGATTTAACCCAAATTTCTTATAAATACAACATTTGCTATTATACTACTATATTAAGGCGCATTAAGAAGGCATTAAGGAAGGGCGGAACGCGGAAGGCAAATGGGCTGCCTTAACTCGAAGGAGAGCCGCGCAAGCAAATACGCTGTCTCCGGTGGCAATGATGATGATGCCAACATTGCAGAAGCTTTGGTAAGGTCACGACGCACGCTGATTGGCAGTAGCATGGTGTTGCAATGCCGATGCAACCCATTTCCCCTTTCAGCCTGGGAGCTCACCAGCTAAGGCGCCGTCAAGTGAGGTAACTCCAGCTGCCAAGGAGACGGCTACGGGCAAGATTAAGAACCTGCCTCGGCCAAGGTTGGACCCTAAGGACTTCCAGCTCGTGGGCTGTAAGGGCGAAGTAAAAGTAAAGCTGCCTGGAAGCATCAATGGCCAGGCATACGTTATCGATAAATGCGAGGTGCGGGTGTGGTGAGGGGCAGCGGTGGAACCGTTTGTTGGTGCCGCAACAAGTGAAAGGAGGTGTACCGTACATGGGGCTGTAAGGGACGCTCCAATCCGGTCTGACAAGCATACATAACCGGCAATGCACCCCAACCTGCAGGACTGTGACATCTACGTGCTGGACTACTGCGCCCAAGTCACGATAGACGAGTGCAAGGGGTGTCGCATCTACATAGGTACGCAGCTGCAGCGGGGGCCATGCTGCAGCGCAATAGCCCTGCAGTGTAGGGGTTACCTCCACTTAGGCAGCTCATGCCTACTTCTTTAGTGTTGCGCATGATAGCTTCCCGTTGTTGTTGCTGACCTTGCTGGCGAGGCCAGTGACTCCAACCGCCGCACGGCACCGGCTGCCCGTGTACGATCCCACTGCCTGCCCCCACAGGCCCCACGGATGGCGCGGTCTTCGTGCGGGACTGCTCGGGCTGCAGCCTGGCGGTGGTCAGCAGGCAGCTCAGGTAGGCTGCCCCGGGGGCGGGGGCGGAGGATCTGGGTGGGCGGAGTACGGTAGCTAGAGGGCGCTTGGGTAGAGGTGAAGTGGGGACAAGGCGGTAAAGCTCAGGTGGATGATGGGGAACAGAGATGGCAGGGGAATTGAGGTGGTGCTCTCCCCAAATGGGACAGGGAAAGGGAGTTGGCAGCTGACTCGGCGCTGCCAGGGTCTGTAGATAGGCCTCATGGGCAAACTGAGAGATCAGGTGGGCCTTACCCTCCCAGCTCCCAACCACTCCTCCCTTCACATCCTGGCATCCTCTCGTCCTCTGTAACCGCCCGACTGCTGTCCTGCGCCCGACGTCCCATACCCCCCACAGGACCCGGGATTGCCACGACTGTCGCATCTCGCTGCACTGCCGCACCAAACCCGTCGTCGAGTCGTCTACCAACGTAAGTCGGGCTCAGCTGAACCACCTGCACCACACCGACTAGTTGCTGCTAGTGGGGTAAGCCCTAAGTGGGGTTCTCCACTCCCCAGCTTTCTCTGCGGCCTCTGCCGTGCTCCAATGCGGTGAATACTCTTGTACTAGAACGTGGCACGAGGTTTCGTAAGAGGCTCCACCTCGGCTTGTCCTCCTCCTGCGTCCTGAGCTCCCTCTTCCACCTGCCCTCCTGCACTCTTGTTTACCATGCCCCTCATGCGAATGCTGCAGGTCGGCTTTGCTTGCTTCGACCTGCCGTATCCCGAGCTAGCAGGTGGGTTGCGAGGGGCGGTGATTCGGAAGTATTAATATGGCATGCCACGCCTGAGATCCGGAAGTATCAATACCGCATGCCACGTCTGAGATCCGGAAGTGTGAACGCCTGAGATTCAGAAATATCAATACGGCATGCCACGCCTGAGTTTCAGAAGTATCAATACGGCATCCCACGCCTGAGATTCGGAAATATTAATATGGCATGCCACGCCTGAGATCCGGAAGTATCAATACGGCGTGCCATGTCTGAGATCCGGAAGTATCAATATGGCATGCCACGTCTGAGATTCGGAAGTATCAATACGGCATGCCATGTCTGAGATCCGGAAGTGTCAATATGGCGTGCCACGTCTGAGATCCGGAAGTGTCAATATGGCGTGCCACGCCTGAGATCCGGAAGTATCAATACGGCATGCCACACCTGAGATCCGGAAATATCAATATGGCGTGCCACGTCTGAGATTCGGAAGTATCAATACGGCATGCCACACCTGAGATCCGGAAGTGTCAATATGGCGTGCCACGTCTGAGATTCGGAAGTATCAATATGGCATGCCACGTCTGAGATTCGGAAATATTAATATGGCATACCACGCCTGAGATCCGGAAGTATCAATACGGCGTGCCACGTCTGAGATTCGGAAGTATCAATATGGCATGCCACGTCTGAGATCCGGAAGTGTCAATATGTCATGCCACGCCTGAGATTCGGAAGTATCAATACGGCGTGCCACGTCTGAGATTCGGAAGTATCAATATGGCATGCCACGTCTGAGATTCGGAAATATTAATATGGCATACCACGCCTGAGATCCGGAAGTATCAATACGGCGTGCCACGTCTGAGATTCGGAAGTATCAATATGGCATGCCACGTCTGAGATCCGGAAGTGTCAATATGTCATGCCACGCCTGAGATTCGGAAGTATCAATACGGCGTGCCACGTCTGAGATTCGGAAGTATCAATACGGCATGCCACGTCTGAGATTCGGAAGTATCAATACGGCATGCCACACCTGAGATCCGGAAGTATCAATATGGCATGCCACGTCTGAGATCCGGAAGTATCAATACGGCGTGCCATGTCTGAGATCCGGAAGTATCAATATGGCATGCCACGTCTGAGATTCGGAAGTATCAATACGGCATGCCATGTCTGAGATCCGGAAGTGTCAATATGGCGTGCCACGTCTGAGATCCGGAAGTGTCAATATGGCGTGCCACGCCTGAGATCCGGAAGTATCAATACAGCATGCCACACCTGAGATCCGGAAGTGTCAATATGGTGTGCCACGTCTGAGATTCGGAAGTATCAATACGGCATGCCACGTCTGAGATCCGGAAGTGTCAATATGGCATGCCACGCCTGAGATTCGGAAGTATTAATATGGCATGCCACGTCTGAGATTCGGAAATATTAATATGGCATACCACGCCTGAGATCCGGAAGTATCAATACGGCGTGCCACGTCTGAGATTCGGAAGTATCAATACGGCATGCCACACCTGAGATCCGGAAGTATCAATACGGCGTGCCACGTCTGAGATTCGGAAATATCAATACGGCGTGCCACGTCTGAGATTCGGAAATATCAATATGGCGTGCCACGTCTGAGATTCGGAAGTATCAATACGGCATGCCACGCCTGAGATTCGGAAGTATCTCAGTATCTCGGCACGGCATGTCACTTTCAGATTAGGGAAGCACGGCATGTCGGGGATCGGGTTGCACTAGTGCAGCACGCCACATCGGGTATCTGGAAATGTCAATACCGCATGCCTCGGTTTTCAATTGCACCAAGTCGGCATGGCACGTCCAAGTTTGAGTCACGCCTGGGATCCGGAAGTATTATTACTGGTCTTCACATCAGGAAACCGGAAAGTACTAATCATACGTCAGGAAGCCGGCAGTACCGTATACTACAATTGGGCACGTCACGTCTGGTATCTGGATTAAATTAATTGCATGCCAAACCCGAAATCCGTAATTCACTTAAATAAGTCACTAACCGAAAGAACCAATGCGGCTATTCGCTATTGCCTTCCCCTGTTCTCATTCACCTCTACCTCGGGAGCAGCCTCCGTGCAGCAGTGCGTCGGAGTGTCACCACACCACGTCATTCCATGTCATGTTGCCACTTGCGCCCACACCCTTGCTGCGCCCAAACCGACCCACAGACCACATGCGGCAGGCCAAGCTAGGCCTCTTCCACAATTTCTGGTGGCATGTTTACGATTTCACACCCAAGGTATGTACGGCGTACGGACAATACGGCGTACGGACAATCTTACCCTTCACAGTAGTTTGTGCTTGTATCTGCTGCAGCTAGCTGTCGCAACCGGCAACCTTTCCTTTGACACACGCCAAGCCTTGCGCTCACAGCCCCCCCTCACATCACCACTCCTTAACACCCCCGCATGCACGCCTCCACCCCCGCCGCGCCGTCATCTTGTCAACCCCAGCCGGGCAACTGGCAGCTGCTGCCGCCAGACGTAACGGCCGCCAGCCTGCTGCAGCCGCTGCCCCAGGAGGTGGCAGAGCGCTTTGTGATGACGCCTGGGAAGGAGGGGCAGCAAGAGGAGTCTAGCGGCAGCAAACAGGAGGTACGGGAGCTGCCTGGGCCTTAGATGACCCGTGGGACGGGGTTCCAGGTCGTCTAGCTTTGTGGGGTTGAAGACATGAAGAGGACTGTAAGAACCGTTTGAACGGGTGTCTTAGGGGCAATTGAGGGTGAATGGCATCAGGGCTGAGGATGGGGCGTCAGGTACATCATAGGCAACAGGTTACGACCTGCCGTGGAGAGGAAACCGTTAGGGTGGCCCATACCCTTTCCATCCGACGACACTAAGGAAGGGACCCATCGAACACCCCACCCCGCTCCCCCCGCAGTCGCCCGTCCTCATGACGTTTGGCAACCGGCAGCCGCGACCCGACGGCCGCTCCTACTTGTTCGTTGCTTTCGAGGGCGGCAAGAGCGAAAAGGCCTTGCAGTTGGCCCGCTCAGCCTCCGAAAAGGTGCGGTACGCATGCTGCTGGTATCCTGGGTAGGCTATCCTGGAAGTGAACGTGCGCAGGGAAAAGGGGTCGCGGATGGCTGAGGAATGCCTTGCCTGGGTGCGCATCCTCACTGGTGAACGTAGAAGCTTGGGGCGCGCTCCATGCATGGAGCCAGGTCTCCATTCCTGAGCCAAGACAGCCCGCTGGCCGCCAACCCGGGGCATGCATTGGACATCCCACTTAATTCCGCTGCCTCCTGGGGTTCGCGTCTGCATTGTGCTCCTCTACTGCCACACAACCACACATCGCGCATGGTTCCTCCCTGGCCCCTCGCCACAACCATGACCTTCGCCCCCCCGCTGGCGCACCCGCGCCTGCAGGGCTGGCTGTTGCACACGAACGAGGTGCGGCTGGGTCCGGAGGCGGCTGCTGCGCTTGCGGCGGAGGCGGGCTGGAGCAAGGCGGCGGGCAAGGCGCTGAGCGGCGGCGGGAAGGGTGAGAGTGGGGCAGGGAGAGGGAGTGGCCCTGGATTCGCCTGTTTTGTCCACATGTGGATACGGAACGCAAGCGAACAGGGGTACCACTCTCGGGGTGAGTTGTTTACTGGGAGCAGGAGTAAGGATCGTGATGTACCGTGATTGAGGATAGGGAGCGTGCCGAGATAGGGATCCTTGTTCGATGCCTCCCTACCTCTCCCTCTCTCCCGCCCCTGTTCCTACCTTCCCTTCCTGCTCCCCCCATCCCTTCATCATCAGCAGCCTGCGTGGGTCTGGAGTTGGCGGTGCCGGAGGGCGAGGAGGTGGCGGCGCTGCGGGCGCGTGTGAAGGCGCTGGGCGGGCAGTGCAGCGACAGCGAGGCGGCGGGGAAGAGCTTCCGGACGCAGGGGGTGGACGGCTGATGAGGGGCAGCAGGAGGAGGAGCAGGAGGCGGAGCAGGTGGAGGAGCTAAGATGGTGGTGGGCGGAGGTTGGTTATCTCACCGCCCCACCTGGGTGCTGGTGGGGGGGACAGCAGTGACACGAGGGGCTATGTGTGACTTATGCCGCAGGCGTCCGCAAGGCGTCGTTGTTTGACTGACACCAGTGTACGTGACAGCAGCATGCGGTAGTGAACTGGAAGTGGGCGCGGCCTTACGGTTAAGTAAGATGCAATGAGGCCTGTGAAGGCTGGGGGTCCCAGGACGGCGGTGGCGGCCGCGCCGTACGCACCGTGGTAGGGCACAGACTAGCTACACACACCCGCGCCGTCATACATGCATGAGGGTTATTAACAAGGGTGTCGTCCGGGCACCCCGTAAAGGTTGAGCGGGGTGGTGGTGACGTTTCTTACTTTGTATCCATGGTTGGCCTCTGAATCAAGGCTCTTTTGCGTGCGTGTGTGTATATATTGTGGTGTGTTGACCCAAGTCAGCTGTGAACGGACAAGAGGGCATGTGACACCGTTGGACGTCTGTGATTGGTGGTGACGTACTTGTTGGTGCCCGCGGGGTGTCAATTGATTGGAGGAGGAAGGGGTGTTGTCGGCATAGGATTGGCGTCACGGTTGTGAGGTAGGGCTCCATCCTCCGTAGGCCTAAGTGGAGTACGGGCCACTCCGAATGAATATTAGCGGATAATGTTTTCGCTAATTCACGCAGATGTTCATCTACACAGTGACACATTGAAAAGGTATATTTACGGGTTCATCACCCCGACTCCAAAACTATATCATGCATTTCATCTGGTAGCGTCTGTTTAGGACATCCTGAGATCAGCGGTGGAAAGTAAAGTCGGCGACCCATGGGTCGGGCTGCATGCATCCTGCCGTAACTAGTTCTTCCCTAGCCCAGGGATACTTTTCACAGTTTCTAATCTTCCTATTATGTACACTGAAAGGGACGCATGTTCACACGCTTTCGCCGTTGTTATGCCGTACACCCATACAACTTTTGCTAATATTCACACCTCTAAGCGCATTGACAAGGCATTAAGGAGGGGAGGAACGCGGAAGGCAAATGGGCTGCCTTAACTCGAAGGAGAGCCGCGCAAGCAAATACGCTGTCTCTGGTGGCAATGACGATGATGCCAACATTGCGGAAGCTTTGGTAAGGTCACGCCGCACGCTGATTGATTGGCAGTAGCATACTTTGCAGGGCGGGATGCATGCATTCCGGCATGGGTGCCAACACATCTCCGGCAGGGTGGGGACGCTGGGCGCAAGCGTGCCTATGCTTGATTGTCTGCGTGCATGGGTGCTGGTGCTTGGATGGGTGCGGTGCCTCCACAAAATGCTGGCCGTTTGGCAACTCGAGCACGCACGGAGATGCACATACAGGTGCTACTACTTGGACAGGGTGTGGATGCACGCCCGCATGGACGTCAGTGCTTGGCAGGGCAGGGAAGCAGAATTGTTTTCCGCATGGATGGGGACACTGGGCGCAATTGTGCTTGCATGCATGGCTGTGAAGCGCCGTGGCTGGGCAAGATAAGTTGCACCCCGCTCCGGCGGTATAATCCGCCACCGAGGAACCCCCTCGTGAGCCCCTGTGGCACCCAGACCTGCCGCCTGAGGCCGGCGATGGCTGCGCTCCCTGCTTAATCTGCCGCAAATTCGGGCGGGCACATCCTGGGAGGCTGCACAGACCCACGCATACATGGCATGTACCTGCGGTCACGACGGTGCTGTTCGCATAACAGGGGACACACTATCGGGAGGGAAACATGGAGGGGACTACATGGTTAAGGATGCTGGAAAGGAGGCTGACCTCCCGGCCTACGCAGATGGAAAACGCCTACCTGACTGGCGGCGGCCCCCGTCAACTAGCGCCGAAGAGTAGAAGAAATTGCGGCAAGACATCCTCCTAGTGAAGGGCCTGCAAGCCCACAAAGTGCACACTGCTGGCCAAAAACGTCCTCAGGATCGAAATGGCTACACTATAACTATCCTTGAGATAGGCTACACTGGAGACCTTCGGCACGCGGAGAAACAGCACCAAAAGGCAGCGCAGCACCACAGGCTTGCGACCCTCCTCCGCCAGGACGGAAGGCTAGTCCAGTACTCGCCACAGGAGGCTATCAGCCTGGGATTCGCCGGCACCATCCGCTCCGACCTGAAGAAATCCCTAATGGCCATGGGGGTGGCCCCCAGACACGCTTTCTCATGCTGTGGCAACCTGCACCACCATGCCCGCCATCACCTTAACAGGATTGTCTTACGCCGTTGTGCCCTAGAACGGGGCACAAACCCCCTGCTACGGGTAATCCCTACCTACACCACCTAACCCCGACGGGGGTACTGGCATACAAGGGATAACAACCTTCAGTGCCTCGCCCCCATAACGTACGCCAGGGCTACACCCGGCGTAACTATTAACTTATAATACTGCCTGATACTGCCATAAATTTCAACACACTAACCCAAGAAAGCAAGCGAGCAGGAGAGCACAATCCCACGTGCGTGCCGACCACACCAACCATCCCCAACAAACCATGTTGACGCCTTATCACGCAGTTAGTTGTTACTACTTAACCCCAGCTGATACCGGTGCCGAATTTACCTGCCCAGACAAGACCCAACAAAGGAACCTCGCATGCCGGAGGATAGACCCAAAACTCCAGAACGGGCGAGGGCCTTACGGGGCCACGAAACAGCTGCCCAATCACGGGGAAAGCCCATCGCAAGTAAACCGGTGTTGTACGTATGATGGATGGATGGCGAATCTATTGATTGAGCTTGTAGCAGTACACAAAGTGTTCGCAGCACGACGAGAATAACACCCATTGCTTTAATGCAAGTCAAGGCCTCGATGTCCCTCAGGAATCACCTGTCTAGAGCCCCTAAGCGGGGGCCCGTAGGGAATTCTGACCAAGACTCATATCGTGTCCTTGGCCCCCCTTGCTCGTACGGGCTGTACACGTACACGCGTAAAGACTGTAACTGTAACAAACAGTTGAAGGCATAGTTATCCTTGCCGTACAACCTAAACGTTTGTGCACCTGCTATACACCGTACCTCCACCGCACCACACATAACATGCCTGCCTGCTTTGCCAGCACACATCCCCACCTTTGCACTAACAACATGCCTATGCCCTGGTGTTTCAAAGCTGCTGCCCGTGCCCTCCAACCACAAGCATGCAGTCGCCGCAGATACCCTGTTGCAATGCATGCCGTATGTCACAACCGGCAGCACTACTTGGGCAGGAATGCCACTCGGGAGAAAGAAGCGCGCGCCACTGCAAAGCGCAGCGAGGGCACCACCGGCAGCCTCGTGGGTGGGGACGGAAGCACCCGCAGCGGGCGGCAACAGGGCCCCGCCGCATAGCGCATGGGCGCAGCCGCTGATTGGGAGGGCAATGCCTGCTTGCTGCTGCTGCTGCTGGCGTTGTTGCCGGGCTTGGAATCAGGGCCTCCGTAAATGTCGGCACCACAATCACCATTGCATGCACTGCTGCTGCCGGCGTTAACATTGGGTAATGCTGGCTCCAACATCAGCATCCCCTTGTCGATCAGGCTCACGAGCGCAGACTTGGACAGACCCAGCAAGTGGGGCAACGTCATCACTATTTCCTGTCGGTAGTCCCACTCCCAGGGGCACAGGCGGAAGCACGTGTTGCTGACCAACCTATGGAAGTTCGTGTTACCCAGGGGAGGTAGGTGTGGCTTACCAGGTAGAAGGATAGGGACTGTGCAGGTTGGGTATATGACAAAATGGCGCACAGCATATATTAACAACCAGCGGGCTTGTGGATGCCGGTGTCATACGTGGAAGCTGCAGGTTACCTGAGGTAGAAGATGAGCACGGCCAAATGTGTCTGCAGCGACGCCCTGTTCTTCTTCTTGTGGAACCAGGTCCGTTCGCGCCTGTTGTACCGCGAAGTGAGGACCTGTGTGGCAGGCCGCATGCATGCAGCTACTCTGGTACGTGCATTGATATTGTTGTGGGCAAGACGCGACAAAGCCATCAGCCCATACAATGACCCTGCACCTATAGAGCCGATCTACGCCCCAGGAATACGGACTTTGTTGCTACGGGGGCCGATGTTACTTAGTAGCCTACCTTGACGAACCACTCCTGGTTCTCCCAGCGGCTCACCACGCTGTCCCCCTCGGGCAGCTCGCTCGCCACCAATTCCGCCAGGATCTGCACAGGTGTGTAAAGCATGCACGGTCCACGCTAGTGACTGTCTGTATAGTAAGTTCCAATCCCAAGCAAGGTTTCCAGGGGTTTCTGTCCCGCTGGGTTTTGTCTTCCCGTCCTATCTATCTCTGTGCCCCAAAAGCTCCATGCGCGCGTGCGAGGTTTAATGCAGCGCATTATTCTGTGCACACCCCTCCCACCATATGCATGCACTGGGTGCCGATGCAGCCGCACAGTATGAGGTCGCACCTCCAGGACTCCTAGGAGGTTATCGCTGCCTTTGGGTAGCGGCTTGTCTGCCCAGATGTGCTTCGAAGGAGCGCCGAACAGGCAGTGCACGACATTGCCCACCCGCATCAGTGCCCAGTTCAAATCGCTGCGGCCGCTGAAATCCAAGTTGTCAGGGTCGTCACGCAGGCTGCCATCATTCCCCACGACCATCTGCACGACGGCAACACGACACCGTTGGATGGGTGTCTGACATGTTTGCAGCAAGACGTGTCTCCCATCCACCTGCCCGGCCGGCTACATCGCATGGCCTGGGGCGACTACTGAGGTGGAATTGAAGTGATGCGGGAGTACCCGACACAGTAGGCAGGAGGAGTGCTGCAGCAGGGGCCAGCAGGATGCATTGACCAACAGGGTGCGTTGGCCAGCATTGTGCCACACCACAGCGCTAACATGAATGACTCGATTGTTGGACACAGATTTATCATGGATCTCTAGGCGCACCCCATCTAGTGGGGCACACAAGCAAAGGCCCAAAATAAAGCTAAACCGGGCTCTGTATGCGTGTGCACCCACCCGCAGGAGATGCCGTTGGTAGCGGTCCTTCAGGTGAAACCGCCCCTCAGGAGTGCACTCCAGGTACGGCCTGAGGAAGCGCTTGAGGCCGGGGTCCAGTTCGTCGATATCCGCTCCCACTCCTGCCAGTGTGAGGTACCACACAGTGCGGCGCTCATGCTTCGACAAGCCCGAAAGGCTGAACTTCCACTCGTACATCAGCTGTGGGATGAGACGGTTGAAGGAGGAGATAAGCAACCTTAATGACGCATCAGAGGTGGGCAGTAGGAGCGTCATTACCCGTGTTCCCTTTTAGGGCTGTAAGACACATCCAATGTAGCCCTTGGCCCGTTATGTTCCTTCGGTATGGTGACACCGTCACAACGCAGGCACCGAAGGATGTTCAGACACCTGGGCTGAACGCCACTCACCACATTTCTCTGCCCTAATTCATGCAATCACTGTACACTTCCTTCTTCGTAAATAATTCCACCCAGGGCGAGGGTTTGGGGGAGTGCGGGCGGGTAGCTGGTGGGGATTAACACCATCCCAAACCATAGGAAACCACAGTAAGGGTAAAGCAAAGGGGATAGGAGGCGGCAGGGTGTCACAAAACAATTGAGGGTTAGCGGATGGGGGGGCGAGGGGTAAAAGGGGATGGGGCCACCCCGCCCCGTCAACACGAGGCTACAGTTGGTCGTAATAGGGTTCTATCCTTCGTATGCCTAGGAGGAGTACAGGCCAATACCATACGAACACGTGTCTGTACGGATACTAGCCTATCCGATTCACGCAGATGTTCACAAAGCTAGTGACACATTGAGAAAGTAATCTTAAGGGCTCATCATCCTTACGCCAACATTACACCATGCGTTACATCGGATAGCGCCTGTCGGAGACATCATAAGTTCAGCGGGGGGAAGTAACGTCGTCGACCCATGGGTCCGGTTGCACGCATCCTGCTGTAACTAGTTCTTCCTTAGCCCAGGAACACTTTTCACAGTATCTATTATGTACATTGAAACGGACGCATCTTCACACGCTTTCGCCGTTGCTATGCCGTACACCGTTAGATGCCGTCCGTCCCATACACTGTACACCTCATGCACGCAGCCACGTCGGACCATAACGCCAAACATGAACAACAATCCCGAACCTACATCACACTCGCCCCACGAAGCCCCAGACAGGTCCTTTGCTATAAGCCATTCTTGCTGCTTTTCTCCACGGCACCTCTTGACAGCGTATTGCACCGTTACCATCCTTCCAATTCGAGCCCTGCTGTAACTGCAACGCCGCATCTTCTGAAACCTGCTTCAAATGTTTAAGGGATGAAAGCTCACCCAGCCCAGCCTGGCCGCTCGACCTTCGCAATTCTTCACGACCACAGAAGGCACTACTGACGTCCATCCTGCATACACAAGTAGCCAGGCATCCTGCACATAGCTCGGACTGCTAATCGTACAAGACCTCCATTCTTTTATAAGTATCGTCGTAACCAGGTTGGGCCTCCAAGCTCATT